ATAGTCTACGTTGAAGAGTTAATATTATACATTGAGTAATTTGTAGTGATGTCATTATACAGCGTTACTATTCACGCATAAGCCTTACCGAAGTATAACGCCACTGGCAATAGCCGAAGTAAGACAACAAACTTCCAATTTGTATGACAATGTCATGGTTATGACATATTCCAGGATACAGTATTTTATTGAATATAACGTAAAGAGGAGATTGAAAGAGCTTCCGTGACGGCTGGTTGAGATATAAGTAATAGCAAGAGCTAACGTAGATGCGAGTAAAATAGTGATCTTGAAAAATGTTATAGATATATTATGCAGTAAGGTAGACCATGGGGTTGCAGATAACATTAAGAAGTAAATAAATAGTGAGGAACAAGTAGCAGCGATCTTCTTTAAGCCCTAAAAAGTAAGATATATATATATATATTGAGTGCACACAATCTTCGCATACTGTTGGTGCTGTAATTTTTGATCAAAAAGGTTGTAGGAAAGGTTACCTGTGGTCTATCCGATTCATTTATAAATAAAAGAGTTACATGTAAAAATGTTTGTACTACTTGATACCAAACTGTTTTAGTAGATCGGACCATAGGTTTTCTTAAAATTATAACAAGCACTAAGATAGACCAAATGGCACCGGTGTAACGCTTAATCTTTCTATTATGGTCAACTGCATGAATATACGTTATATAATATGTTAAATTTCATGACATTAATTTAAAATGCGAGTATTTAGAATTATCGTTGATGAGATTGCTGTTCATTAAGGCGAAATATGCAATAAATCCTTTTGTCTTAAATATACCTTCATTATTTTCAAACAATCCGTAATGTGATCGAAGCAATGATATAAGAAAAACGTAAAGACTTGTTGGACAGAATGCTTCCACAATTGCTACTTGATATGAATTGCTACTATTGACGCTTTTGATAACATCAACTGCGTAGATTAAGGTAGCAAATAATGTCCAAATTAGGAAGGTATTCTTAGGTAATTTTAAAGCATCATCAGTATCGATGACTCTGTTTCGGACTGATGATAGTTTCAATGGTTTCTTGTGGTAAGATTGTAGGACAAAAGCAAACGTAGAGAACCTATTTCGCAGTCGTTTAAAGTTAATAAGAGAGGAAAATATTGGCAGTATCAAGTTATTGTTCTTAAGATATGAATGCGATGTCGGATATGGTCGTTGCGTCTTAAAATTAGTAATTAAATATTTTGTCTAATTAAGGTAACTACATTGACTGTTATCATTAATAAGTAGGAGTCACATCACTGCCATAACAGTTGAAAGGTACAAATTGTATACTTACATTGTAAGAGATAGGATAAACGACAAGAATGTAGGTCCTACCACGCTCGATATAATCCAGGTTATAATAACAGAATGGGTCACAGGGTAAATGTATAATAATAATTTTTGTATTTTTTGATATATTATTGGGTATTGGTCGTTCATGAGATCGAATTGCAGTAAACCCCATAAGGCAGTTAAGAAGAAATGTATTGAAATACAAATTTGGAATGCAAGAGTGACAGCCAGAGGATGTCGCAGCCACGTTGTTGTGCAATAGAAAACCATTAGCAGTAATAGGCATATTGCTGAGAGTAAGTACAGTAGTATAGCCCTATAAAGAATAGAATTTATTTATTCAATTTGTATTGATAAAATTGAATGCGCGTACACGTATTTCATATTAAAAGAGTACATTAGTATATTGCAAGATCGTTCTAGTTACTAGATAGGGATGAGATAATGACTTGGGTTAATAGTGGGGTGTTGTTTGTACGCGTAAGCATAAAAATGGTGGACAATCAATCAGAATGTGAAGCTTCCAATTTTAATATTTGTTTATTTGCGAGTCACCACAACTCGCCAATTTTTGCGTGGATAGACATTACATTCTACTGTAAATGTACAGAAAGGATGAATGCTTCTATCGTCCCACAAGTAATGAGGTTAATAATACTGTCGTTCATGAATGAAAATTATAAATTATATAAAGTTGGCATGGCTAGTGCATTGATATTCGTCACTTACCATTTTTCTTTCTTAAGCGATTGCAAGTAATTAATAAATGCAGAGAAGATAGAAGCTACCAAGATAAAGGATATCGCATTATTGATTGCAGTTAAGATAATAATATGGGAAGAAAGTGCCAAATAGATGAATGCTTTTTGACGTATCATTTCAATGTTAATCTTGGACGTAGACCAATCGTAAATGTATTACACCGATAATAGTTTTACCAATTAGATATAGGCGTGAGATTTTTGCATTGTACGCAAATAGGCAGCTGTTCATAGAAGCTGATCGATAAAATATAGAATATGTAAAGCAAGAATCAATCGGTGGCTCATTCGTCAATCTACGAGTAAGTTTACCAATGCAACTGTCGAGTTAATGGTTCGTTAGTTCAGTCGTTGTTGTATTTCATTTTGCTGAAAGCTACAAAGTGTCCATAAAGTTCATTCCATTCGTCTACAGCATGAGCTATGTGTTGATTGAATAGGTAAGTAAGAAGGTTTATACTAGAATAGAAGACAAATGAAAAGGTTAATTATTATCATCTATTCAATTTGAACTACAGTACGGTATACTACACCTATGCTCATACTTGTAAGCAAGCATTAACGGCGTCTAGCTCGATGCAGTAGGTCATGATTGAATACTACTGTTTATGAACAGGTGTTTATGGGATAATAAGAGCAAGATAGAAAGATATTGCAGTATTCTTCATGATACAGTTTGCAAAATCTGGTTTTAATTCATTACCTAGGCAATAGCTTATGACCGGCATGAAGATTTGGTGCAACTTTCAAGCTGAATACATTGAATAATTATTCTCAACACTTTTGCATGAGTTTAAGTTTGTAAACACATGCCAATAAGATCACTTATTGCAACTAAACTTAATCATAATGGATTGACCATGCCAATGTCATTGGGTGAAATGATCCCTGTTTGAAAGCAACTACTGTAACAATGTTGAGCCTACTGGTATGCTGAATATTTCTGTTCTTTTCCTCGAATAGCCATGGAGGTGGGCCATAGTTTGTAAATGGTGCTCATCGATTTTTATACTTTGCTGCTGATTTACATCGTCTTCACAGTACTGTACCTCTGGAGTTGAGGATAGTACTGTGCATGGATGACAACATCACTGCGTTAACACTACGATAGGGTTAGGGTTAGTGTACAGTACAGTATGTACGATGTGAGGCAGTTCTCTTTCCAGGCTCTTGGGTAAAATAAATGGTATAGGATGTGGATGACAACATGACCGCGTTGACGCTACAGTACGATAGGGCACTGTACACTGTACAGTACCGTCCATCCGTCCCAGCCATAATAACCCCGATTACTCAGATACTCAAACGTATCATCGTTGAAGCTATTTACGCTGAGTATCTGAGTAATCGGGTTATATATGGCTGGGCCTACTGTCCATTTTGTCCCAGAACTTTTTCCCGAGAAATGTGATGGACAAAAATTGAAATTTTCAATAAAAAAATCAATAAAATACAAATCAGTCGATAGAGGAAGAGTTCCATTATAAGAATCCATTGGCAGAATTCACGTACGATATCTAATTTATAGACTACAGCATGATAGTCTTGAGCAGTCCCTGACTGTACTTAGTGTACAGTACACATCCACTCTGGTCATTGATATCCTTCCCACTGACTCGCTCTTCCTATGGAAGATGGAGAAATCGTAGTCAAAGGACTTTGCCGTTTATACAGTAGACAGTATACGCAAGGTCCTTCATGGATAGCATACTTTTTGATTCAATGACACTTCTACGGTTCATTAAGAGTAAACTCATTCAAAATTGATCTCAAATGAGCTTCACCTTTTCAAAATTGTCAACCAAGACACGTTAGTAGACAGGCAGGATATCTGCATTGCAGTATAATTTTGCAGCGATGATGTTGGGGGGATCTCTCGTCTTGGTCATGTCAATGGGTGTCTACTTCAGCTTGAATACAGTACACAGTATAGATAGAGCAGGTTCTCTTCTTTCGGCGCGGTCCTGTCGATCTATTTTTCTTTCTTTAAATGCCCATGGCAATGCGTAGCGTCAGAGTTGATGTAATCACCGTACAAGGCTACCACAGTTCGTTCTCAATTAGCAATTGGCACATCTTAACTCCACTTGGTTTGGGCTGTCTTGATGATCCGCTCCATTCCACATTGACCTATTTGAACGAGGGAAAAATGAAGGAACGCAATAGCAAACACACCAACGTCCGGGGTTACTTAGTCTGCCATCGTCTATCCTTTCATTCACTCCTTCAGCCATGTGAGACGGACAGACACTCTAGTCAGAGCGCCCATGATTGATCTAATCACCGTACAAGGCTACCACAGTTCGTTCTCAGCAATTGGCATTCCTTAACTCCACTTGGTTTGGGCTGTCTTGACGATCCACTCCATTCCACATTGACCTCTTTCAAAAGAGAAAAAATGAAGGAACGCAATACCAAACACACCAACGTCGGAAGTTAGTTAGTCTGCCATCTCTGATTCCTTCATTCACTCCTTCAGCCATATGAGACGGACAGACACTCCATGATTGACCTCGACAACAATGTACTGTATTGCTCTAGTGCTCTACCGCAGTGTAAAGCCTTGCAATCTTTCCGTAGTGACAGTACGGTAGCCATAGCGGAACAAAACAGTAGCGTACAAGTCAAGCAACAACACCTGCTGTCCATACAGTACAGTACAGTATTGTTACAGTACTTTCGTAGTTTACTGTACAGTGTACAGTACTGTACTGTACTGTACTGGCATGGACTAACTCAATCCAGTACTACTGCACGACGCTCCATACCGATCCGTACCGATCCGTACCGATCCGCACCATACCGCACCGAACCGTACTTATTGGCCATCGGAGTTTTTGTAGACGTAGTCAATCACGACTCGTGGTACCTACGCCATATTTTTTTAGGAGCGGCCATTGTTGAACTTCCAAGCTGACTCAAAGTCATGGCGTTCGTTATGATGAGGAGAGATAAAAAGGACGAGGAGGATGGTAATAGATCCATTCCAATCTGTCGCTTACTTTAAAATACATGATGAGTGTAACTTTTAAAGTGGATAGAATAACATGTTATCACGCAGTTATTGTGTTGTAGTTGTACCATGTTATGAGTAGGATGTTGGATTCAATCGAACTCTAAATTTCAAATGATAAATTAGGTGGTAATCCATTCAAGAATATTGAAAAAGCAACGGTGGTGCAGGAAGTAAGTTTTCTACTCATACTTGAGTCTATCGTACTGATTGTTCTACTATGCCTTAATGGCAAAGTTTGAAGTTGAACATGAAAATTCTCTTCTAGGCTAGAACATTTAATGACCAACACATCAATACGCGAAAATGTTGTATGATTCTGACCAAGCTGTTATACTTGATCAATCAGGTAATAGCAACACTAGATAGTATGTTGTATTCAATGAAATTAGGGGGCAATGGACAACGTTTTTTCACAGTTATTGTTCAAACTTTCAATCATATTTTACTTATGATACCACTTCGTTATATTTATTGAGAGAAAAATACAAAATGGGGTCAATCGATACGTTACAATACGCTAGTATGAAGATTACTGTAGCTCCAAGCTAGACAGCGGACTTGTCAAGTCGGTGTATGCAACTTCGTCCATCAATGACAAATGCTTGAAATAGTCGATTAGAGAGCATGATTAGTCTAGTGGTACTTTTGTACTTTCCAACAAAGTGGCATTAGTAGTATGTATGATTTCATGCTTACTGTATTTTTCTAGTTATGCCTAATTGGTGTTGTGATAGTCATTTTTGTATTAGAGCGCAATAGGATTACAATAGCCAATGGGGTTTTGAGGTAGCTTTATACAACGCGTTGGTTATCCTCCATTCTTATACCACTGTCTATCATTGCTATGTCAACTTAGGGTGAAATACTTGCTACTGTGGAAGCAACAGAAACTTTCTTTGCTATGACCAAGCTTTTCCAGTCTAAAGATGTAAGTAATGATGGCTTTATTAAACTACATCGATATTAAATACTGTCTTGACTTTGAAGATCTTTGGCTCCTTACTTCATTTACAATCATTTGCACTGTATTGAAAAGGTTACCTTGCGCCGCATGGTTTACTTAACAATCAAAGAAATGAGTAAATTGGCAGAGGACGTTATTATTGTTACAAGCAGGTATTCATTCAGTTAGTGCTTGGACTAGTTTGCTTGTTGGGTAATGTACTAATAACGCTGATGGACAGTCATGGACTAGATGTTGAGTGATACCGCACCATTCTTTGATTGATAGCATGTATAGACGTACAATTTAGTTGAGTATACTAAAAAACGAATAAAATGATGCTTCTTGCATTTTGATGCAGTCTTACTAAGGACATGAATAGTAAGGAAGATCTGTTTAGGGCTAGCGCTGTACGGGCGCTATGCATGATTACTGATGTGAGTCTGATGATACTGGCATGTAAATTTCAATTTCGTGATGTTATGTATAGCTTGTGCTGAAATTGGAACAATATTTCAATCCTTTTTTAGGGCTCAATGTTGCAGGGTATTGAGCGTTACCTGAAGCAAGCAATCGTTGATAGAGATCGCAGCGTAGCTAGTGCTGCTTTGGTTTCATCACTTGTAAGTTTACTTTGCCTAGTAATTATTTCATAATTTCCATTCTTAGTTATAGAACAGTTGAAATTTTCATTAACTTTGAAATTTCCATGTTATCATTTTATAGCACTTAAGTAGAGAGAATTTTGAAATTGTAAAAAGATGGGTAAATGAAGTACAACAGGCGACATCGAGTGATGATCATATGGTTCAGGTTATTATTTCCTAATGTATTTAGTTGTGTCGGTAAAGATTCTTTAACTTTCGATGATGTAACAATAACTCCAACCTTTTATGATTGAATACATAGTATCACGCCCTTGGGCTCCTTTATCAAATAAAGAAAAACGATAAATTGGCTATAACAAAACTTGTCTCAAAGCAAGCGCGTCATTCCCTACGATCACCGTTTGCTCATTGCTTAATGGTAGTTTTAACTTTGCATGATGAAATACTATTTCCACATGGTGACTACTCTTATTGACACCTATGTGTTATTCTATTTGGCAGATTCGTATTGCAAGTAAAATAATTGAAGACGATGAGGATAGGTATATGAAGTCGATTACGATTGATGTTTCTATATATCAGGCAATGAATATATTTCTATTTTTGTAGTAAGGGAAGTTCGCTGTACGATTACTTGGAAAGTTGTTTGAGACACAAAAGTGAAGTAAGTTGTCTTACAAAATTAACCCTTGGATGATGATTTGTATATGCTGATAATTTTGAACACTTTCTGTTGTAGATGGTTGTTTACGAAGCTGCTAGGGCTATAGTTAATTTAAAATCTGTGCAATCTAAAGATTTATCTCCGGCTGTTTCCGGTATAGTAATAGAACAAGTGTGTCTTGATTATGTACTGAAATCGACGAACTTGACTTTAATCCCTTGTTATCATAGTATTGCAATTATTTTTGGGATCGCCTAAGCCTCACTTGAGATTTGCTGCAGCCAAGACACTCAATAAGGTAGTCTTACGCTAGTATGTAGTTTGGTTTATTGCCCTTACCTGGATGTACTTAATTCGTTTTACATACTAATTGCTATTACAACATGATAGGTTGCAATTACTCATCCGTTATCAGTTACTACTTGTAACTTGGATCTTGAAAATTTAGTGACAGATTCTAATAGAAATATTGCTACATTGGCTATAACGACTTTGTTAAAGGTATCAAAATAGCTAATTTTTCATTTAACGGAAAATAGTGTTTTTATCTTAGACATTAAATAAGTGATTTTTATGATTAGCGAATATTAAATTATATTGTATGTTTACAGACTGGAAGCGAAGCAAGCATTGAACGCCTCATGAAGCAAATTACTTCGTTCATGTCTGAAATTTCTGATGAATTTAAAACTGTAGTAGTAGATGCAATCAAGTATGTTCTTTTAGGCGTAGATTGAACGTTATAGTTACGCTTTTATACTTTATGAAATATATACATACACTCTACATTCCTCCGATAGATACTTTTTGTTGTTTTCGTTACTCACTGACCGATTCTCTTCTTTTTGTAATTCCTTTGTATAGAGCTCTTTGCTTAAAGTTTCCACGAAAACATTTAACTATGATGAACTTTTTATCCGCAATGTTACGAGACGAGGGAGGGTATCAATACAAAAAAGCCATTGTAAATACGATTATTTCAATTATTGAAGAAAACAAGGATGCTGCTGAATCTGGATTAGGACACCTATGTGAATTTATTGAAGATTGTGAACACACATCAATTGCCGTTAGAGTTCTTCATCTTCTTGGAAAGGAGGGTCCTAAGACTTTATCACCTTCCAAATACATTAGATATATTTATAATCGCGTTATTCTAGAAAACTCTCCTGTTAGAGCAGGTATCATATTTTCCTTATTTTAATAGGTGATTGATTGAATCTCAATTTGCAATTATCGATTAAAACTTCATTGTTTTTTTACAGCTTCCATTTGTGCTCTTGCCAAATTGGGAGCTCAAGTCCCATCTTTAAAGGAAAGCATTGTAACACTGCTGAGCAGGTGTATGACGGATAGTGATGATGAAGTTCGCGATAGGGCTACTTTTTGCGTTAAGATTCTACAAGAGAACAGTCAGTCTTTGTCGAATGCTTTAATTGTAAATGGTTGGTTGTTAGAATAGTTGTGTAACTTTGCGATTTGACTCTCAGTAGTTTGTGGTAACAATCCCTGACGCAATATTTGTAATGTATATATCAAGGTCTTAACGTTTCTGTATTTGGTCTGGAACGTGCTCTGATGCACTATGTCAAGACTGATATGGTGGAACCTTTCAATCTTAAATCCGTACCGGTCGCTAACACTCGTACAGAATCTAAAGCTGATGTACCAAATGTTACTACTATTCAGAAATCAGCAACTGCGACTGCATCGAAGCAAGATCTATTGGCTGGTAAGTAAAATTACTAAATTATGATTACCATCTGATTGGATTGCTATAGTGTACTTTTTTATTCATTTTTTTGATAACTAGAACAACTAGCTAGGATACCACAGTTTGCAAGCTTGGGGCCCCTATTCAAGTCTTCAGATAAACCTATCGAAGTTACCGAATCTGAGACAGAATATGTTGTCCGTTGTGTAAAGCATATCTTTCAGAAGCATATTGTCTTTCAGGTAGGGTAGCACGTTATAGCAATATCGCTTAATGAATAAAACAGAATCTACGCGCATATATCGAGTTAAATGTTTTTTACTGGAATTATCAATTCTAGTTCGACTGTACAAACACTTTGGAAGATCAACTATTGGAAAATGCTTATGTCGAAATTGAACCGTCCGATGAATTTGAAGTCGAATCTACAGTTCCTGTTGCAACATTGGCTTTTAATGTACCTGGCACAACTTATACCTGTGTTTCAGTGCCTGAAGATATGGACTTGATGACGGGATCGTTTGTTAACACACTGAAATTTGTCGTTAAAGATTGTGATGTCAACACAGGAGAGGCAGATGAAGAAGGCTATGAAGACGAATATGTGGTAGGTTTCAGTCATTGATTACATTGTCAATGGTCTGTAATTGCTTAATTTAATCTTTCTGTTTAGTTGGAAGATGTGGAAGTATATCCTGCCGATTATATGCAGAGGGTACTCAAATCGAATTTCGCAGCTTCATGGGAAGAACTTGATAGCGAACACCAAAGTGAAGAAACATATGTTTTATCATCAATTAGTACAATTGAAGGTATGTTATCATGATAAGATTGCTCTATAGAATACTTGTTAACTTCGTGTTGTTATTATTCGTCAATAGATGCTGTAAAAGAGGTTACAGATTTATTGGGAATGCAGCCATGTGAGCGATCAGATAAAGTTGCACGAGATAAGAATTCTCACACGCTATTGCTAGCGGGTGTTTACGTTTCTGGAGATGATGTATTAGCGCGCGCAAGGTTTGCTATGGCTCAAGGACAAATAACAATGCTACTGACAGCTCGCAGTCAGAATGAAACCCCGTTGGCTTTGGTTCATAAGGCTGTGGGATAAATAATTGTTTTACATAAGTAATTGATTGATATATTATTTGATAGAGATATGCAAATGTAACAGTAGCAGTCTGTTACATATTATTCAAATACGTATATACAATCACTAAAATGATATGCAGTACTGTGATTATCACGAAGGAGCTGTGACCAAGTTTTATTCCTGACAAATATGCAGTGTATACTTACATATGCAAATGTTGCAAGCGTTGAATAGTCTTGTAACTTAGGTTCGTTAAATTAGGGCTAATGCATTATTAGATTACGGTAATGGTTTGCAAAAGGATGCAGTTTTAAATTATCAATAGAATTAGTTATGATCATGCATTAGGACTGCATTTCAAATGCTCCAATTGAACCGAAAATGAAATGTAATCTGTTTATGAAAGGTTGATAATAATAATAATTCAATTTTTCTTTGACTACACTGCGTTTGAAACTGTTTATTTTACTGAATGTTGGCAAAGAATGGAGTGTCATTTTAGCCTGTGACATCCAAAGTTATGAGTCATATACAGTACACTAAATGGTGTAGGTAGCATGCGGTATACTGTACGCGTACATGTTGTGGTCTGACCATCCATCCTCGGGTTGTCTAATTTCAGGCACTGACCATCATTGATATCATGTTATACAGTACTCATGATCAGTAGAGGTGAGAACAGAGTTTGTTGCATATAGTCTCTTGATATCGTTGTCATACAGGCTGTGCTCTTTACGTACAGACTATGGTACAGTACTTTGGATATTGACGTGAAATTGGAGCTCGTTTGTGCCTTCGTTGATGGATTTGCTGATCCGTCTGATTGATCCTGTCTTTCTTGGTAGGAAAGTTGAGCAAGAATAGGATTAGGGTTAGGGTACAAAAGTTGAACTTTATGTAATCACTGCTAAAACGCAGAGCTTTGGGTAGTACGGCAGACCCTATAAAATCATGTCATGTTTGCCATTACGACAGAGAATACTGTAACCGAGTCAACAGGACAGCACTGCTCAATGCGTGCAGTGACTACGATATTGGAAACTCTTTTGAGCATTGAAGATCTTTTTTTGAGCCAGGGACATCGAAGATCCTTGATGAATGAGGATGTCCTATCAAATGTTGACTAGAAAGAATAGAATACTACACTGGATCGCATACGTAGAAGTAGGCATTGAGTATATAACAGAGACTACTAGAAAATGCTTATTTATTTTACAATTGCCATCTCTGATTGCACACAGCATAGTATACGAGTTTGCAGTTTTCTAGGACCGCGTACGGACGGACATTCGATGGTGCACACAGCATTGTATACGAGTTTGCAGTTTTCTAGGACCGCGTACGGACGGACATTCGATGGTGCACACAGCATAGTTATACGAGTTTGCAGTTTTCTAGGACCGCGTACGGACGGACATTCGATGGTGCACACTGCATAGTATACGAGTTTGCAGTTTTCTAGGACCGCGTACGGACGGACATACGATGGTGCACACAGCATAGTATACGAGTTTGCAGTTTTCTAGGACCGCGGACGAACGGACATTCGATGGTGCACACAGCATAGTATACGAGTTTGCAGTTTTCTAGGACCGCGGACGAACGGACATTCGATGGTGCACACAGCATAGTATACGAGTTTGCAGTTTTCTAGGACCGCGGACGAACGGACATTCGATGGTGCACACAGCATAGTATACGAGTTTGCAGTTTTCTAGGACCGCGGACGAACGGACATTCGATGGTGCACACAGCATAGTATACGAGTTTGCAGTTTTCTAGGACCGCGGACGAACGGACATTCGATGGTGCACACAGCATAGTATACGAGTTTGCAGTTTTCTAGGGCCGCGGACGGATGGACATTCGATGGTGGTCTAGTGTAACTGCACTGGACTCGTCGTTGTGTTGGATACCGACCATGCGTACGAGGGTCATGGCGTGTGCAACATGTGTTTCTACCGATTTGACGTCTGGGTTTGGGGCACTTGCCAGTCCAGTACAGTCCAGTACCAGAAAAAGACTATTCAAGAGACTTCAGTATCGTTGTACTGTACTGTGTGAAGGTCTGCTGTAAGTCAGGTCTAGCTGTAACCCGCTTGCCCCCCCTGTCATTGGCGTTGGTCCTAGGCAACGAAGATGGCGGCTGCTACGTCTATAACGCGATTTTCACGTCATATTGCTTCCATCAAGCAACGTTTAACTCCGGTAAAGTAGGAAAATAAACTCTTAATTTACCAAGACTTGTTCGTTTTCACTTGTAATGCCATCTTTGGTCTGTATTACTGAGAGTAGCTCAGATTGGAGGTGCAATTGGCGTTTATTGAAGCATTATCGGCTTATGTCGGATTACTAGGGTAGAGTAAGATAGTTCAGTACTGCATCAAATACAGTTGTCGCCATGTATTTTTGCATAGTTTGCACTCCATTTCGTTATACATTGACTCATAGGATGATCATAAGACGATGATTGATGTAAACTCGCTCAGGATAGAATGGTACAGGGGTAGAGGAGTGAAAAAAAATGCCTACATGCATGCAAAATTGGATTTGCATGCTTACAGTAGCTAACATTGCACAAGAAGAATTGTCCTTTACTAGAGTAGGATACAGTAGCCGATGCAGCGTAGAATCGACTTATTGCTGTATATTACTGGGTATTGTACACTCGATATGTTATACCTTGACTAATAGGACAAGACGATGATTGATGTAAAAATCACTTAGGATACAATGGTAGAGGGGTAGAGGAGTGAGAAAAACAACTCCATGTGTAGAATGGTGATAGACGGTACTGTTGTCTATCTCAGTCGTACCTTGCTGGAATAATGGTATTGCTGATTAATTTTCTGATTCTGACCTATATCCGGATATACAGTTCAATCAATGCCTTATCCAAACGTAACTTGTCCTTAAAACCATCAATCTAACATGTAGAATCGCTATGGACAATTAATGGGTATTCCTGACTAAGGACTACTCTTTACTCTAGTAGTTATTCAATCATGGCTACGGGTAATCCCAATCATATAACTTTACTGTTAGTGAATGATTACATCGGTATTGCTTTACCTTTCGATAGCTGGCTACTGATGACAACTTTTGCATGTTATACGATAATGTTAGAATTGCATTTTTGTTGATTTTCCTATTGAGTATTTATTGATTACAGAACTTTTCCATACACGTACGCGTATATCAAATTCCTAACTCCAAGATATTTTCTATATAGGCTGCAATATCAGTTTTGCAAAGTCGGTCACTAAACTTGCAAGAATATCAGAGTAAAGGTTTAATGAGAGATCACATGGTTAATGTACAACCATTTGAGATTGCTTCTACTCCGGATGAAGCAATTGCATTAGCTAAAAAAATGAGTAAGTAAAACTTGGCTTATACTGTATGTTTAATTCCTATAATAGCAATTATAATTAGTAGTTGCACCATTGAAATGACTCCGTTTTTGAACAATAATTGAAGGCCATGTTGATAGGTCCAAATAATTTTACACTTCTGCTACAAGCCATCTTTTTCAACCATTTCTTCTTATGTTATAGCATAAAATTATTATTTTATTCACAATATAGACGTTGATGAGTTTGTTATCAAGGCACAGATTTTAGCAGGTGGACGTGGTAAAGGCCATTTCACTAGCGGCTTAAAAAAAGGCGTCCATTTAACCAAGGATGTTGAAGAAATTGGCAATCTTGCTTCCCAAATGTTAGGATACCGTTTAATAACTAAGCAAACACCTGGTGAAGGTGTTCCTGTTAAGAAGGTAGTCAAGCATGGCATATTCTACTCTCATTGTAGTACGTAGCTATTGATTTCAGCTACGGTCTCACTATAACTTATATAATCTTGTGATTATAATATTTTCTTATCTTTATAACGCTAATACATCGTTTGTAATAACTTCCTAATCCTTTTACTTATCTACAGTTGATGATTGCTGAAGCTTTGGATATCTCAAAAGAGACATACTTTGCGATCGTCATGGATAGACATTATAATGGACCCGTTATCGTTGCTAGTCCAGCTGGAGGTGTTGATATCGAGGAAGTTGCCGCTAACTCTCCAGAGTTAATATACAAGGTAATAAAAGCAACGAAAAAAGAAATATTCAACTTTTCAATCAATACTTTCATTTACTTTATTTTACATATTTTAGGTTCCTATTGATATAGTGGATGGTATCAATGATCAGCAAGCTTTGGAATTAGCAAAGAATCTTAAATTTAGTGATAGCAAAGTGAATGAGGTAAGAATATTCATAAAAATTCAACGTCATTTTATTGCATTTTAAGGCACGTATTCTGTATTAAAATATCATACTATTCCATATTTTAATGCAATAGGCAGCGGAACAAATTAAACGATTATATAATTTGTTTTTGTCCGTTGATGCTTCACAAGTTGAAATAAATCCATTTGGAGAGACTACTGACGGAAGGGGTAAGTTTGATATTTATAATCGTTAATGACAAGGCCGTTCTATTGAATATATTGGATTACATATTAACCCAATTATGTATGGGACACAATGTACTTAATGTACGATACTTTTCGTTACCATTATTTTGGCTAGTGGTATGCTTCGATGCCAAAATAAACTTTGATGACAGCGCCAAATATCGCCAAAAGGATGTATTTGCAATGGAAGATCTTTCCGAGAGTGATGCACGAGAAATTGCAGCAGCAAAATCGAATCTTAACTATATCGGTTTAGATGGAAATATCGCATGCTTAGGTATACCAAAATTACATTAATAGAATTCAACTTTTATGATAATAATCTATGTACTAAATTAGGATTGCAATATATGCAGTATTTATAACTTGTATATTTGTATTTATAAATTTAGTTAATGGAGCTGGACTTGCTATGGCAACTATGGATATTGTTAAATTGCATGGTGGAGAACCTGCCAACTTTTTAGACGTTGGTGGTGGAGTCACCGAACAACAAGTTTATGACGCTTTCAATCTTGTTAGCTCTGACAAAGCTGTAAGTTTTAAAGCGTAATAATCAAGATGTATGACATGATCTTACAGCAAACAATATTGTATTATGATCATTACTTTAATTGTGATAATTTACGTCAATCAAATCTAGGTTAAATCAATCTTAGTGAATATTTTCGGTGGTATTGTCAACTGTGCAACAATTGCTAATGGAATTACTAAAGCAGCGCGTGGAATGAACCTCAACTTACCCGTTATTGCTCGTTTGGAAGGTAATATAATTGTGAATGTTTATGTATTGCTTAGCAATCATAGGTAACACGTATATTGTATCTTTTACTGATACTATCTATTACTTTAGGCACTAATGTTGATGAAGCAAGAAAAATATTGCTTGAAAGTGGTCTTAATATTACACCCGCTGATGACTTTGAAGATGCAGCAAAGAAAGCCGTAGCTAGCATTCAATAAGATTTTTAGCTGTTAGTAATGATTTCGTGCAGACACTTTGTAATAGCTCCTTATATACAAATTTTATTGTTTTGCTTATTGGATTGATAGAGAATGATTTAAGCCATTTAAAGATGATTAAAGCATCTTCTCACCAACATAAATAAATGCTTGACTACAGTTTCGAGTTAATAATAATATTAAATAAACAGTTATGTTTTCCGAAATGAACGTTGATAAAATAGATTTCCGTCAAATTACATCTTCTTGTAGGTATGTTACATACTCGCACTGTGTATTTTATTGACAATCAATTAATACTTATTGCAGTTTCAAAATACATCTGTAAATAATGTACAATGTCATATTTGTGAAATGTACAGCGGGAGTGAAAGAACTGGGATAACAAGAATAGCATCGAAAGAATCTGGTTGATTTAGATTGATCAATGAAAGATTGATGAAAGGATTTTAACACTAACAGTCTCAATGTGGTCTACCCCTTGCTCCTTTAGTAATGTAGTAAAAATCAGGGTTATCTCCTAGGGCTCTTGTGCGCTTTTGACCATCGTTACGATTTGCTCGCTTACTACTCTTGCTTTGACGTTGTTGTAAGTCTTGCTGCGATATCATTTCATCTAAGTAGGTAATCGATATAATTCGAATACAATAATAATAATTATAACCCCTATTATTAACAATTTGAATTTAATGCTATAGGAGTCGCATAGCCCTAGTTACCGTTAAAGGACTCTTCTTGTTGACGTTTATCATGACTTAAAACAAGTCGTTTCATCTCTTCTTTGTCAGCTTTTTCTTGAGCAATCTTTTCTCGAATGTTAGCAGCTACAGCATCTGATACTGGAATATTAACTTCCTTATACTATAATGTTTACGTATACATAGTACGTCGTAGGAGGAGAAATAAGTAAACCATTACATCACTTACATATGACAGTTGTGAATTCATCATAATTACTTGCTCATAAATGTTCAAATGCATTATTATACGAACCTGTAGCTTATTCGACTTACGAGTCAATAAAACGAAATTTATATCGTCAGTTTGGAGATTTTCGCCTACGTTGAAATAAATGTTAGAAATAAAGCTCACACTAAAATTACATATCTTCAGAATACAGTACGCAGCACCACTAACAACGAACATTTTTCAATACCTATTTTAGTTACTCTATTGAAAGGCAATGGAGCATCCAAAGATGGAACTTTAGGACCATGTTGACGTCGTGTCTTGTAAATAAGATAATTTTAGGATTAAAATAACGACGATAAAAACTGTAATTTAAAAGTCAAAGGTGTCGAATAAATATATCGACATTTCACTGAAGAATCATTTCAACACGTACAGTAAGATCGAGAACATCGCGTATAAGTAAAAGTATCTCACCAGTAAATCGTCTGCTAATGCCTTCTCATATTCTTTCTGAAAATCGTCGTCTTCCTCACAAGGCATCGCTTTCAGACCACCAGAAAGTATAGTAACCTAAAATTTTATCATAATAATTGTTACCAAAATTAAGACTGTTGACAGAGTTTTAAAATTATAGACGATGCTAGCAAAGGCGTACTTCATCATCTTCTACATTCGTATCAACTTTCGTATCATTTATGTAGTCATCCTGTCATAATAAAAAATATCAGTACCGGATATTAATTAATTTGTATAGGACAAGTTATAATACTTAATAACACTGGTGTCTAAATGAACATACGTCTTCATTTTCTCCTTCAGCTATTTCATCCCTGTCGTCAAACAAAACATCTTCTGTATCGGATTGTGATTTATGAGCATCAGTATCATCAGCCTCTAGTTCTTCAGCAATGTCAACATCTTGCCCTTCTGCATCATCTTGAGTAGGTGTATCGTGAGATTGAGAGCCCGAAGATGTATGTCGTTGACGGTGTTGATCTTCTAAGTCTACGTTATTATTAGTTGATAAAGATACAATAAGGAGCAAACTACAGTATACCGAATTTTAATTTTTATTGCATATTTATTTATTCCATCTAAAAGAAAGTTTAAATCTTACTCAGCTCCGCTCGATACTTTTGCTCTAGTTCCTCTATGGCTCCTTTCGCCTCCGTCAGATTATTACACGGTTTCAGTTTTGGACGTAAGGAGTCCAATAAGTCTAATAGTAAATTCTCTATTTCTATTGGAAACGTTTGCGTCTCCCAGTAAACATTGCTCTTCTTTTGCCAAAAATAATGCTGATATAGAGTGTATAGTTTAGATTAGAATGATCATTGAAATTGAAACAAGCTATTCGTGAGATATATACCTGTACATATACAAGAAAGCAATCAAGTCTACTCTTCTTAAATCCTCTATCGAAGAATTCTCCACACGTATCCAACAAAACAGAAACTAATCGCAATCGTACAAAATTATCTGGAGGATCGATATCATTAGAGCTGTGGTCTTTAAGCAATCCAAAAGTGATTAGGGAATAGAGAGTGTTGAAAATAACATCGGCTTCAATCATTTGGTAATTATATAATTCTCCCAGGTATTTGATAGTAGCGATGCGCCTTTGATTTAATTTCATCGCATTAATCTGTCAAGAAAATTGAGTCAATAATGTAACTAGGGCTAATCATTATATCTGTATTCTTAATGAATAGATTCACCTCTAAACCCAGCCTAATTTCCTCCATGATATTGTCAACAACCATTACCGCAACATCTTCCTATTAGATTATCATACAATGTAATTGAACTTTATTTAGATACTATCAGACATTAACACTTATACATAACCCACTATGGACTATAGATATTGTATATTGTATACCCTATATTCCGCAAGACCGGACAGCAGATTAGCTAGGTTGTGGATATTATTATATTTTATATACCAAGGCGACGATAAGAATTTTATTGCATAGTCCGCTATTTCTTGATTATTCCATGATAGTTTTCGAAACTGTCGTAAAATCTATAGTATTAATTAATTAATTATACAAACGTTAGAGGTCTCGATATATTTAAATCTTATCAGATTTAACGGATTGCTAAGAATACGTGTGAAAGAAGTCACCTTTTCGACGTTTGTAGTAATCAGATGTTTGATCACAAGTCTTCTTATATATTCTTGTAATGGAGTTCGAACCTCCACTTTTTCCTTTATTAAAATGTTAACAGTTAGCGGTCGATGCCTTCGGAATTTCATAATCTAAAATGAGCTAATAATAACATCTATGGGATATAAGTAGAATTACCGTAACATCTTCGGGGGGCAAGCAATGGTAGTAAGCGTTTTCAATCATAATTACATAACGCTCTTCTAAATGGCGTGCTGATTTAATTCTCATCATTGTTTCCTATAATAGATTTATTGTTAAAATAAAGTTTCCAGTTCAACATAAAATTGCATCTTTACCAGTAGATTTTTAGTTCGAATGTGAGAATCAGGATTTCGCAAGAGAAAGCGTCCACAAGTTTCCAGTAAACAGCAGGCCATATCAATAACATGGTGAGTAAAATTATTTAAAGCCACCTAAATAAAAACCATTTCATAGGTGTTATACCGAAAGCAAGTGCTAGAATATATGTACCATAGTTTGTTGAAAAGGATTTGACAAGGTAGATAGAGAGCAGTTTTCACTTTATCATAAAAATTAATTTTATATACTTTCAAACATAGTAGGGCTTCATCCTTAGAAATGATTCTAAACTTTGTTAATTCACCTATTACAAACATTACGAATATATGTGGTAAAGCAATCACTGATATCGATTACTACACTTTTATTTAAACATTGATAAGGTCTTTTTATCATGGTGAAGCTATTTGGTTTTGATACAAGAAAAATATCATAGATACAACATGCTATACCGATAAAACGGGCAGCCTTTATCTTTTCTTCCAGATGTATCTGATCTTTTTTCCTAACCTATTTTGGGTGTCACATGTCAATTAAATGATGCGTACATATATACAGATAAAATGGATATAGCAAGTTACTTACCCGATACATAAAATCTTTCATAAGCATTACATTAAGAGATGGACCAATCTCTGAAAAGCATGCAGTTAGAGTTGCTACTAATCTTGCATAGAATGGTAGTAAGTCCAGTCTATTAATTAGATTTGACGTAAAATATGATTTATTCAAGCTATGAAGGAATGTTAAAAATAAATACAAATAAGTACAGTAGCACACTGACCTTGTCCTTGGAACATTAAACAATGAGCGTACTAAGGCTTTCCTGTTGCCTTTTGTATTAAAGTTAGTAATAAATTCTGTTGCTGCCTGTAATTTATTAAGGAACTTTTAGCATTATCGATAATTAATAGCTTGAAAAAGGTAACAAACTTACTTCATCAATAAAGTCTCGATTTCTACATGTCGCAAGTTGGCGCAGATAGGTATCGAAAAGACTAGTCATTGATTCGTCCACCTTTGATTCATCAGAAGTTTCTGGGTTGTTATCTTTCAACTCTGTAGATACAAATTTAATTTTTTATCGTGAGGTTAAAATTTACCATATTAGTATGTATCACAATTATACGCTCGTTATAAATTGTTAATATTTGAATTGATATAATAACTGTAATTGTTTACCATCCTGAATGCCTAAATTTTCAATGCTTTCACTGATTTCATCAATCGTTTCTAGTTTGATGTTGTCTATCGATTACAATTGAAATTTTAGAAATGTTTTCTTTCTGTTAATGTACCAATTTTAATAAAAACCGTACTGAAAACTATCGGTGCGAAATTATACGGAACCTGTTGCAATACTTTGGATAAAGTTAGCTTCATTTGATTCGGCACTTGTATCTCCTGAAGATTCAGACTCTTTGAATAAGATCTGACATATGTTTATGATGTAAATAGGGATCAAATACCAGTTAAAATCTGATTGATAGCATAATTTGCACTAGGCTAGACGAAATATACGTAAGAAGGAAGATTGATATGCATATATTAAATTTATAGCCATTACCGCTGGCATAAGAGTTTTCAAGTCCTTTAGATTTTCATAAAACGATCTAGTCTCTTCATCTTCCCAAAGATAATCACCATTAAGCTAATCAGAAAGCAAAATAAATATATTTATTTACTACATGATCTATAAATACAATTTGCATTTTTAGTACGAAAAAGCAATCGATTTCTATTTATTTAATTTGTGACAATATTTTCGAGTTATTTCCATTTAAAGCAACCAAAAAATTAAGTTAATAAAATTACCTCTGAAGCTGGAAAGGGGCAGTAAAGGGAAATTCCGAAAGATTCAGCTTCTTCTAGTTGCTCTAAAAATATCATGTGCACTCTATATTCAGTTTACGTTCAATTTCATGCTTCATTATCTTTACATATTTTAAGTGTTAAAGCATTTATATAGGTCACTTGTACCGTCTTGAGGAAGATCTGGCATATCTAAGTCTAAAATATCCTAATATTCGAAAAGGTAGCAGGAGTATTAATAATTAAGGGATAATTCCTTTTATCTTTTAATATCATTCAGATAGATAGACATACCGATATTGTTCCCGTATGAACATGCAATTTCTCAAATGATTTCTTCGACTTTTCCAAATTTTCCTTTCTTTCTTCATTCAACTCTCCTTTTGTCTGATAGGTTTTAATACTTGAAGTCATTAGCTAATCTCTAGAAACGTACGATCATAAACCATGAAGTATAAAGATATACATGCAATATCTTCAAGTTCTGCCGTGTCATTCTCTGTATTTCTTTATGCTGTTTCTCCAGATATTTGACTAGCGCAGCATGATAATCAAAAACTACCAAACGGAATTGCTTCTTTTTGTTGTCCGATATGATCTAAATGCAGTAGTTTATCGTCACTGAATAATAATGTTATAGCACAGATGGTATAATGGTATAATGAATGTTTTACTTTACTAGCTGGAGCTTGAAAGTTGAATTTCTCTATTAACAGCCTTCGGTATTCGAAAATAGTAGACAGGGTATTAGATTACATAGTGGTGCGATAATAGAAAATATTATGTCTATAAACATACCGGTTCTTTCTTGGAGTTATTCCAAAAAAGTCTTCGCAAAAATGGCGACAGAAACTAATTACTACCGGTAAATAATCAAAGGTGGCCTGTAGTAACATTGAAAAAGGGTAATTATATTCTGAAAAGACCTTTAAGCGTTGCATAGATAATTTTTATGAATCTGACCTTGTCAATTGTAATTATACCAGAGAAGGCAGAATGTAAGATATCGGTACCGTTTGTACTTTCATTGAATACTCCGATAATTATCAGCTTCAAGGTGATTATTTAAAAATTTTAGCTTATTAAGATGGGCTAAATAATTTATATAATAACATAACACAGCTGTAAGCAAAGTAATAGAAACTCTATGCTGTGGATACATTAAAAGCTATCTCGGCAAAGATTGCAATTTACCTCGCCTAGTAGTCGTAAAGTGACTCGATAGCGAGCGATCTTAACTGATTTATCATCGTCCTTAGTTTCGGTGAAGCTTGATTGCATTCCTTTCAGCAATAGAGTGGCGAATTCAGAATAACGTTGGTGCATCAAACAACAAATTTGAATAGCGCAGGAAACATCGGATAGCTAAAAATGATAGCAGTGTAGATCATACTAATAAGCCTTACTTAGTTATTGATCTGATTGCATTATCACTAGATACTATACGGGAAAATGTAAAATATATCTACTGTAGTAAAAAGGAATATACGAGTATATAATTATTGTATATTTAATTCATTTTACCGACCTTCATTTTACTTTCTAAAATAGCAGACACCTAAAATAATTACAGGAGCAATAAAATACATCCAAGAATTATATCATAAGTTATGCTAACATATTAGCGCATTTTTGTGAAGTTAGTAGGAGTAGAATTGTTTAAGTTTACAACGTTGATGAGAAAGCGTAACTTACCACTTCCGGTACGTATTTAGTGAGATTGAGAGATTGTGCATCTTTAAAGATAGAGTCACGTTGCTGATCACTAAGTGTGCGCTAATTTAAAAATAAAGACGAAAAGCTAAGTGATACAATGGTGTGCAATGTATTTTAGATATTCTTCATTAGTGTTTAGCATGATTGACGCGCTTGGACGGTACAGTTACAAGGATTTCTTTCATTACAAAAGGCTATAGTATTTAAGATAGAATTGATTTACAAACCAGTTTTTTAACGAAGGTTGTATTTCTTTTTACACTAGAATCCAGCGATCGAAAGAAAGACTCTTCTGGTCTACTAGCTAAAAAAATAGTGCATATATGTATATTTAGTAATAAAAATCTTACTAGTTTGCAACCATCATTAATAAAAGCTAGCTATACTTGGCTAAATTCATGTCTTGTATATGTTACATTAGGTGGCTTAGTATTGATTGGGGAAAAATCGTTACAGTTAATTTGGTAAGTACTGAAGCTACATAACATTACAATATAAGTTGTGGTCAATTGTTAAAGGATGTCATCACTCTTTGATATATTATCGTTGTAAATAGTAACCTATCTATGCCTATTAGATCGATAACAATCATTGAAAAGTTTAATGGAAATAGTAAACAATAGTAATATATGCTAAACCAATGTAAACTTTTTCATTTTATTTGTATCATATAGATAATCCAACCTGCTAACTTGATATTTTCCTCTCTCTGAGCAATTTTAGATTCTAACTTTTGCTGGATTTCGTTTACCAGCTGCATAGCACGTTGCTACAAAACAAAAGATTGATTGCGATATCCATCACTGTTAATCCGACGAATCGTACAAGCTAGAAAGTCTATGTAACTGACTACCATTCTATGTTGTATCAATAGTAAAATATTTTAAATATATATATATATATGATTAGGAAAATGCAGACATTTAAAGATGTCATGGAGGAGGGTTAAATTGGTTTAATTGAATTGCGAAACTTTTTTCTAAGGTACATAATATCTCAATTTTTAACTTTATTGAGCAATGACTGGTTAATTTATTTGTAACAATTTAGGAACATGAGTGATCCCAGGTTTATTTTTTCAAGCTGCCATGAGACTTTGAAATACTGTTTCAATTTAAACTACATGTAATGTTCAACTTTGCCTATTGTATAAGCACGCATTGAAAGCAGTATTATTTATTTTTGGGTAGAGTGACGTAGTAGGCTGCACTTATACCAAGTCATCACTAAATAAAGAGTTTAATGGTGATTGTGCTGTATGATAAACTGTGTTAGTACAGCAGTGGTACTGAGATAGAGATCGGCTAGTTTGGTCAACTTCACTAATTTACTTGAACTAAATTAGATAGACCTCTAAGTCCATGTTTTGAGTGAAGACTTACTTCGTCTACTTTCTTATTCTCTTCGTTTTCATCCGTTAGATTGGAGTCAGTAGTTTGTGCTTGCTGGTCTGCAGGCTATCATGAATAAAGAGTACAAGTATGATAAAAAATAGAGTAAACTTGTAGTGACTGTCGAGTACGCGTAGTGAGTATGTCTATCCATCTTTATTCAATGGCTGCAAGTACTTGATGTCAATCATAGCAGCACAAAATGTAATGGAAAAGATCAAACCATGATTGTCATCAGTTAGCCAAATTGGTGTATTTATTGCTATTGTACCTTAATAGAAAATTGATATACTCTATTGTGATAGAAATACCTCGTCTTTTTGGCTTGTAGCTTCATCATTTTCATCTTTAATATCATTCTTGGCTTCATTATGAGCCCGTTTATAGCTATCCATCATCAAATAGTGAGTAGTCTTAGTATTTAGTAACACAAGTTAGGTAGACATTGGCTAGTCAAAGCTATTCTCTTTCTTAATAATGATAATGTATTTGTCATTACTGTAACTGTTGAGCTATTCATTCAATGAAATAGGATTAGGTCATTTTGTGTAGTCACTAATAAGGCTTATTGAAGAATGTGGTTGCAACTCAGTGATAGGGTGATTGCCTTTTCCTCGATACAAGGTGATTTAGTAGGACAGTACCGTCCAAGGCGGCATTTCCCTTACGAATTCTTTTACTACTATTTAGTTAAGTTAATGCTTGTAATAATCAAGTCAACATGCAACTAAAATTGGAATATAAATTCTGAAGTCGTCATTGATATCCTTATGCTATCAAATGGAGGACCATTTGACATCCTACTGTGTCAATAGGGTCCATTAAGTACGCTTACTACGGATTGAACAAGTCCAATCATTGGTAGGAAAGGTTGTATTGAATGCTCATTTTCGATCTTTAAACAAGGCTAAAAGTGAACTATGAAATTACAATTGAACTTCTGCTATAATATGACCATTACCTATCATCAGTGCATTTATCTATCTTGGCAGAATCAAGCTGCAATGACTGTTGATGGCTGCTTTTCTTGCCTTTATGATCCATTTTGAAAATTTGCAGAGACTAGCATTCAATGGAACGCGCTTGGCCTGGTTGAAGTAGCAGGAGAGGTTGAAGTTGCCAAGGCTGTGACATGTAAACGGTCGTGTTACTGTACCGTACGTCATTACTGGAACTGTTGCACCATGTCAACTCAGTCACTTGATGGACACGTAGTCCAGTCAACATACAGTATCCCAGTCACATGAGGACGGTACCGTCGTGGACTATATGGGACCATTTTGTAGGTTGTCCTTTACGATAGTGGTCCAAACATGGACTACACCAGCAGTCAATTCACTGACCAATTGGGTCCACGGTATGATACGGTAGAGTACCACCATTGACTGAATCATACTGTACTCACTTGTACACACAATGTACAACTTGGATTTTTGAACCAAGGTGAGACATGGAAAATAATCCGATTGTATACTACAGTATAGAATTTGAAGGACTGACCGACACGTGTGACAATTCCACTTCCAATCCTGACGTCAGTGGTTTGTTAGTTAACTAACCTTTACCGATGGATGGCCTACGACAGCAATGGTCATAAAAGCTAAAAGCTATTGCACCTTACTTCTATTTCTGTCTGTAGAGAAAGTAGATTGCATCCGAGTCTGCATCTCCCTCCCATTGCCTCCAAAATCTGCAGCGGCCCCCTACCCCCCCCCCCTTGTGGGCCCAGGTTAACAATCACTGGCGTGTCATATCGTTGGATCGTCTTTGAGTTTGCAAATACAGTACTGGTAAAGTGAGTCAGCAGAGCAAGGACTAAGAACGATCAACCTTTACTACTCAAGTCGCTCTTCAGTAGTCGTTCGTCGTGACTCTGTACTATGTACCATGGTACTACTTGTACACAACTTTTTTCTTAGTAATCCATGGAAAACACTGCAGTAGTCACATGCCTTGATCAGCTAATATCAATATCGGTTACAGAAAGACTGGCTAGGGCTATTGGATCGCCCAAAAGAACACTTATCCAATATGCTAGAAATGGTCAAGTCGTTGTTGCGGCTGACGTACTGTATTCCATGATCAGGACGATGAACGCACGCGTCATGCTACACGTGATTACTAACAAATTAGTAAAAATGCAGTGTTGTGCTCTTCTATGCTAAGGCTAGGTTAAAAAGACTGTACAGTACTGTATGGTATGGCATGGACTCCTAGAATGACTAGGTTTTGCTAGTAGTCCATGGGTATGCACTGTCATGCTGTACACTGTACAGTGCACAATGGACAGTACAATCGATGCATTGTATTCTCCTGCACTGTACACTGTACACTGTACTGTACTGTACTGTACTGTAGGCAGCTAGTCAGAATACTGTACGTACAGTACTGTACTGTACTGTAAGCAGCTAGTCACAATACAGTACGTACAGTACTGTACTGTAGGCAGCTAGTCACAATTCGTACTGTACTGTACTGTAGGTGACGAAAAGAAAGACATTGCCTCATTCGTTATCCATGATATAGAACTTGTTTGTATCCTATCGTTGGTTACTTTGTAAAATTCTGGATATATCTCAGATGCAAATAGTAATGTCTTAACAAAGAAAAAGCCCTAAAAGATGAAAATTGAACGAAATAAATTGCGAAAGAGCACGTCCGACGTGGTATGTATTCATAAATAAATACACTAGTTCGACAAGTATTCAAAGATTGTACAGAATTGTACTTGTCCAGTTGGCCATGATTAGCTGACTGTAGCGTAATGGGTGATGTGATTTGCGTTCGGCGATACACATGGATTACGACATCGCTGTCGGCAAGAATCCATGGATCTACATACTACGCAATCAATTCATTTTCAAGTTGATGATGCAGTACTAGGATACTTGTCATTAGTTTGTCCATTCTTGCACAAAGCTGTTCTACGGTACAAGCTAAAGAATAGTATTATTATCACAATACAACATAAAGGTTAGTATTATTGTACAGTATACTACTGTATAGAAGATATGGTGGAATGACCGACGTTAGTACATTCTTCTAATGTACTAAATATGTCATTGCCTGGAAGATTCGATAAGCTATTTTTCAATCATGGACAGCACAGCATTGGAGGACTTGATATACCCAAGTCGATCAGCTTGATCGATGTAGCTCAATTCCTCATCCTACAGCACAATGAAGCGCGCAAACATGTGTCTTCAAGCCTATTGTACGGTTATAAAACTATTTGCATGTCGTGCAAAATGATAGGATTGACTGTAAATGGGGCCCCCGATTCTACCTAGCCAGATCTTTCTACAATGATTGGGGTCCATTCACTTCCTGGATCAAAGGGATAAAGTATCTTTGCAACTTACGCAATTCCTGTAATGGGCTGGATCTGCTTCTTTTTCAAATTATCTGGGAAGAAACTTCAAGCGGTTTTTTTTTTAATAACCTGTACATGACTCACAATGTGACTAATGCACATAATCAATGGGGTTTTTTTTTTTTTATCTACGCCACCTTTATGGTGCCATTGTAGTACCGTACTGTATTCATGGATTCGATATGCAGGTTATTGGAGAACTGTATTGCTTACTACCGACTACTGTATACAGTCAACATCAGCTTTGGTATGAATTTGGCGTCTATCCCTTACGAATTAGATTGAAGAGATTGCTTGTTACTTGACGAGTTCAAATAGAATCAAATAACTCCCCGTATGACATTCCTTTTTTTAGATAGTTTAAGCGTCAAGAGTGATTTACGAACTGATCCTATCTACAGTACGATGACTATCCATGATATGAAACTCCATGGTCAGAATTTTATTTCCCGATTGATGTACCCGTTAATAATATCGAAGCGCGCACTTCCAGTTCTGCAGTGTTGTACGCAATAGAATAAAGTAGAGTAGTCAACTAGTTCTGTATCAAAGACTTGAATTGCTACAAACTCATCCAAATCTATCACCACCAAATATGCATTGTCGATTGAAAAATTTCAATCATCAATTTCTAGTATCGATCGGAAAATGATGACTCTGTACTTTATACTGCACTCTACACTACAGGGTATTGCTTCATATCATGATTCAATCTCTCTTATACCGTATTGTGATCGATTACATTTGGCTGTACTGTATAGCCAACGATGATTGTATAGTACTCCTACAAATCATAATGCGGTACTTTGTTCTTTATTGATCCAGCCATAGCAGTCATGATAGTAAGAAATGAATGTCAAGGCACTTTTACCCCAGAATTACTCTTTCTTGAACTGAGTGAATGAGCGTAGTCAATAATTGTTAACTAGCTCTTGTTTTCTAGTACGATACATCCTACTGTGGTTATTACTTTCAAGTTATTTCTCTTTCAGCGCTGAAATTTGTTCTTCAAAATTAGCATCAGCATTTGTCCATAACGATAATGCATACTGTATAGTACTGTCCTGTAAATTTGAATTGTTTGCTATTCTTTTTCCAAATTCTTGCCGGGATTTTACTTCTCAATCATAACAGTGATATTGGTAATCGATTATAGGAGTGTTAATGAAATAGAAATTAAAGTCATATCCATGTTCCATCAACCATAATAATATAATATATAACCAAATAGATCATAAGTCGGCTGTGGATAGCAGTATGCTATTGCTTGAGTTTTCCTTCATACTGCCGTCACCATACTGTATGATACTAGTACCGTATTGCACTGTATACGCAACTGCACTTTGTGAATGATACTGTACTATAGTTGGATTTTACGGTACAACTGCCAGTACAGGGGATAGTAGACAGTACTACCGCGCTGCCTGGTTATGACATAATGCGAATCCATTTTTAGATAGGATTGAACCAAATAAAGTTAGAATAAGATAGCAACGCAATGCGTTTAGTTTGTGTAGTTTTCTCTTTGAACTCTCATTTCTGATATTGAAGTAGCTATGCTGATATCAATAGCGGACTATAATCCATACTGGGACGTAACACATGTTTTAAATGTGTATTGCTGAGTCATAGCTTTCTAATCTCTTTTCCGTGGACAGTGTGAGGATAATATGGTGGACAATTGCGATCATGTTGCTATCGTACGTCGAACAATAAACCTACAGTAGATAGAGAGTATGTTGAGCTGGGCCATTTGACACCTTGATGCTTGATGATCCTGTGGGCATTGGTTGTGCTTGATTGACGTGCTTTCTCAGAATCAATTTTCTTATTGCAGATGATTGATATTGGAATAGTCATGATGAGATTGATTGTTTAGTCGTCTTAAAGACATCACTTCACTTTCAATATGATCAGAAAAGTTATTTCGGAAAAAATTGTTGTTCATCATGTAAACCGTTAGTGACTTTAATCCATCATCCAGATAGTTTTGCTTCAAGTTGTCACCGTCGTTCATTTTTTACTACTACTGTATGCTAAAATACGAAAAGCAACAATCTTCGGTACCATACTTGTAGCGATAGTAATTGCATCGATTGTTCTCTAATGCATTTATCTTCAAGTTCTACTAGTATGAAATACCGTAGGACACCAATACATCGATACGTATTCTATACATCTACAGTATCATGGCATGCTAGATATACGATATGAATAAGTTTTATTTCTGTACACTCGATGCCACTTAATAATTACGATAGTACTTTGTGTACCAAGCCATTTAGAATATCTTGAAATCCACAATTTACAGTATTATATGTAGAGATATTACAATGCTTTTTGTACGGTATTTATATATAGTTACATGATGCCTGCATGACGTAGTCACTACTTACAGGTTGCAGCAATAAACTCATACTAAATGAACGTTTATTATACGCGTGGCTCTAAATTGTAAAAGTAGACTTTCAAAATGCAATTAATTTCTAACTATTCCTTTATTTGATATGATTCTAATTTCAAATAGCATTAACGTTCTGAAAGTTATCTACCCCCTCAAATCATTATTAACATCTACTTTGTTAGAATACTAAGTTTCTAAATACAGTACGAGCTACGTACTACTATTTGGATCGTAGGGAACGAAACTCTAGTATCATCAATGATTTATCTAGTCAAAAAGCTGTAGCCAATCTGTTCTTTTGAACAAATTTTGTGATTAAATTACTGTACTGTATTCTTTTTTAATAGAAAGACATAGTACATAAAACGTGGATTGAATATATAAAATTACATGGATTACTTTATCCAGTTTCTTTGAACAAAGTTTCAATTCAAGATGAAGTCTTAACCAATGTTACCATGAAATTTTTATCGTAATATTATATATTTCTTGTCTTTACCAGCCTATGGAATGCAATTTGCTAATAAAGCAGATTTTGTCATGTCCGGATTCCAACGAACTTGTTAAAATATTGAAGTCAATCAGCAATTGGACATTCGGAAAAGTAAGTAATATGCTACATTACAATCGTTGACGGGTAAAATAGTTCATTAATTAAGCATGGTTGCTTAACGACTAAAATAAGCACACTAGTGTGCTGTATATGTATAGTATGATGTGTTAGTCATATGAAACTTTTACTCAAAGTAATTCTATTATACGATCCTATTAACGACAATTTATTGTTCAAATGTTTTGTTATTTAGAGCGAATTATACCACTGGGTAGATGTGCTAGACAGATTTGATCACATTCTTGAATTAGCCGCTAAACCACCAGAAGGGATGGATCAGTGGCAGTATCTTAGCACCTCTTTACAAGAAGGGGGGAAGGTAATTAAAATTTGTGCAATTATAAAGTAAAAATTCGAATAACGAAATTCTGAGCTACTAAATTATTGCAATGATAATGTTATCAGATTTTATCTGTGGTCATAAATTGAAGTACAGTATTCATCTAAAGATTGACAATGATACTATCGAAACTTATTTTTATCGAATCAGTTACAGGATTTAATAGTGGAGGTCTTGCGATTTACGGCGTTACTAATTGAACATTCCTATGCTAGGCATCTTTATAATTCTATGGAGGTATGTTAAACCTGTTAATCATGTACAGACTTCTGTAGTGTATACAGACAATCTACTGTAAATGCCTATATGTTCTGTTTGCATCGAAATTTCTATCCAGAACTAATATCATGCTTTTGTTTCTATTCAGCATCTTACAACATTGTTAGCATCACCTAGCTTGAACGTTATTTTAGCGACGCTAAATTTGCTATACGTCTTTAGGTAAGTCATTCACAGTGTCCATCCCTTATTGTCCATTATTACAATAAATGATAATATCCTGCCAGTATCTGATAGTGAATGCTATTAGTGAAAGATATGATGCATTTTCTTATACAATATATAGTTTAGAAATTATAATGTATTTACGAACTTAAAATTAATGAAAGCTTTTATACGCTTTTGAAAATGATTGTAGTAAAAGATCAAATTTTATATCTCGAATGCCATCGGAAAAGCGCAAATTTTTATTGACGAGATTGCAGTATCTAGCTGAGGTAATTATTTTAGCGACTGAAGAACAAACACAAAATCTATTTTATTAAATACGTTAGATGTTGCAATGTCATGTATCTACAATTAAAAGATTTTTTATTTTACTTGTAATCAGAGCTGGGGTGGCAATGTAAATGGTTTCGGTCTTTCTAAATGTGCAAGAGACATACCTATTACAGTGAGCACTAGAAATCAAATAATACTATAATTATTTTAGTGTCTTATATCATGCTCAGTATTGCGTTACGATAACAAATAGGAATTTCCAGCTAGTGCGACTACACTGCATTTTGAGTACCACATGAATACTCCTGCCGATGCTATTATAAAGGTTAGAATTATTGTTTTTTGGAATTTAAAAAGTGACATTATTGTGATATTTTGGAAATTAATCTTGTAGGATGACGCCCAAGCGGTTAATGTGTTATACACAATTCACCTAGAGAATTTAGATAAGGTAAGTAATTATATGCATCCACTCATCATAACTTTATGAAAACAAGAATTGATTTTAATTTCTCGCTTTGATATTTAAATATTGCAGTATTCAGAAAATCCTTGTGAGATTATGTCGCAGTTAATGTCGGTTTATAACATACCAGAAAGTTTACAGGTTAATCAAGAATGAAACTTGCGTCTTTGTGTTTGTGTTCATTATTGTCCAAAAAGTTAAAATTTCTTCAGAGAATTGTATCAGTGTTAACTGTTCCCAACAATTTTTTTTATTTGATAAAAATTTTTCGCAGATGCAATTGTTCACGCGTGTTTTACTGGCCAGTACATTTTCACGTTATGAAAAGCGTTTGAAGTGTATAGAAGCTAGATTACAGGCTACATCCATCCTCGGTAATGTTTAATTAATTAGATTACATGGTGCGACTTTAGTAATATATTTGACAGATGATTTATAATCCTAATATGTAACAACTATGAAATTCTTATTCGTTGCATGTATACTATATTATTACAGTTTATTGTAGTGTCAGCCAAGATGTTCTCAATTCGATTCTGTATCCTGGCCTCATTGAGGAATTAGTTGAAGTCTTAGAAAGTGATTATGGAAATCACAGCAAGCAATCTATGGTATGCTAAATGTAATCAATTGTTCGTTCTGTAGACTGGATTCGTATTATTTACGGTTATATTTTTAAAATTGAAGGAAATAATGGAAATTAAAGCTGCTGTCCTTCGAACCTTGACATCCGTTATTCATCTGGACAGGAATCCAAGGTATAGCTGTGGCAGTCATGTGTACATTACTATTTATTTTTTAATTGAACTTTTTATATAAAGTAAAGGTCTTCAAAGTTCAGCTATTAAATGAATCGGCCAGTATGTTATTTTAATTATCAGAGTTTGCGACAGTGTGTAATAATTCAATAATTTATGCAATTATGCAGGATTAATAATATTATAGAAGCGACTGGTGCCTCGTCTTATCATGGGTTCCTACCTTCGCTAGTACATGCCGTTGTTGAAAAAATGACTTCTTCTAAAGGTGATAATTTTACGTATGTTAGATATTGTTAATTTGCCGTTGCGATCGTAGGTTAATTTTTATTATAATTCTGTAATAATATAGAATGCCACAGTAGACGTTCAACGCCAATGACAACTGCCCTGTTTTCGTTTTTATACCACTTGGCAAGTTATGAAGCAGGTAGATAAATAAGTATTAGAAAATTTTGTCGATTTAGTTTATTATTTTACAAGGCATGGTGTTCAAGTCTTAGGTTTCTAATTATTACTAATTTTTATGAACATAAGGCGGTGAAGCTCTAGTTTCATCTGGATTGGTTGATTGCCTATTGCGAGTTGTACGACATCCTGGAACCAGTCATGAATACATTTCTGTTAGTACTTAAGAATATTTAAATAGTTTCACATTTGTAAGCATTGCTAGTGGTCTGTCTAATTGTTTGTCTTTTACCATAAATTATAGTTTGTTACTAGAGCTGTGCGAGTTATTGACTTAATAACAAATCTAGATATGACAGCATTCCAAAATCATGATGGTTTAAATTGTTTCATCACAAGATTAGAGGTTTGTATATTCTGTTTTATTGTCTTTTTCTTATAAATATTTTTTTCACAGTAATTGTGATTACAAATTTTTTTTTAGCATGAAGTTAACGTATGTCGTCAAGTAGTACCATATGTAATATCTGTTAATGGTGATGAAACTAACATAAGTGAAGGAGCTAGGCTAGATACAAGTCAGAGATTAAATGTTGAAGCTAGTGGTACAGAAGCTAGTGATCCATCTCCAATGTCTGTTGACCTATGTGACCATGCATATAATGCTGATACTGTTAGAGACGATGATGGTTCTACCCTAGTTAATAGAAGCGAAGAAATGGACGTAGAGAATACAGTAGAATCTACTACGCTTCGAAGTAATGATGAAATAATGGATATTGAAGATGCAGATGGTAAACGTGGTGATGAATGCCAACAGAAAAATACCAATAACAAGCAATGCCTTCCTTTACGTGCAGCTCTATTAAAATCGATACTTAATTTTCTTAAAAAAGCAATGCCAGAACCCGCTTTTTCTGATAATATACGCGGATTAATGGATACATCTTTGCCCAAATCATTAAAACATATGATTAGTAATGCTAACTATTACGGAGCATCGCTGTTCTTATCTGCAACAGATGTAGTAGCTGTGTACATCTTTCAAGAACCAACTGTACTATCGGTATTACAGAATAATGGCCTTAGTTCAATTATCATCAAGGCCTTAATTGAAAAAGAGGTTCCTGCTACCCGAGAAGTTCTCAGTTCTCTACCTAATGTGTTAGGTGCCTTATGTCTAAATTCGAGAGGTTTAGAGCAGTTGGTAAAGATTAAACCGTTCCGAAGGCTCTTTAGAGTCTTAGTATCAGAAGAATATTTACCTGCAATGCGACGGCGACGTAGTTCTGATCAACCTGGCGATACGGCTTTTAACTTAGGTGTTGCAATGGACGAGTTCATGCGGCACCAGCCGTCTATCAGAACTGACGCTATGAATGCAATTATAGAACTAATAAAAGAGCTGGTCTCCTTAGGTACAGATGATCAATACTCTTGTTTGACTAGCCCAAGCAAGAATATCCCAGATGGTGGTCAAGAATCCCGTAATCGAAATGCAGATGTTAGCTCTGATGAAGAAGACGAAACAGACAATACATCTTCTCTAGCAATAATATCTAGGGAAGTTGGGGATAAAGATGACATTCAAAAACGGAAATCAATTCCGCTACTTGACTACATATTTAATGTGGCAAAGTTTTTAGAGTCGATTATTGGTAATCATAGAATAGATGATCATTGTCATGATTTTATCCGACAAAATGGTCTTGTACCTCTTATGGAATTATTTGCATTACCTAATTTGCCTCTGGAGTATCCTACAACAACACCTTGTCAATCAGTTTCCCAAGTTGCAAAAGATATTATGAATCTCTCTCGTGATGGTACCGTATTAAGGACAGCATTTAATGCTTTCAAGAAGATACTTGTCAATTTACAAGAATGTCCTACATCAACATCTATGTCCGGTTCTATGTTGTTAAAGGAACTATCGTGTTGTAACAATTTAGAAACTGCAGCAGAGTCGTTTAAAACTACACCTATATTACACTATTTGAGCTCAGCAAGTAGTTACGTCAATATGCTAACTCAAGTTTGTCGAACAGGACAGGTTAGTCAGTAACTAAAAGCCTAGCTAATCTTATTTACAAGTATTATACAGTACAATATACTGTATATATATATATATATTTATATATATGTTTGTTTAATATTTTATAGTTATCCGTTCAAGCGGTATGTATTAAAGAATGGGGATCAGATGATGGTTTGTCCTTACTAGGATCTTTATCGGACATTTATTTAACCCTAATCTTTGAAACTGGAATTCTTCATGCTCTCGGGAAATCTGGCTCACTACCTGAAGAACCGAAGTTTTGTCAAAAGTATTGGAAAAGTATTTTAGTGACATTTAGAGGAGTTTTTGATGCCTATCAAACTAGCGTAACTGTAAAAGCTACTACGAATGAATATTGTAACACACCAGAGGAAAAGGAACCTTCTAAGGAAAGTATAAACGCGGAATCTTCTGAAAGCGATCAGAAAAATGTAAGTGAAGTTATACAATTTGGAAATATCCGTGGAAGAGATAAGGCCATCGAAGATATTAAAGATGTATCAGTATCTCCAAGTACTTTCATAAAGCGTCGTAATAAAATATCCGAAGGATTATTAAATGCTTTTTCGGAGATAATTTCAAAGAAAGATAAAAAAGAATTTGGGGTAATGATGGAAGCACTTAGAACTATTGAAGAAGAGTGTGATGATACGACTTGGCAGACCAAAATGTCGAATTTAGCGGAGATTGTGCGCCCACTTGTGAAACCTCTTTTCGCTGCTGCGTCGAGTTTAGGACACGCTATAGCTGACTTATTCACTTTGTTAATAAAATCTTGTGTTGGACCATCTGCTAAACACCGTAATCGAAATAATTATCCAGTAACGACTGAATTTGCTACGAATATCATAACTCGGTTGTGTTCATTCCTTTACAAAGCGCTTACTTGGAGCCCTCCAACTGGTTTTCCATATGATAGACTTAGATTAGTATTTTTGGTGTGTGCGATTGGAATTACATCAAATCTTATTTTTGATGATCGAAAATACCCATATTATATTGTGTTAAAAAAGTTTATTGAGACTAAATGCGATATAGCATTATTTTCTGCATTTGAATGGGTAGTAGAATGCGATAAACGCTACTCAGCTATGCCAAAAGATAATGTAGTAGCTCGAGATATGTCTGAAATAATTGAGGAGTTCTTCGAATCATGGCTAAGTTTACTTATCCGCTTTGTCAACACAACTACCATGTTGGATCCGCAATATCCATTGCAAACTACTGGTAGTGCCTCAAGTTCTGCTGAGGAACCATTTAACGCTTTGCACTTTGTGATTCGTACCCAAAAGGTATATATTAAATTGTCGAAAATGAATTCAATTTTGAAGTTACTACATTAAAGTTGATTATTCAAAATATCGATAGATATTAAAATATTGTTGAATATAATTTTTTTTGATAGGTTGCGTTTGATAACTTAAGATACATGTGGAGCAAAGACAACTTTAAGCATCATTCTCCGGGAATTGTGTCATGTATCCTAACAATTTCATGCTTGATTATCAATGGTGACACTGTAATTAGGCAGAAACTTGCTAATTCAGCTGATAGCAGTAGTGGTAACCAACTAGCCTCATCCTCTACGGTTGATAGTAATGCGAGCAACTCTCAATCACGAACTCGGCGAGATAATGATGATGAGAGATCAATTAATGAAAATTATCTTATCCAGGTACGATATTATCAATAGTCTTTGCATTACTTCAGTAATTTACTTGATTTCCCTTTTCATACCTTTAGCTTTTAGACATGGGATTTTCTAATACTCAAGCACGTGCAGCATTGCGTTGTTGTGAAACAGTTGAACAAGCAACTGAGTACATCATAAATAACCTCTCTGAAATTGAACCTACGGAAGAGGATCAATTGCGAAGAGCTATTGAAGCTTCAATGACTGATGCCGCCGCGGCTTCATCTAGTGTCGTTACTGTTGTGAGTCGTTAGAAATATTTTCTGAAATACATGCATTACATTAGACTAAGATGATTATTCTATATAGATATCAGACTCAAATGATGAGACTACGGTTGAACAAGGCCAAAATAAAACTTCTGAAGATGAAAATAAACAGGTATTATTTTACGTTAGAAATCAATTTAAATTCGAATTTAACCATTTTTACACTCCATTAACTTGCAGGTGTCAACTGAAAAGGAATACGATGCTATTTCGAAAGAGCAATTAGATAACTTTACGGCGGATGTTCTCAATGGATGTTTAATGTTGTTAGAATTATCTGCTGATTCAGTTTATAGAATTTGTGATGTTATTGTTACTGTAGCAAGAAGAAATGGTATGGAATGGCAAAGGCAAACTCTAATGGGTCTAATAGACAAAGTATGTTGTTTTGTAGTAAAATCTTGTTAAGTACAAATCTAATCTGAAGTAATATACTTTAATAGACAAGTGTAGAAATTAATTCAATCCTGAGATTGGCAACTTCGGATGACTGCCAAAGAGATATATTTATATCTGAAAGTCTGACATCGAAGATTTTGTTGATAAGCTTACTGATGGAGGTAATATAGACAATATCTACTAAGACATACATTGCAAGTTTTTTCTCAAAAATAGTCATTTTTTTAGGAGCTGAGGATACCGTGTGCCTCTGTGCTTGCCAAATCGCCACTTGTAGACCTGTTAATTCGTTTACTCACTCTTACTCAAGAACTACTGATTTGCAATGGAAATTTTGAGCATCCTAAGTAAGCTAGGTTTTATGTGTATATATAATATTGGAAAGGTTAAATAGTCAATAAATTGTAATCGTTTATGCATACTTTAGATGGTTAGGACCTTTGCTTTTACTCATTGACTTGCAAGAAAAAATGGCAATTGCTTCGAAACGACGTGCAAAGAGAGGCTCTGTAAGATAACTACGGATCTGTATTCTTTTTAGTGAATTATGTCCTCAATTGTTATTTATTTAATTACAGGATTTTAACTATCAATGGCAGTGGCATGAAGTCCGAAATGGCAGATGGTCAAACTATTCTGAAGCTACCAATAAAGAAATTAATGCTGCTTACATGGCTGGAAATACAAATCTAAGGTATTTACTGTGTTCTTGACATAGGTCTCAATTGATGTTTATAAACTAAATGTTTTGTTCTTGTTGATACCCATGTAATAGATTTATGATTGGGCGAAGACGTTATACAATTGATTTTACGTTAATGGTACAGGTAGGCGTCTTGACGATTTCAGGCTTTCGACATAAGCTGTAATACAGATGGTTAATTTCTAATATTATCTCTCACCGATTTCTAGATAAACGAAGACACTGGCACTCGTCGCCCAGTTATGTTAATGGCTCAACCGTCTAACCAAAAAGAAGAGCATTCTGCAGTTGATGGAGAAGCTAGTAATGAAACCGCTAAAGGCGCTACCAAATCCTCCAAAGATAACGACGAGAATTGTATGCGTGACAATTATATATTGTTTTTAATAATAGAGATAATTTTCGACGGATTTCCATAAGGTTTATTTAATATTGCTTTCCCCTAGTTCATATTGAGCCATTTGACGGATTTAATAAAGATCAAGCTATTTGTATTATCAGGTTTGTATGACTAACTACACTTTCTAAAAGTATTGCTAATAATCCAAAGTTCTATGTTTTCTTGGTCTTGTAGATCTTCTGCCTTGTTGCTGAAGGTTATCACTGATCCAGATACCGTTCATGCTATTTTGAGGATTTGTCTGCGATTAACGCGAGATTATGATCTGGCTTACATTTTTGTTGAAAACAATGGTGTCAGTAACCTAGTTAACCTAAGTGATTCTTCTAATTTTGTTGGTTTTCGGCCTCTGGCTACTTTGTTATTACGTCATATTTTCGAAGAATGGAGTTTATTAAATCAGGCCATGATAAACGTTATTCAAGAAGTACTGAATATGAAGGGTGGTAGAGATTATCGCTATCTTAGCCAAAAAGAATTTAATTACATTCTAAGAAGACTTGGTCCAGCTATCTGTCGAAGCGAAAATATTTTTGTTGAAAATTCTAAGAAAATGATGCGTTTCACTATCCCAGCTCCTAAAAGGAATGGGAGGGATGCCGAACTTGATAAACGTAATATCGACTCTTTACCGCAGCATGTCAAACTTGCAGGAGATTTTAAAAATGATATTAGCATATCTACCCTGCCGACACCGGCACAACAGGTTCTTAAAGTATTGTTAGACTGTTTGTACATGAAACCAAATCTGAAACAAGTAGAAAAAAATATCGCTTTGAAAACAACTGATGACCGTGAAAGTGAGAAACTTCATGATATTGAAATTGATAAAAAGTCTAAGATTGATATTGTTGACGACAGCAAGACTCCAAAATTGCTATTAAAGAAGTCAAGTATTTTACAGCTACTCTCGGAACTTGTTCACTCTTATCCGATATGTTGTCATTTCATAACTGAATATATACCGGATAGTAATCATAGCAATAAGGTATTTAAAGAGATAACTTTATTACCGTAAATTTCATCTGATAGCTGTTTTTTTCTTATTTATAATTATCTAGAATTCAGTTAGTAACTTAAGCAAAAATTTTTAATTTATATTAAGGGTGTTCCAGTGTTAGCTCATATCTTGGATAATTTACTGCCGGCTGAAAGTGATAAAGACGATCCAGAAATTTCATCAGCTGCATGCGCGTTTCTGGTATCAATCTCTCTAGCGTCTGAATTCCCCGAATCTCAAGGATTATTAGTCTCTGAAATAAAGGCATCCATGTCCAGAGTATTATCTCAGTCAGTTTGTCACAGTAAATATCTAGCGCTACAAGCAATAGCAAATCTTATATCTTCAATAATAGATTCATCTTCTAATGATGAAAAAGCAGCTGAATTTCGACAGAAATTTAATGCCAGTAATTCAGATCTTAAACCAAGCCATATTGTTCGGCTACTAAAACGAAAGGGTTTAGTAACCGATTTAGCTCGTATACCACACAATCTTGACTTATCGAGTCAGTACATGCCCACTATTGTAAATGCAGCTCTGAAACCTCTTGAATCATTTGTGCGCATGTTTAACACGACATCGGATTCTTTTGATCGATCATTTAATAATCAACTGCGAAGAAACGATGTTACAAATACTGCACCTTCTCCGCAGGAAGTGGCAGATTCTGTTGACGATACTCAACAAGAAAGAAGTAGTGGATCGACAATGGATGTTGCTGTAGAGAGACATATGCAAGACATTGTTATGAACGATCCTACTGGACGCCAAGAGGTTGATCGTGAGGAATTTACTAGAGGTAACGTTTGTTGACATTAAACTATTACCGATTTGAGTTGTAAAGCGGTAACGAATATATATTATTTATAACTATTTATAATATTATCAGACGTCAATGCCAGTCTTGATCAGGAACAAATAGAAAATTTCCTTCGCGATGGAGAATATGGAGATGAAGATGAAGATGATGATGAAGATGATGATGACGAAGACGATGACGATGACGATGACGATGATGATGATGATGCAGATGAAGAAGACAATGGACTTTATGATAATATGGCAAGTGATGGTGAATCACAATCTGAAGAGAGTGACAGATCTTGCACTGAAAATATTGGTAGTACTAGTGAAATTGAATCTAGCCACAGTGAAGTTGATAGTTCAAGTGGTGTAAGCGAAGTTGCTGAGGAAAGCAATCTTGCCAGAAACCGAGAAATTAATGATATTGAAATTGAAGATATTGAGACAAATGATAGGGGCGAAGATAATATTGACGATAATTTATACGATGTTGAAGAATTTTCGGAAGATAATGATCATGAAATTGAAATGGATGATAATAACGACGATATTGACGGAGATGATGATGATGATGATGGTGATAGAAATGATGATAACGATGAGGATGGTGATGACTTAATAGATGCTGAAGATGCAAATGAGTTAGATGAATATCTGAATGATAACGATCAGATATATGCTGATGTTGAAGAAATAGGTGCTTTACAGTTTTTAAATGAAAGTGACTACCTAAACCCAAGGCTAACTTTAATGGGAGGTATGGTATATTCCAATTTGATGCGGGTTTATTTATTCATTAAATATCTATATACTTGTATGTACTCGCCAAGTATATGTTATATGTGTTAAGCTATTTAATAATTATATTTCTGTTAAACATAGATTTATTTGGCAGAGGTGACGTAAACACATCACGTCGTCAGCCTAGTATGCGGATGGCTACATTTCATTCGAACCTTTCAGATATAGACTCTGCTACATTTGATCCTAATCATATACCGACAAGCCACCCTTTACTTATGCGATCATCAGATAGATTACCAAGGGATAGTAATTTAGCTGCGAGGAATTCTTGGTCTCGACCCGAAAGATTGACTAGACTTGGTAGATTTAATCAAAATTCTTTCTTCGGTGACCCGCATGTAGGTTTTTCTGGACAATCAGCTTCCTCATATAGTGTTCTTCAGAGATTATTGGATCATGCTCAGGCCGCAGCAACAGAAGCACTCAATCTTCGTGCTGCACTGCTACATGATCGATCTACTTTACGTCATACCGAGTTTATATTTGATAGTGAAGGATTTCATGTGTTGTCCCCCGATAATGGTATGGACGAGCTACAGGGAAGAAATCAGTTTACAAGCACACTCCATCGTTGGAAAGAAGAATGCGGGATACTTGATAGTGGAAGCGTCTTTGATTGTATTTTAAACGCTAGAGAAGCATTAACTCCTGTTCTTACGAGGTATAGAAATGAAAGTATGGCAGAAGCAGCTAATGTAGCTCAGGGCGAAGGTAGCAAAATAGATGATAAACATGCCGAAGATGACAAAAAGGACTTGGAAAGTAATGCTGGCAATGTTGAAGATATGGATGTAACGCCAACACCTGAAGTTAGTCAGGCTCGGACGTCAGAACCAGAAGAAATGGATACTAGTGAAAGTACAGAAAGAATTATTCCATTGGTTAATCCCAATATGCTGGTAGAACGCCTTGGAGATACGATCACTACAGTTGAACAAACATCTCAAGTTGCTTCATTAGATGAAACGATGGCATCACAATTAGTTACTCCACAAAGTAGTAGTCACGTGGAACTTCCACCAGAGCAGGGTAGTATCAACATACAACCGCAAGCGTCATCCGTTGAAGGGCGTCTGATTTGGCCATTACCAGAAAACGCCACAGCAGATTCGCGTAGCAGTGAAACGATTACGCTTGAGATTGGAGGAACATCCAGTACTGCAGAGGCAGTTGGAGCAAGCAGTGGGGCGCAAGCTGAAGTGACTGTAGAAGGATTATCCGTTCCGGAAGGTATTGACCCGACGTTTCTTTCAGCGATTCCAGAGAATATGAGAGAAGAGGTTATAAGAGATCATATACAGCGCACTCGTCGTCAGCAGCAACAGTCAGTAACACCTTCGATTGAGCCTGTCAGCTCATTCAACCCAGAGTTCTTAGCTGCTCTGCCTCCAGAGATTCAAGAAGAGGTAAGTGTTGAAGCTAGTTTTTCCTTTTTTTGTGTTTGATCTAAATTGATATACGATATTTTTTCACTTAGGTTCTCTTGCAAGAAAGTCGATTACGCTCTACTAATTCTGCTACGTCTGCGCCCACGTCAGAGCAATCATTCGACCCGGCTTCGTTTGTACGAGATTTAAACCCAAGTTTACGAAGAACTGTATTAGCTGATATGGATGATACTCATGTAAATTTGTTACCGCAAGATTTGCAAACTGAAGCGCGCCAGCTACGTCAGCAAATGGAATTAAGACAAGCAAGACTGCTGCAAGGGCGTCTGAATTTTGTTGATGAGGGTATAACTTTTACTATTTTTTACTTGCACAAGTTAAAAAGTTTATATAACTTTTCTACAGAACTATTATTGATAGGAGGTGATATTTGTTATAATAGGAAGGGAAAGTAGAAGAAGGGATCGTCTGCCATTTTCTCCGATAATTATACATGAACCTGGTAATTCTGAACGTCATACAAGAGGGATGATTGAATCATCGAAAAGGAAGACTCAAACCGTTATGGATGGACAGAAAATATTAGATCACGAATCGTTAACTTGCTTGTTAACTCTTTTGTTTTGTGATGAGCCAAAGTTAAATTTAAATCGCTTACACAAAGTAGTGAAAGCATTATGTCAAAATGGTCACACTGCTGCGTGGATCATTCACACTCTTTTATCAATTCTTCGTCGAACTGCCATTCTGCAAGAGAATAATGAAATTGCGCAGTCTAAAGCAAAAAAAAATGCTCTTGCAAAAGGCGCAAGTAATTCAACAGAGCTACTGACTCATCTGCAATCCCATAATTCCAAAAATAAATCAAGAAATTTATGGTTATCAATGAGTGTTGATGCTGCACTAGGCTGCAAGGCAAATGTATTTAGCATTCAAAAGACTCAGCCAGAATCTGGTCAGGGTAGAAGTTATAAGAGTCGTATTAGTATTCATCCACTGGCCGCGCCTCTGGTTTGTCGTAGGGTTGTTGATCTACTAGTCTTCCTAGCAAGAAATTATAATCAACATTTTATACCAAGCCGTGCACTTGAGATAAAAGAATCAAAGGAGAGACAATATGGTGCGTCTGATTCGCTACAGGAAACAGACTTTTGGGATTATCTCGTTAAACTTGAGCAAACTAGCCTGTTGCATCGCGGAAAAACTGTATCTAAAGTTGTGGAGACAGATGCTAATACATTACGACAGTCATCTTTAGAAGGGTGCCCTCTTGGCCAAATACTTTCCATGTTAAACTATCCTGTCATTAAGCAATGTACAAATTTAACGGATAGAATCATAAAATTGCTTTTTGTTATTGCAAGTAATATGCCAAGTAATTTATTGTTGGCGAAACTAGATGGAGGCATTAAATCAGACGAGAAGGGGCCAATCGACGAATCTAAAACGTCAGGAGATCCTCCAAAGGATGAGGTTAAAGTCACTGAAAAATCTGTAAGTCGTCTTCCACTAATATCTGTTGGTGAAAGCGCCATCTCAGGAATTGTAGCATCTAGGGTGTCAATATCGAATGTTATAGTGGAGCGTTTGCGATTATTTGTTGATGTAATGTGTACCGGTCGGTGCTCTGAAGATGGATTAGAAGATGCTACAAACTTCTTAATTCATTTATCAAGATCATTAAGTCATATGAGACGTTGTATGTTAAATCTATTGCTTCATGGAGCTAAATCTTTAGGAATACAGCTACGTAAGGATATTTGTTGCCTCCTTGATGAAATGCGCGAATCGTCGAAGAATAAACACAAAAAAAGATCTCTTGAAAACGTACAGGATGCCAGTAGCAATAAACCCAACGTTGGTGAAGGATTGCGTTCGTCAGTTTCTGTTGGCAATGCTAGAACAGGTTACGATAACATATCGATAACAAATCGGAGTAGACGTCTTGTTGAGCAGCATTTTAAAGCTATGGCTCCGTTAACGTGTAAAACTTCTAGTCAATCACTATTTTTACGAATACTGAAGGTGATATTGCAATTACGTAATCAATCTGATAATAATCAAAATTCTGAGAGTTCGCAGCAAGTAGCTAGCAATGCTGAAGTTGTCAATCAAGAACCTGTTGCTTCAACCAGCGGGGATAAAGAAATTTTATCTAATTCTCCACACAGTGGGGATTTGATATCGTTTCGTTTAAGCCAGCAAATTGATTTAAATGATCTTTGGGATGTACTTGGTGAATGTTTGTCTGAGCTAGGAGAAGACTCAGATAGTCATGCCGTCTTAATATTGCAACCAGCAGTTGAAGCATTTTTCATTGTCCATAGTCCGGAAAAAGACGATAACGAAGATAAAGAATCTTTACACCTGGATTCGCCTTTATCGCAAAAACAATTATTGAGTCAATTGACCAAATTTGCGCCGATGACGCCAACTCCTTCGACCTCAGAGTCGTTCTTTTCGATGCCCCCAGATACGGTAAAATTCGTCCAATTTGCAGAAAAGCACAGAACTGTCTTAAATCAGATTCTTCGCCAGTCTCCGACGCCTCTATTGGAAGGACCGTTTTCTATACTTGTTAACCACACGCGATTGCTAGATTTCGACGTTAAAAGAAAGTACTTTAGGCAACAATTAGATAAGCTTAACGATACGATACGGCCAGAGGATGGATTTACTATTCGTGTCAGAAGAACACATGTTTTTGAAGATTCTTTTAAGGAATTAAGTCGACGTACTGCTGATCAAATGAAGAGTAAAATGTTTATTCATTTCGAAGGAGAAGATGGGCAAGACGCGGGCGGATTGCTGCGGGAATGGTATCTTATTATATCAAGAGAGATTTTCAATCCAAACTATGCGTTATTTACGACATCATCTGGCGATCGAGTTACGTACATTATTAATAGCAGTTCGCATGTCAATCATTATCATTTGGAATACTTCAAGTTTGTTGGTAGAATGATTGCCAAGGCGTTATTCGATAATAAGCTCTTAGACGTTTACTTCTCCCGATCAATGTATAAACACATCTTAGGTAGCGCAGTTCACTATTCCGACATTGAATCAGAAGACTATACATTTTATCAGAGTATGAAGTATTTATTGGAGCATAATATTAGTGAAATTGATAACGAATTAACATATTCAACTGATGTATGTGAATTTGGTAAATCTGAAATTCGTGATTTAAAACCCAATGGTCGCAATATTTCTGTAACTGAAGCAAATAAGCTAGAATATGTCCACCTTATGTGCCAAATGAAAATGACGGGCGCTGTTAGAAAGCAAATCGCTTCATTTTTGGAAGGATTCTATGAAATTATTCCAAAGCGCTTGATATCTATTTTTGATCCGCAGGAGCTTGAGTTGCTCATATCTGGACTACCAACAATTGACATCGACGATCTAAAAGCCAATACAGACTACAGTAAATATACCAAAGATTCTATACAGGTTAGTCATGTTATGGACTTTTTTGTGTAATAAAGACATATAGCAATATGTGAAGCCTAAAAATAACAGGTTGGTATTATGTCTGATTCGTATTATAGATCCAATGGTTTTGGAGAGCTCTTCGGTCTTATGACCAAGCTAGTCGTGCAAAATTTCTGCAGTTTGTGACAGGAACTTCTCGGGTACCGCTGCAAGGCTTTGCTGCTTTAGAAGGAATGAATGGCCCTCAAAAGTTCAGTATTCATCGTGATGACATGTCCACTGATCGCTTGCCAAGTGCTCATACATGGTATGTCGATATTTTACGTTTGATTATAGACTTGATATAACGAAATTATCCTGCAAAATACTGACGATATGTATGCTTTGCTTTACAGTTTTAATCAACTGGATTTGCCTGCTTATGAAACTTATGATAAGTTGAATTCTTTGCTATCAACTGCAATTAATGAATGTCCTGAAGGTTTTGGACTTGTGTAAATACATAAGTATCTCACGATTGATCTTAAATTGCTGTATCAAAAATATTTGCGCTTAGCTCATCTAAAGCAATTTAAAATGATATTACGTAAATTGTATTATAATTTAATCTTCCGCACTCTAGTGATAACAATGTACACACATCACTATCGTTACTTTGCTTTGAGCCGGTGACGGAGATTAATTGCTGGAATTATATTCCGTAATTCTTAACACTTTGTCTTGTTTATCTGCGTTTAAATTGCATTCAAGTTTCTGTAATATTTAGTATTAACTGCTGGTGTACTGTATATTAGTTTTGGTTATACTACGTTTACAAAATTACAACGACTTTAGGTATCCCAATGATTGTGAGGTTATTTTTGCAAGTTGCAAATCTATATTTAAGAGCTTTTTGATGTGTTCAATTGGTGAGTCATCCTATCGAGCGCAAGTAGCCGCAATTTCTCATTAAAATTTATTCTGATTGGATTATTTCTTGATGTATTAAATATTATTGTGGTACTGATGAATGAATATTTCAAGTGCATGATTGTTAGCGATTTAATAAATTGGGATAGTAGTTAATGCAGATCCGCATGACATACATATTTAAACTATCTGAATTCGTGCGAACACTGGTTCACTCAGGAAAATGCACTGAAAGGTTTACAGTCCATGATATAAAGCTTTAATAGTAGGTTAGATACTGTACAAACTTCTTCAAATCGTGACATATTCACCAGCCTATAGCAACCACGATCAAATTATAGTGAGATGTATACTGAACAGCTACATTATCAGTGAGTTGATTTCTTATCTCGGTATAAGTCCAATATTTAATTTTATAATTATGTTACTGGAAACACGCCTATCGTATACAGTATGATGTAGATTAAATTTTTATAAATTTATTTTTACATTTAAATAGTTTACTTTTTTACAGTTTATTTAGCATTAAAGGTCAATCTGTTTTCGACAAGTTGCAGATAATCAATTTCATCGCTAGCCAAAAACAATTTTTTTTTTAATTTTATTTTCGCATTTGTAATATTTAGCATTGAAAATTCAGTCTTTTAATGGTCAAGTTACATGCTTGTACGATCAAATTAATAATCCAATATTAGCAGCACAGAAGGTTTATTCCTTATACTATCAATTGGATTATTATGAGTTCGGTAACGAAAAGGTGACGTATTTACTGAATAATATCAATAAGGTATCCGTCTGTTCTATTGCAAAGTGATGTTTCAAAAGCTCAATACACAGTTTATTTGATTATGTTATCTACACTCAAATCAGTTGCCTACAGTATTGCGATGATAGATTGTTTACCTCTTGCCTAATCAATTTGAAAATCATTAGCATACAGACAGCATACTACATCAACAGCCCGATCTACGGTACATTCATTTGAAACAACTGTAACTGAAGATCGATCTACTAAGCTATAGGATAGTGCAGCATAGGGAAAGATCTTGTAATTCATTTCAGAGAAATAACTCTATTAATAGCAAGTAGACTGGTCCTATACAGTATATAATGAATGCAGTATTTCACCTACAAACTTACTAGACTTTAAATTACTACAGTACAGGTAAAGATATTGTACCTTATTTCAAACGAAGTAATTACTAATTGCAAGTAGACTAGTCCTATTAAGTATGTCATGAATATAGTGGTTCGCCTAAAAACTTGCAAGACGTTAAAATACTACAGTATAAACGCAGATCTTGTATTTCATTTCAACAAAATAACCACTAATTGCAGGTAGACTAATCCTATACATCATATAATAAATGTAATGTTTCAGCTACAAACTTGCTAGACGTTAAATTAATAAAGTATAGGAAAAGGTCTTCTACTTTATTTGAACAAAATAACTACTAAATGTAAGTAGACCAGTCCAATACAGCATATAATTAATGAATGTAGTATTTCACCTGTAAATTGACAGGGCGTTAAATTACTACAGTATATGAAAGATCTTGCACTTTAACGAAATAACTCTACTAATTGCGAGTCGACTGGTCCAATACAGCATGTAATGAATGTAGTATTTCGCCTGCAAACTTGCTAGACGTTAAATCTCTACAGTATAGGGAAAGATCTGTTATTCATTTCAACGAAATAACCCTACTAATAGCAAGTATAGTAGATTAGTAGAGTATCGGGAAAGATCTTGTACTTCATTTTAACGAAATAACTCCATTAATTGCAAGTAGTCTAGTCCAATAGAGCATATAATAATAATAATGAATGCGGTGCGGTGTTCCGCTTGCTACCTTGCTAGACGACCATTGTTTGGATAGTCGCTGCCATGGCAACATCAACATCCACTAGGCAAGAATAACCAAAAGACTAAGGTATTAAACAGTGGTGTGATTCGTATAAGACATTATGGCAAGAAGGGAATATATATCCATAGTATGATATTGCAACTCTACAAAGATAAATTGTTAAGGCTAGAGCATAATTCTTTCATCAGCGTGATCATTGAGTATCCACGGTGATATAAAAAATAGAAATAGAATTGTAGGTGGTGTTGGAGGGCATGCAAGTCTCCTAGAATACGTATTGGTAGCTGTAGTGTAAGGATTGGAAAGCTATAGAATAGAGAATAAAGCAGCAAATAGTCGCGTCATTTTATTCATATACTACTTACTACAAGGGCGCACTTATAGGTTACAAGGTTGCAATCTATTCCGACATCTAAATACAACCATCCCTATAATTTTCTCCTACATTGATCAATAGTATTATCGCTTGTGGTGTATTACACTCCAAAATTGGAAAGGACTGAAGTGTTAAACGATCGTTTCCTTTGAATCATAAATTTTACTATCCGCTAGGATTTTTTATTTTCTTAAGGCACGTAAGGTAAGTTATAATTCAATCTAGTATCATTCTATCTATTTCATTATTGTTATTTTTAGTCAGATACGGCATAAGATTTGCTATAATATTTAGAGATGAAATTTTAGTACCATATAATATTACTTATAACATTGTCAGTAAGGTAAACTAAAAATGGCTGTTCTGATTTTAAATGATGGTGCTGCTATGAAATTGTTTCTTAAAGTGGGGTAAAATATTATTTTGTAATAGATTATTCAACAAGATTACGGAGCCGTCAGAATCCCAAAGCAGTGGTACGGCAGTAGCTGCCGCTACCCTAGAAAATGACATGCCTAGTGATACTTCGGTGCCGTTAATTGCAACGGAAGAACTTGAAGAAACACATAAAGTTACCTTCACTGTTACAGTGTCACAGGCGATACCTAGAAGTAAGTCATATTTCTCCAAAGATGATGTAACTCACTAATATAGTTGATACATCTTTGATCATCTTACAGTAGCTAAGGCTAACCTTTAGGTTATCATAGCTATGATTAATCTAATACCAATACACCTTAGTTAAATTGAACTCAATGATCGATTAAGAATATGAATATGGATAGTCTCTAAATTTAAAATCGCCAAACTATAACGAAAGGGAAAAAATAAGTTGCTGATTTTAGATACAGAAAGAGAATTTATCAATATAATTAGAATCGCACAAAATATGACGTTAATGAAGGAAGAGTATTGCTCGGTTGATTAATTAAAATTTTTTATTGCGTTAGTAATATCATTTCGAAATTATCACCAAATATGTAGATTAATATGCTTGTATGCGCTTAATGCACTAGCGTATTAAGCTAAGTGAGAAAAGATGATCAATTCTTTTATTGATATTCCCAGATTGAAGTAAACACTAAATTAGTTCCTATAACAATCACAATGCCGTTAAAAAGAGTGGATTATATACATATATCAAAATTACGCAACAATATTTAAACAAATGTTAACTCTTATCGCAATATTCGCATACTTTTAAAAAGTTATTTACAATATTGACTAGCTAGCTATGCTAAACTAATTGCTTTACAGTATTACCAGATATTAGGCTATCATGATTAAAAATTAGGTTAAAAAAATCAGTCTGAACTAAGTTGAGTACTGCAATTTATTTGTAGTTGATTGTTGTCAAGGCTAGTGTTCACAATCATCATTCTTATAACGAAGATAGATTATTTATTAATGCTAAGTATTATTGAATATCCTTAACTAAAAGAATTTTTAAATTGTTATATTATTCTATTTTCAATTCAAGCATATGGCATATCTTTGACATCTTATAATTATAAACTAGACGATTTTCTTTCAATTACCCTGATATATACAAATAGTTCTGAAATTGAATAATTTATATAAACAGAGTAAAATGAAAATTTTCAAGATCGTGTAATATATTATAACAGTTTAACGTAACAACTACGGCAAACATAGCATCATCATTTAATTTCTTTATGGACTTTGTTTTTGAGAAGCTCAAAGTCTATTAAGATAGTCCCAATTGACGTACACACTGTTTTTGGTCTTACACTGTATTATCCACAAAATGGATAAGCTTTTATTTTAACTAGAATAGTGAGTCAGTTTGGAGAATACAGATGGAGAATAATTTACCCATCTATCGTTAATGCTACAAACTACACTTTTATGTATTGTGTATTACTAAGATATTTCTAGAGAATCCCTTTAAATTCAAATTTGCGAAGATATCCTACCCTTAGGTCTAATCTTTATGAAATTATCATTTTTCTTTTCTTTTCAATAATAATGGCACAATCACTACAGCCAAGACGGATTTAGATCCTTTCAGCAATAGGAAAAAGGTTTATGAATCACCGAAAGCTGAATCATATTATCACTATTGTTACAATTTATTTCCTAATCTGGATGATCAAGGTAAAGTTGACGTGGTAGCATATGGGCCTGCAGTTAAAATCTATACTGAAAATGAATCTAAAGTCCAAAAAACATGGCAAGAGCTCGATCAGACATGGATTGCTTGGACCCAAAGGTAGCTACTCTTCGATTTGGTCGACATTATCCGCTATTTTTTTAAATATGTGTTATCTCATAGCTTGTGTATGAAAATTATGATAGTAAAAGGAATCATTCAGTCTTTGATATGTATTGTATCGATTTTATTCTTGAGTAACTATGATTAACCTTAAAATTATATCTTATTCATTTACCATTAAACAGCCAAACAGTCAATGTGGATACCGAATTTTTACTAAAATTATTCGAGCATCAAATGGTTTTAAGAATGTGGGACTCAAAAGATAAAGTTTCCGCTAAGGCTCGATTTGATAGACCGAAAGCTTTCCGTTTACCAAGTCGACATAATTTGCATGGTCTAGATGCAGCTGGAGCTGAACAGATTGCTGGTGTACAAGCAGTTGTATTAAAGCAAACGATGGCCTATTTAGCAACTCTGTCATCCACTAAAGCAGATTTTGGTACAGCAGCTGATGTATTAAATGATGAACAAGCCAGCATGGCTGCAGATGCTAAAATGATTAGTCGGTTAGGACGATTTGCTGGTGTCCAACCGCTACCTGAAGCAATACCTTCTAAGCGGCAGATATTGAATCATTTAAAAGAAGAAGCAATGAGAATATTACAGCGACAGACAGGTAGTGCAATGGATTCGATGGATGAGATCCATGGTATTAAACCTGAGACGTCGGATAGTAGGAAAACCGAACGTATTTCGCTTATATCAGCTCATAGTAAAAAATCAGCTGGTAGTAAAAAAGATAAGCAATCCAGTCCAACACGTCGTTTTGGAAATAAGAAGCAGCATAAGACCAAGAAACAGTTAGAAATGGAAGCTGCAGCAGCGGCTATAATCGATAAAAGTGGCAATGCTTCTATTTCAATTGATATGTCAGCATTTTTCGGTGGTAAAATATCTGTTACCAAGCGTATAGATAATCCAACTGATGGCGTTTTAGACATGTTTGTTACAGTATCCATTGTCGACGGAGAACTAATGTCTGATAAGCAAAAACGTCGCCTTAATCCAATGACTATTCAAATAAATACTGCGTCCTCGATGCCTGATCGTCCATTGTCATGCAATGATATTCGTGAGAGGTAAAATTTCTAGATCTTTATCGATTAACCCAGCTACAGTGTAAGCTAGATAGTAGAAGGCTCACAATTTAGTCTACGGTAGTATGGACTTCTGAAGTCTACGGCGGCAGTCATGTATAAATGGTGGATGCACTGCATACGTATGAAATAAGATTTTAATTAACGATAGTTTGCGAGAGCTATTATTGGTAAACTAGTTATATTTGACTATATATAGTGGATATACCATATATGCGTATAAATATAATTATGATTTACGATAGTCAGTAGGTGTTATTATTGGTAAACTAGATGTATTTGACTATATACTGTATGGTGGTAAATTAGATATATTTGGCTGCACTTTACATACGAGTGTGGTAGATATACCATATATAATATGATGATGATTTACAATAGTCTTTGAGGGTTTAATACTAGTAAACAAGATGTTTTTGATTATACTGTACGTGATAAATATGGTACCTATAGATATGATTCAGTTTATCACAATTTGGGATAGTTTATTATTGGTAAACTTGAAATATTTAATTAGAAGTTAGATTTGGTATGCAGTGTGTACATGCGATTTTTGTCTGCTGCAATTTGAGTGTTTATTATAATTCTTGGTAAAGTAGGTATTCGCGTACTTTAATTTATTTAGCTAACTAGAATAGTTTTCTTACGTATGATAAATATGTTATGCCGTATATAAATATAATTTTAATCTGTCACAGTTTAAAAGAGTTTATTACGATTATTGGTAAACTAAACATATTCGATGATCTAGTAAACTAGAATAATGACTGTAGACAAATAAAATTGTTGATCATCTTAGAATACGAATATGCCTAAATCTTACACTATAATATCTTAGTTTATAAAAGATACTGCTAGTCCACTAGACAATTGATAGCTTTTGTGTTGTTATCATAGAAGAATGCTAATTATCTTAAAGCTATATATGTATATTTTCACTTGAATAAATCTTAATTATGATATTTTATGAAAATTTATCACTACAGTAGTTAAAAGCGCCATTCGTTTTACTTTTATCTTTAAATTAGGTGTATTCCATCCTATACAAGTTATGGATTTTATAATCAGCCTAATTTTACAAGTTCTGGGCGGCCTTATGATCGCGATGTTACTTGGAATGAAACGCAAGTTATCCTTATGGGAACTTTAGATAAAGGTGGTTTACTGCAATACCTTACTGGACCACCATTAGTTATAGAAATTCATGATCGTGATGCTAAGCCAATTGAGACTAATGAAGATGATTTAGTAGTATTTGGTCAGGCTCCTGACGATGAAAATATTCATCGTGTCAATACTTTAGCAAGTAAGCCAGTTTAAATGATAATAGCAGTCGTATCGAGATAATGAGGATGGATAAAAGTTTGAATTAATGTATGAAAAAATCAATTTCTAGGTCGAAAAACAACGTATAATCCATTTAAATGTAAACTTAAACCATGGAGTCCATATGGCGAAGCAAGATATAATCTATCTGATCTTTTACTTGGCGAACGAGCCATTAAATTAGCTGCACCAATTCAATGTTGTGCAAGTATTGATCCAACTGCAGCTGAAAATGAGCAGAATATTCGTCGATCCATTCGTGGCAGTGCAAGTAAGTATGATTATCTTTTATTGCTACTCTTAGTAGTAATTCCACGAATAAGTTGATCGAGAATTTTATTCTATTTTCCTTCATTAATTTGCTCATTACTGCCTAATTTATTTTCATCCATAGAGTATAAACCCATTCCTGCTGGCCATTACCTCGAATTTAACAGTGAGCTATCTATTACTATCAACATTGCCTATCCATTAGAGGCAACACTGTTAAAAGATGCTACAGTGATAGAGCCCTTGCTGAAATCGCTGCAAGATGTATGTACTCATTAATCAAGCTAACTGCATCTTTTCTTGTGCAAATAGGAATACGATTCTTATCTATTTCTACCGCAAAGATTATTAGTATTACGTTCGTATAGTATATTGTACTGATCTAGAATTATTTCTTTTGAAATAATTTAATTTTAACTTTATTCTGGTGATTTTTTTATTTAAAAATTCAATTAATTCCATTTTTTCATTTTGGACTAGTGTCCATTTACAAGGGTTGTCTATATTTTTTCCTATGAGAATAAAAAGTTCTTGCATCAGCTATTTGAAAGTATTTCTGCTGTTAACGCCAATGCATTAGAATTAACTCAATTACCACAAAAAATTAAGGAAGCAGCTTTATCGACTTATAAATTAAATGAGTAAGTCATGCCTTAGACTTATAATAGGCTGTATAGCTAATATTTGATTTTATGATATTTTTAATCTAATTCTAATGGTGATGAACTGCTGTAGGGAACAAAGATGTAGCCATACTTTAGATATCATCACGGGATTCCAAATTCTTGATGGCGAATATCAGGTGTTTATTTTGGAAGGTCTTGCTGAAGGAGGTATTAAAACCTTATGGCAATCGCTACCTCATTTACAACATGATGGTAAGTAATTCCGAATTAGTCGATAACTGTCCATGAGTTATTAATATTAGGAGATACTTTCAGTAAGAATGAATATCTGCAAATAGATCACTTTACTATATCTAAGAATTGCGACCTTTATTTTCGTATTTCTTATTTATTACAGTAAAAATTATTGCGACAACTTTAACAATTTTATTTTCTATTCCATGTTTCTGTTCATGATATTAGATCCTAATTTCAAAGTCCTCTACGATTCCAGCGTTATTTTCGATAAACGTTTATATGCCAAATTAGACGTTGATTTATGCCGGATTCGCTTGCATCGCTCTTTATCTTCCATTATGCAACAATCTTTACTCTATATTCGAGACATGATACCTCGTCAATGCTTTGCAGCGCTCAATAAACTCCGTTTGGTAAGTAGGAAAAGATGGAGCTACTCAATTATTTATTAGGAAATATGATCATTGATCTATCTTAAATGTTTCAATATTAGCGTCTATCGATGTCTGATTTCTTATGTTATTTATTTAGCTAACGGAATGTAAAACTTTGCGCGAAGCTATTCGAAATGATTATTTCCCCTGTGTTAAGATGGTCTTGTCAATGAGTCGAGAATTTGGCATGCCTTTAACGGATAAAGATCTCGAAAGTAAGTACTCTAAGCTATTCCCTGCCCATAGGAGGAAGAATGAGTATTTTTCACCCCTATCAATTATTATTTTCCTGCAATTAGCTATACGATTAAACAAATGATAAACTTTTCTATTTCAGTTGTCGTAAATAACGAAGTTACGGAATCACAAGACGGTCTGGAGGAATTGAAACGCGATAAAATAGGCGAGATTGACTATCCTACAAGATCAAGATCGCCATTACTTACTCGTAACGAATTATTTGCCGAACACTTAAGAGAGCGTCAAGAAAATGATAGACTCAATTTCATTAAATTAAATATGGTAATTATTCGTCACTAAGATGGCAATTTTGTAGAGTTGATCAGTTACTTTGTATTTATTTTTCCCAATCTATAAATTAATTTGAATATACTATCTGTGTACAGGTTAAAGTGAAGGATAAGAGTGAAGAAAATCGACGCACTAGGCCCTCGACAGTGCCAGTTTTTAGCTCTGATCAAGACCAAGAAGTTTATCATTATAGTATTCAGTCTCGTAATTCAAATGATCAAGTGTTACAAAAAATTCGTAGAAGCCTTAATAAGGTAAAATTGATTAGAATCGATTGGTGTAGACCAATTTCTTGACTTCATTTGCACCTTTAGAAAGAGAAAAATGTTGTAAGAGACTTGCTCAGATCCATCGCATGTTTTCTTGTTGAACAGGAGATGAATAGAAACTTGTTTACTTACTCCACGGAATTTCATTCGGCCACATTTGCTCCTGTTAATTGCGGTGAATTAAGTAAAGAAGAACGCCAACTATCTCGGCAGAAATGGCGAAGCTCGCATGATTTTGTATACCCAGGTGTCAAAACAAGTCGTGATAGCAATTCTTGTAAGAAAAAGCCAACACCGAATCGTTTAGAAGAGTTAAAAAAGGTAAATAATTTTATTTGTATTGATGTTTTAAGATAGTTTGTATCTAGAATGACTATAGATAAAGGCTAAGTACCAGTAGCTAACAATATTTTCTTGCACGTTATTTTTATGGTATTCCAGCCATGGATTGAAAATGAATTGCACGCCAATATTTTAAAGCCTACTCTTGATAGGTAAGCGAGTCCTTTCAGATTGTATTTTATAGCAGTAGGAGATGATGACTATTCATGATAGAACGGGAAAGGTTCGATTACTTATAATTATACATGCTCTACTATGACTACGATTAGGACTTTTTACTCCTGGCCAAATAAAAGTGATGACTTTGATCTATATCGGAGACCTGATCCTTATTTCAATCGACAACCAGTTACGATCCATCTCGCTGGTGATAGTCTTCGAGCGGAAAGTCAACGATTTTTGAAAGATGATCAAAAGGTATGGGAAGAAAAATTAGTGGTTAAAGATACTCGGCAACGATTTCATCGTTGTAATACAGCCGCGGAGCAGCATGATCGAGGTCCGAAAGCAAGTTGTCAACTGGATAAATTGAAAGGCCTATTAAAAGATGAACCTGCTAAACTGAGCTTGAGGTTGGGTAAAGGCAACTTTCACAAGGTGCCTGCTTTAAGTGTGGTGAATTATCCTAATATCGATGCTGAATCCAATAAGATTGGCAATCGTAAAGGGCAACAAGAAGTCAAAGAAGTTACTAGAGCATTTACTGGTGGCCCTATAGGTCATCGTAGTTGGCTGCTGGAAAATAATTTTATACCATGCGAAAAAGAGAAAAATGCGCAAAACCCCGAGAAGAATTTTAAGTAAGTTGTTTGAAGAATAGTGATTCTGGCTCTTCATGTAATAATGTGCTAAACAACCTTTTTCTCATTTATTCACCGTTATTTTTTATAGGCTTTACTATTCCATTAGTGGACCAGTGACATCTAAACGTCATATTAAGCCATTAACTGCACCAGAATTGCGTCTAGCTACTGGTTATTAGCACATTGGAACTTTCACTGCTGCCCACGCTTGTGATCAAAGATAGGATAGTGGCCAGTAAAATGGATTATTATAATCATATTTTTATCTTATTTTTACAGTACTTTGAAAGGGTTAATGCTTAATTCAGCAATTATTAATGAATTCTAAAATAGGCAATACTATTTCGCCCTGTTTGATGTAAAATAATCGATTGACTGTAGAAGAAAGCATATTCAACACTGGTCTGTTCTCCATATGCGCAGATATTCTATTTTATTGATAGCTTTTCCTAATCTGAAATAATTACTCGGGTTATCATTACTTGATCCAATGAGTAGATTGAGTATATTATAGTAATATTGATATCGGTTCATTTTGAGCTTACTCGCTGGTAAAAAGTTGAAAGGTTACTCAGGCGTAATTTTAGCCCTGTTGTGATTATTTTGTATATTCTGAATCTAAAATAACCGCTTTACTATGAAAAGCGAGGATTTTAATATTGTCCTATTTTCGGTTGGTGAAAATATTACATTTTATGGACAGCATTTCGTGACGTGAAACCACTGTTTGGTTATGAATTATTACTTGATTAAATGAAGATTTTGATTGTATAGTAATATTGAGACATGTTTATTGTTGACTAATTGATTAGGTTAAAAATTGAATGGTTGCTAAGGGAATTTTAGCTCCATTTTGGTGATTTTGTATATTTCATTTATATCGCCATTGGTCGCTTTTATGCGTTACGATAGCTTTTATATTCATTATGATTGCATAATCAAACATTGACATAACCAATGGTATTCTCTAAATATAATCATGTATATGATATATGAATTATATATACACTGTATATGGAAGAGTATTCTCTATTGAATTAAAAACCTTTAAATTATATTTGGTTATGTCAAACCGAGAGTATAATAGTCGGTTTTGGTCTCCAGGTATCATATTAATATGCATTTTATATTGATATAAATTACCTTACTTATACTACTCTAAATGATACCGTGTGATGTTATATGAAATAAAAATTGAGATAATTTGTCGCAACCTGTAAAAATTGCGTTAAAATAGATTCTGAATTGGTATAAAATTTCCTCTTAAATAATCTGATGGATGATCTATAGAAATCAGATGTATGTGAAGAGGAAATTATCATAAATAGATATATTAAATACGTATACCTTAATGTTTACGTAGATGGCGTTTATCATCATTTTCTACTATGTAATCGCTTAGATGCTGAAAAAGGGTGATTGTTTTTACATGAACCATTCTACAATGAAAATATAGACTTAAAATGCCATGATAAGTGTATTCTGGCAATATATTACTTTATCATGGTGCCCTTTCAAGTAGCCAATTTGGTTGTGTTAGTATAGTACAAGATTGATGTACAGTAGAATATGAATTACTGAAAGAAATAAAAGTGTAGTTTATGGAATGGAAAGTCAATAATATGATAATTCTATTTCGAGCTATTTATTTGATTTCATTCATGATATCTACTAGGTAATAGTGCGGATGTAGTGAATATATTAATGGGAAATATGTGCGTTTATAGAATGAAAGTTCAATATGATATTTCTATTTCGAGCCTATTCGATTTCATTCACGATACCCACTAGGTAATAGTGATGATGTAGTGAATACATAGACAGGAAATATTTGCATATTTCTAGATTGAAAATTCAATGATTAATTAGTATGATTCTATTTCGTCCAAACTCGTTCAATTTTATGATAATTATTACTAGTGCTGCTGATATCCTATATAACCATGATATAACTGGAAAAAAATGAGTACAAAACTGTTATAGATAGGTTTAAGAACTCACTATCACCTTGAGCAAAGTGTTGAGCATTACATGTATACACTCGTATATGGAATAGGCTACTGTTCTATCTAGCCAATATTTTATGCTATAATGGCTATAGTGGCAACATGGAGCAGTCATTTTAGCCAATGCACATTGCACAATATTAAAAGTATCGGCATGGACTATCGACTGCAATCAAAATTGGCGGTAGACTACTACGCTATGTTGTCAGCTACTTATAGCTGCTACCAAGGTGTTGATTGAGCATTTTATGCATCAATGGAATAGGCTAGTGTTCAATCTAGTCCAGTATTTTATGCCATGATAGCACAAGGGTAACATAGAGCAGTCGTTTTAGCCAATGCACAGTATTAAAGTGTCAGCATAGGCTTCAGACTTGCTTGCTACTTGTAGCTGCTGCCAAGGTGTTGATTGAGCATTTCATGCATCAGTGGAATAGGCTAGTGTCCAATCTAGTCTAATATTTTGTGCCGTGATGGCACAAGCATAACATGGAGCAGTCGTTTTAGCCAATGCATAGTACACCCATCCACTTCAGAATCAATTCAAAAATGGCTGGATCTAATGCACAGCGTGGGCATAGCCTGCAGACTTGCTAATCTATGTGATCAGCTACTTGTAGTTGCTGTCAATGTGTTGATTGAGCTTTCATGCATCAATGGAATAGGCTAGTGTTCAATCTAGTCCAGTATTTTATGCCATGATAGCACAAGGGTAACATAGAGCAGTCGTTTTAGCCAATGCACAGTATTAATGTGTCAGCATAGGCTGCAGACTTGCTTGCTACTTGTAGCTGCTGCCAAGGTGTTGATTGAGCATTTCATGCATCAATGGAATATGCTAGTGTTCAATCTAGCTCAATATTTTGTGCTATAATGGCACAAGGGTAACATCGAGCAGTCGTTTTAGCCAATGCACAGTATTCAAGCGTTGGCATCGAGTGCAGACTTGCTACTCCCATGTTGTCAGCTAGTTGTCGTAGCTGCTAAGGTGTGCAACTCTCCCTTGCCCTATCTAATCAACTACGAGCCAACATGGCTTTCCATGCTACACTTTTCTTTATACAGTTTTACTCCATTGATTGCTAGGGAAAATGAAGGATATAGACTGTCCAATGGTGCAAAATTTGAAGTATAAGTAGCTCGATTAACAGCTAATCCTTTTGCCACCTGGAGAAGAAAAGGCGTGGATTGCGATCTCATAAGGGAAGATTGATGGCGATGCTGGTCATTTCATAGTATTGGTAGGGTACGTTTGAGTAGCACATGTTCTCATCACCATCACGGTAACTCACTCAGTCTATCACTATCCCTAATCATGACTCTATTCATAAGGTTTTTGACTTGAGACTCAGTTAGTCTATCTATAGTCATAGCACAAATTGGACAAGAACAAAAGCAGCTTGTTCCTTCCTTGCTGTCGTAGACCATCAGGAGTAGCCATTAAAACTGTTAAAAGTCCTTCTTTTCTGCTTTTTTTTGGCCTCTTTCAAGTGGAAGAGTACTGCAGGACATTGTACTGTACTACTGTAATTACCTTGTTACTAATGCATTATTCAATCGAGTAGAAATAGCGGCGTAAATTCATCTTTCCGCACTTTCATCTTTCATTTTCTACTGCAAGAGCTGCCATCGGTAAAGTAAACAATCCTTCTCGATTGATGATTATTTCTCTTCCTGGATCAATTTTAGACGATTCATTATCATCCATTACTTCAAAATAGGACAATTTACTCTGTTACTACTTGGACGATCATTGCTAATCGTCAACGATCCATTCTTCGAGGTATATTAACCTTGTATTGGTGATTTTATCCAATCGCCATCGCTTTTGCCACTCTCCCGAGAGATTGCGATTGAAAAGGAAAAAGAGGAATAACTACATCTACCATGGCCAATGTTTCCAAATTAGTCTATAAACATGCCAGTTTCAGAAATGTAACCACCATTACTGCATTAGCATGTGCTGGTCTAGCGGTATCACGATCATCAATGATCGATGAATTTATCAGACGTTATTTACATCGTTGGTTTGGACGCCATCGTCGTTCTTCTCCAGATACTGCCAACGATGCAACCATCGATCATCATCTTATACATAATTTGACAAAATCCATGGATAAAAGGAAATCGTCACCAGCTTTAAATGCTGCCTTTATGAAACAGTTAAAATGGATCATTCAAATTCTAATTCCTAGTTGGAAAAGTCCTGAATTTGCTTTACTTGCTATTCATTCATTAGCCTTAATATGTCGTTCATTTATTTCCATTTATGTTGCTGGATTAGAGGGTCGAGTTGTCCGATGCATTGTACAAAAACGATTCCGTATCTTCTTAATCAATATAGCCAAATGGTTAGCGGTTGCTATACCGGCTACATTTGTCAATAGTTCTATACGATATATGGAAAATAAACTGGGTCTTGCTTTTCGTGATCGATTAGTTCATTATTCCTATAATGCTTATTTTCAAAATCAAACTTATTACCGTGTCAGTAACTTAGACAGTAGGCTAACTAATGCCGACGAATGCCTTACTGAAGATATACGTGAATTTTGTTCATCAATTTCACATTTGTATTCTCAATTGACTAAGCCTGTATTGGATGTTATCCTCATGACATCGGCACTCTTTAGACTAGGCCTTCAACAGCGTGGCTACAGTTATTTAGGCTTAATTGCTCCACCATCACTTGCTTATACCGTCGTCTATGTTACAGCTAGAATTTTACGTCGATGCTCGCCTAAATTTGGTAAATTAACCGCTCAAGAGGCTCAATTACGTGGTAATTTAAGATATGTCCATTCTCGATTAATTACCAATTCCGAAGAGATAGCATTTTATTCCGGCCATAAGGTAGGACTAAAATAAAAGATATTACCCTAGGGAATCGATGAATTCTACACCAATGCTACTACTGTCGTTGTCCATTTTCAATTACCCTTGCAAAGTAGATACTATCCAATTTCGATAACTCGTAATCTCTCCTTTTCTTCAACTAAAAAAATTATTGACAATCAAAGTAAACTGATGATTGAATGTTAAAAATTCGATATTCCCATGACTAAATATCAGCTTATCATTAAATTATTTCCATCTCTGTACAAAGGATCACTTCATGTTTTACTATAATTTTTTGATATATGCGTATTATTAGATGCTCTATCGTAGTCGTTATCCATTTTGAATGACTCTTGTAAATCGGATACTATCCACTTCCATAATTCTAATCACCCTTTTCTTCAACTGAAGAAATTAGTCACTAGCAAAGTAAACTGACGATTGAATGTTAAAAATTCGATATTCCCCTTAGTTATATCAGTTGATCATCAAATTACTTTGATCTCTGTAGAAGGGATCACTTAATGTTTTACCGCAATTATTTTTCACATATGCATATTGGATGTTCTATACTTCTTCACTGGGAAAGTATACAGTAAATGAACACTATCGTTGTGGCTGCTATACATTCAGTAAAATAATTCATAACCAAATGTTGAAAAGAAGCAGCAAACTGTGAAGGATATTCTATGGCTATTGGATCGCATAATATTTTACCGTAATTTTAGACAAGAATTTCTTTGTTAAGAAAATGGATAGTTAAATAAATGCCTTAGTTACGGCAACTGCACTGCACATTCAGCTGGACAAACTCACAATTAAATTATGAAAAAGGAGCCAATTTTATTCTACAGTTAAGGCCAATGGATATTGATTTCATATCGTTAAGGACTACCGTATTACACTAAGAGAAAGTGTACAGTATTTTAGTAATGCTAACTACGCCTATATTTGACTATAGTACTGCAGGTTGTAGATGATCCAATAGTAGTAATGATGGACCACTAGATATTGGATTAAAGATGTTGGTTGTCCGCCTGATTAGACATTACCTGCTTATTCTAATTGGAGAAGGGCTTTTTATTTACTAACGTTAATTACTTTATTCATTCAATAATGGCAGGATGATAAATAATTAATTCATTCAATACTCTATAACATTGTTATTGCTTACCTGAGTATTCGATTCTATTTACTTAGAATCTCTTCTCCTTGAATAGAAGCACATATCAATAAAATTACCTTAGTATAAATCTATATAATTATTTTACTACTCTAATCGTAAGTTGGTAGCTCAATTGCGAGGGTTTAGTAAAGAATAGTAATTCCATTTTTCAGTACTTAAGGGTATCAACGAGTATAGAGGTTTAATTGGAAAATAATATCATGCGGCAATAATCCAATACTTTACTTACTTACTAGTTTGCTAATAGATGGAGTGATGATCTACCTAAACCGTAATCATGACTTCCTGTTAATATATCGTAATCTAGGTCGAGCACAATCTCCTTTATCAAAGCTATCGCGTCTTAGCCAACCATTTGGAAATGATCTTTAAAAAGAGACTTTGGTATGTGGTGCTGGAGCAATTCCTCATGAAATATTGTTGGAGTGCTACTGGGATGGTCATGATTGCTTTGCCTGTCTTATTAAATCGAGATGAAGATGTTGATTCTACTACGGAATCCGGTGAAACTACTCTACCCAAAATTGATGTAGTCAGCGAAAGAACTCAAACCTTAACTACCGCTCGTCATCTCCTTGCTTCGACAGCTGATGCATTTGAAAGGATTATGTCATCGTTAAAAGAGGTAGGTTGGATTAATTAGTTAAATATACAAGGTATAGTTAATAGGTTAAGCCATAAGTATACAAGAGATTGGTGTAATTATGTCACACTGTCCGATGACTTTTCTAAATGGTTTTTACAAATTATTATCAATCATTTATTTTTAAAATTATAAATTTATTAAACTGTAGATAACGGAATTAGCTGGGTATACATCTCGTGTTTATGACATGTTGATGGTCTTTAAAGATATTAGTGACGGACATTATGTAAGGAAAACTGTCTCCAAAAACAATAATATTAATGATGATGAAGGGATACAAACTGGAAGCCTTGATATTAATAAAAGGGGCAACGTTACAGAAAGCCAAGATTTTACGATCCAGCTAAATAAAGTGGCTGTAGTTACACCGAATGGTGATGTTATCGTTCCCAATTTAACATTACAGGTAATAATCGTCCATGGCTTCGTTGATAGAAAAAGCTCTATTCTAACGTAAAGATCTGTGCTCATAGAATATAAATTGAATTATTACTTGACTATCGTTATGATAGATTACAGATGGCATGCATCTATTAATTACTGGCCCTAATGGCTGCGGTAAAAGCTCATTGTTTCGAATTCTTAGCGGGCTTTGGCCAATTTTTAAGGGTGAAATGAAAAAACCTCCTGTATCATCGTTATTCTATATTCCACAAAGGTAATGAACCAACAGAATATCGATTAATTCACTTTGACTTTACAAAACAACTATTAAAATACAATCAATGAAATTCATTTTACAGACCATATATGTCATTGGGTACTCTACGAGATCAAATCATTTATCCTGATACGAAGGCTGATATGGAATCAAAGGGGATATCTGACGCCGATTTAGAGGATATTTTAGACATTGTTTGCTTAAATTATGTAGTCCAACGGGAAGGAGGTATAAATGTTCAAGATTGCTTAATACAAGCTATTTTAAATGGATTTATTAATTGATCATTAATCATTTGAGGTCTTACTTCTTCTAATTGCTATTTTTATTACAAAGGATGGGATGCGATAAATGATTGGTCGGATGTGCTATCAGGTGGTGAAAAGCAAAGAGTAGGCACTGCTCGTTTATTTTATCATAAGTGAGTGTAATATATGACTATGTTACCATTTTAGTTTATTGGTCGACATTTATTTATGTATTTGCTATGTTAACTGATATAAATTCTCTATCAGGCCAAAGTTTGCTCTTTTAGACGAATGTACGAGTGCAGTTAGCATTGACGTTGAAGGTAAAATCTATCAAGTTGCTAAAGATAAAGGAATCATTCTTCTGTCCATTTCTCATCGGCCTTCATTATGGTAGTTAAAATTCTAAATGCTGTATAAATTACAAAATTATATACAGTCAATACACACATATTTTTAAGTAACCATTAATAAAATTACTCTACTCCTATGATATCAACTATAGGAAATATCATACGCATGTACTACAGTTCGATGGTGAAGGAGGCTGGCGTTTAGAAGAATTAAACACGGAAGCAAGATTATCACTTAAAGATGAAAAGGAAAAGTTAGAATCGCAATTAGCTGGTGTTCCATTAATGCAAAAACGCTTATTAGAACTATGTTCTCTTCTTGGTGAAGATTCAGTTCTAACAAAAGCTGAAGACAACTATCGTTATGAATAACTATAATTCGTAAACTTACGCGTATACTAACTTTTACTTTCTACACGTGTACTATATTGCGCGATGTAAAAATAAATTGTTTTTACAATCTAGAGGGGCAGCGCAGCTATTATATAATCTGATAGAATAGTAATATCTCCTTTCGAAAAGACGCTAGGAAATATATTCTCTATTCTGTTTTTATTTAAACTGCTATAGACTGGATATATCCTAAACAAAATAACATTCCTGATAACATATCTTATTATAATTATTTCATCTGTCTATAGCTAACTCGATTTCGACATCATATAGATAATTTTATTTTCCTCGATGTAATCTTACAAGGCTAGAACAGTAGCGTAAGATTGATCATACTGTTCTGCACTTGATAGATTGATTGTACTTCACATCGCCAGCTTCCGAATACAATTTTTTGCTGGAAATAAATTTTGTTTTATTCCAGTTCTAACATCGTTAAATAGTATGGTTGAACCAGTCCAGAAATAATACTGATAGAGTTAAATATTGAGAGAATTGTTAATGATAGAGATAGACTTCGTATTTGTTTTCCCGCCTCTTGATTCATTATTCTTTAAATCTGAAAAAGAGAAATACGTATTTATAAACTGTATATGTTCGTATTATAAAAATGATGTCCTAGATGAATTCAAAATTTTTTTGATTAATTCGAACGTTTTGCGATATGACTATCTGAAAATTTTAAGAACTGTTCATGCACTGCATCTAGAGATAAAATGTCAAATGTGATTTTTATATGTTGTTGTATGATAATTAATATTAGTAAACCCTTTCTGCCTTTATAGTTCATTTTCTGAGACTAGAATCTGAAGCTACAATAGTTGGGATGCTAAATACTATTATGACTTGCGTACGTACTTACCCACGAGAGTCTATAGAGCGTAAATAGAGATAGAGTACGAATTATTAATGATGTTGATTATAATATAGCCAAGACAAGACAATATCGGCATAAGATCGAAAAAAATTGCTGACGTTGTATAACAGTTTTTGATGATATAAAATACTTTTAGATATTGGAGTAAAGTTTCATCAGATATATAACAAATCTCAAACTTAACAATTTTGCTTTACGGCGAACCATACAGCATGAGGACAGCATTTAATTTCTAAATACTCATAAGTTCTTTACAATTGCAAAGTGAATGAATTAACATGAAAATTTTAACTATTGTTGTAGTTTTCAGAGTATAATTTATATTTATTAATAACAAGTATGATCGCCAAGATGTTCATAGTACTAGTCCGCAGTCTTAATAATTATACAAAAATATGAAAATGAGATTTATAATCATCCTATAAAAAAATCTTTTCTTTACCAGGGTTAGGAACATCTAAGTAATCGATAGATGAATCTAGTATATGATATGAAATATTAAAGCAATATAATTTATACGGTTTAGTCTTTGTTCCTATAATGATTTCATAATCATGCTATAAAAATAGCTGATCATACATTTATGTAAAATACTATTTATGAAGACTATCATGTATACATATTTCTAAGAAACCCAAGGTCATTAATTATTTTCTCCTCGGATTAAAGTGATAGCTCACCCTAATAAACAACCTGCAAATTAATTATTAATACATTCATCATCAATTATTGTGTATTTAGCTTTAAATGGCCATCTTAACAGCTTAAAATGATCATCTTATAACAAATACTAATAAAAAAGTTATACTTACAATGGGAAAGATTCCTAGCCTGTCATAAACATATTACCTAAAAGATATATACTAGAATGAAGTTTTATATAGCATGTAGCGCATTTCGGACATGAAATAATCTGTTCTCTCTTTTAATATCATTACTTATGATTCCTAAACTACAAATCGAAAAAGTCTGCAATATATTGATTATGGTAACTACTTAGTTAATAATCTTAAACACAAGCTAGAATATCTTATTTGTAATCCAGAGTTGAAAAGAATATTGGAGTTAAATTTTATGATTTTGAATGAAGTAAAAAGGTAATCGAAAATTACAATAGCAATACACAATTATTCTAAACAAGAGTTTTGTTTACTAGCCTAATCTTAACTTATTTCTAGAATAAATCTTACTATGCAAGCTTATTTAAATTAGACTTACAGTAACCCCAAGCCTAACCTTAATATATCTATCTCACTCGTATGACTTGCTATATGATGTAGTATGCTAAATAAATGAAATTCATATTTAACTATTAATTTTAATCACATAATTATTTTCACAAAATATTAAAAATTTTCCAGGATAGTAAACGATAAACAACGCCATTCTTATTATGATATTTTGCACAATTTTCCTACTTCCTAACGAATATGAAAAATATTAATCAGTAGATCATAAATGGAAATGAAGTTCTGATTAAATATGTAACATTAATAGTTCAAGGGCTAGTTTTTAAATACGCAAATCTGTCTCTTTTATCTGCTAAAAATAATTTTAATTAGAATCATTCATAGCGGAGGGTTTCTTTAGTAGAATTGTACCATTATTACAAAGTGTTTATAGTAGTAGTCGGCCTCTTTAATAGGAATTTATATAGGGGCTAATAATATCTGCTCTTGTGATGCAAGTCTGAATAAATACCGTACCGTGATCCTTCTCATATTACCTGTAGTAATAATATTAGAAGGGATACAGTGGATAATTTGCGAAAGCTGAAACCTATACATATGTAATACGGGTATATATATATATATAACGGCTAGTCCGTGATTAATTTCAGGTAGATCATGACGATTGATAGAGAATAGAGATTAAGAGAAAAGGTAATTCTTCCTGTATAAACATTGAACTTTTAATTATTGTGAAGGAAAATGTATTTAGAAACTACTTATAATATTTAATCTATATCTGTTAAAAGCTCCAAAGTGTTACGATATTCATGTTACATTAGTATCATTATTAATGATCATTTATTTCGCCTTCCATAGTATATAGAGAGGAATAGAGGCAAACCACTTCCTACTTGGCTAGAAATCGCTAAATTGGGGTATACATGTGTGATATCACTTCATAGTGCTATTTGAAAATAGATGCATTTAATACCTGATCTCATTATTTATTTAATTTTATGGTGCAGAGTATGGACTGCCTTCGATTTACTTTTATGATTGATCCTATTTTTTAATTGATTGCCCAATATGCAATCCTGCATAGGATCGCATACAACAGATATTTAAATTTTAATTACTCCGACCTAGCAAGATTAAAAAACCGGTATCGTTTATGTAATAATTTATGATCGAACAAGGATTTAATGAAAATATGCCATCTCCTTGGTATACTTTGATGCTGCATGACTTTATTGAAATAAATTGAAACTCAGGTAAAATGAATCCTTGTTGAAATGTCTCTGGCAGCTAGATAAGATTTTATCAACTATTCGAATTAAAACGATCTACTACTAAATTGCATCTGTTTCAGCTTGGATTACGAACACAGATACCTATCAAACGTTAGATTAACCGTACTTTTAAAATACAGAGCAAAGTAACTTTAGTCTATAAATAATTTAGCGCTTGAACTCTGTACTATGTAAGTAAAGGGCAGGAATTAGGAGAAGTGATCAATGAAGATCGTAACATACAGATAAGTTAATTTAATTTACATGCATAACTAGCTTATAACAGATTAGGGTAAAATCTTCAGTTAGTATTCTACTTGGTATCCATGTAGTGGTATACAAATAAATATGGTTAATAGAATAAATCAATAATCTACTAGAATATTGTTCACTATTTCCTCTCCAATGCTATTCTATTGAGGAAGGGTAAATATATGGATCAATAATGTCGTAAGATGACCGGCCACTGACTATATTCATTAATCATTAACTTATTTTGTATTAACGTTATAATTGCATATCGTAATCAACAAGCTTGGTCGTTTTAATCACAGTATAATCTTACTGATCCATGCTATCCTTATTGGGGATTCAAGACTATTCGAAAGATGATTTCATATTGATGGAAGTAAATATTTTTTAACCTAAAAATTGGTTGCATCGATGATTGTAATAGGACTGTTTATAGTATTTTCCGTTTGATGACTACTCATTGATTATATATATAAGCTATACGTCTAACCGGAGGCAAGTAGAAAGCATGGAAAATTAAATTAACCACTATTGAACTATTACAGTATGATCGTCGTAAAATGGACTGTTTACTGTATTTTCAGTTTGATAATGTAATTATTCATTGATTATATCGTAGAAAAGTAGAAAACCTCGAAAAATTCAATTAATCACTATTTCACTTTTATTATCGTAGTAAATATGGACTGTTTATTGCATTTTCCGTTCGATGATTACTTATTGATTATATCGGAGGAAAGCAGAAAATCTTGAAAATTCGATTGATGACTATTTCACTATTATTGTCGTTGTAAAAATGGACTGTTTAGTGTGTTTTCTGTTTGATGAATCTTATATTAATACGCCAACATATTAATTATACGTCTTATTGGAAGAAAGTATAGAAAATTGGGTCGATCAACATTGTATTATTGTCGTAGTAAATATGGACTGTTTATTGCATTTTCCGTTTGATGATTACTTATTGATTATATCGGAGGAAAGTGGAAAGCATAAAAAATTGATTGTTCCATATTTCACTATTGTTGTCGCAGTAAAAGTGAACTATTTACTGTAATTTCTATTTGATGACTTCCTATCGATTCTATATCTAATCAGAGGAAGTAGAAAGCATAGAAAATTGAATTGGTCTATGTTTAAGTATTATTGTTGTAGAAAAAAAATGACTGTTTAATCACTTTGGAGTAAGGAATCAATTGTGCTGTTTAACACGTTGTTATGCATCATAAGAAGTAATTCTATAATTTCCTCTGTCTTAAATATAGCAAGAAAGAAGATAGATTATCAAGTCCTTAATTATAGCTCAAAATGGCAGGCAGATATTTTAATAAGCCTAATTTTTATGATAATACAGTTGCTCCAATTGAAAATGCTCAGTTAATTGTTTAACCATATTATGCTAATGGTTTATTGATGATGAATAGTCAAAGTCTTCAAGTCTAGGCCCAATCATTTTGTCATTTCGCCATTTTGTTTATCTTATTTTTTTTTTATAACGCTGCTATTATCATTCATCAAAATGGAGAATAATGTCCATTAATCATGTTTAGATATTGTTGTTGATTATTTTCCCAGGTCAAAGCTAATCTGTTGATGATCTTTTATAGCAACTATAGAGAATGAATATATGCTTTTATTTTTTACTATTGATCGGTCTTAATACATATTACAAATAAATAAATTCATGAAGAGAAATTGATCTATTTTTTTTAAATGCCTTCATCTATATTTAATCGGCATTCTATAGCCTAAAAAATTGATATTGTTAGCTTGATAGTCTGGCTGGATAGAAGGGGCCCAATATCTTTGCTGAATATTATCGAAAGAAATGAATTTCGTTAAGTGGCACACAACGACGTCACGGCAAAATGCATCTGTTTCCCCCACATAATCAATATTTTATTTTATTTTGTTAAATTTTTTTTGTTGCTACAGTGACAAATCCGTTCATTATGAAGCTGAAGCAGGTGCATTCAACATTAGTCAATGATATTATTGTATAAATTGGAGTTTTAATTGAGTGTTATCCTAACTTGCAGGAGCAATATCCGTAGCGATCTAGAGTAGCCAATAATATCTCATCATCGCGGAATAGTATTGATCTTCCTCATTCTCTCGGTCTATATAGATATTTCAATCCGTGAATATTGCCGTATGTTTGCAATTCATCTTAGTGATCAACACAGGTGGACAGATAGGCAAAATGTATGCTAAGGTATTTCTTGTCATTATTTCTCAATCCAAATTGACACCATTAGCAATCAATCAAAATCATACTGGAAAAGGTAATTACATGCACTGAAGAAGATAGCACTATTTGTAACAAAGACCTAATTTAATATAGAGTATTAGCTATAATTGGAAAGTTAAAACAAATCCAAGCTGTACATTTTCTATGAGTTAATGATATTACCGCTTAAATTACTCATCAGCTAATTTTTGTGGATATCCATCTATTTGCAGCTGATTTAATTTATTTATTAATTAAAAATAAAAAAATATTATTACAGTTCATTTTCTTCTATTTTGATGTCAGTTTCTCATTTTTAACTATCCTTTTAATTAATTTATGCTATCATTAATATCTCTCTAAATCAATATCATAATAATCGTTTAATTAGATAAATAGAATCTATACGAATCTCTATTTTTAAATCTTTTCGGCGCCATGGGATAAGATTATTTCATTATTACCATTTTAATACTGAATCTATATTTAAGTTACTCCATTGGTGAAAGAATAATAGATTGGGCAGCTATTGACCTTCATTATCCTCTCTCATTTTCTCTATATACTTTGTTACTCAATTAAATTGATTAATAATCAATTGAGCAGTTATTGGCTTTCATTACCCTCTCTCAATTTTACTGTATACTTTGTTACTCGATTAAATTGATTGATAATCGATTGGGAAGCTATTGGCCTTTATTTTCACTTCTCAATTTCTACCGCACACTTTGTCACTCGATTAAATTAATTATTATTCTTACCATTTATTCGTTTGCTTTTTATTTCTAATCACTCATTAATCCCACTGGATTGTAAATTTGAAAGATTGGTATTCGAAATTGCAAGGATTATATGTTAAGGCTTTTGTAATCAAAATCGATAAAGTATTCATTCTGATAGACTAACTTTACAGAACTATCATGTCTAATTGATATTTTAGTCAATCAAATAAGTCGTCATTTTGGAGGTTAGTTGCAACCAATTATTATAGCAGTATAGGTAAAGCAATCCTGTCCGATCTAGTGATACGAAGATTTCTACTGCATTATTCTTATTCCTGTCTGATCAGTTCAAATTTGTAAGAATTTCAACCCTTCAAGTAGGTTTGGTTGTGGAAATTCACCTTAAAATTATTTCTCCAATCATCATTTCACGATAATCAAGATCGAGATGAATTTTACCATATTTCCCGATACTGTTGCTCAGATCAATTCTACTATGAATTCTACACTATCATCCAATGCTTCTACAGCTGTAACGGCCACTCCTAATATCGTTGAAGATCCTAAAACTTCAGTTGGCATCCATATTGTATTTGGTATGTTAGCTAGTGTTGCAATTATTGGTAATTTACTCGTTTGCTTGGTTAGTATCCATCAACGAGCAGTTATGAAGGGAGCTCTACATACTTTAATATTTTGCTTAGCTATTATTGATATGCTCACTGGTCTTTTTGCAATTATTACACCTGGATTTGTTATCCCGGCAGAGGCATTTCCTTATCCTAATGGTACAGCAGGTGTCCTATATTGCAAGCTAATTGATTCAGAATATTTCCTATTCTCACTTGGTTTTATCTCCATCTACCTCGTTTTAACCATCACTTTAGAACGTTGGTTCGCTATTGCTCAACCATGGCGTTATAAAGTATTATTCTCAGTTAAAAATTGTCGAATTATGGTAGCTTGCATTATCATCGGACAGTTAATATTAACCATAGAGAATATACTAAACGAGACATTTAATCCTGCTTTTATACCACCATGTCAGTGGGGATCTGTTTTTGATGATAAAGCAACCCGAAATATCTTCTTTATAATTATGGAAACTATACGCTTATTTATACCCGTCACCGTTATTGTCCTATGCTATATTGATATTGCTCGGCGATTATTTTTCCTAACGAAAATTGGCCAAAACGATAATGTTAATAAATCGATAACTCGCCGACGTGCAACCATTACTGCATTTACTGCATCCATGGCTTTAATTGTATGCTGGCTACCGAATGAGTTATACTTTACACTCTTTCAGTTTGAGGTTATTCAGCTCGATCCAAATATTTCTAAAGCTTTTAAAATACTAATTATAACTAATTCCTCTCTTAATCCATTTCTGTATGCCATAACCAACGAGCTATATCGTGATGGTATCATAAAATTATTCAGCAGTCTCAAGAGTAGAAAGCATGGAAAGAGGAATAAACCAAGAGCTACGCAAGTATTTAAATGATTCTATCAGGTTGAAATTCTATTCAAGTATCGCAAAAATATAAAATTGAAGCTTTTATATGACATACTATGATAGATAACTAGTTCTAATTGGACTTATAATTGGATTAGATGTTAATATTTTTGCGTTAATTGATAGTGTTGCAAAAAAATATAAAAAATCTATACTGTTATGCAGTAATCTAGGATAGATAACTAGTTCTAATTTGATTCATGATTGGAATAGATATTGATTTTTTTGGCGTTAACGGATAGTTTAATCATGTATTATAGTTTTTTTTATTAGTAAATATTGACGGTACAGTCAGTTTGAATGCTATTATTATTGAATGCCTCTATAAATTATGTAATGTAGAAAGTTGAAAAAGGTTTTACAGACCTTAACATATGACCTCTATGTCGTAGATAATATCTCTAACATTACTAATCCCTCGAGAATTGCAACGTAGAAAGTTGGAAAGGTTTAACTAGCCTTAACACACATAACCTTTGCGTCGTAAATAATATTTCTAACATTGCTAATCCTTTAGCGATTGTAATGTAGAAGGTTGGAAAGGTTTTGCTGACCTTGATATATGTAGCCTTTATGTCATGAATAATATCTCTAACATAGCTAGTCCTTCAAGAATGGCCCTAATTAAAGTATTATTGCCAGGATTGTGATGGGTGGTATATAGAAAATGAACTATTTTACATGTATTTTAGAGATATTCAATAGAGAAGCTTATACAAACAGAGGATAAAAATTATTATTTCATCAGATTTTCAGCTAATCTACTTTAAGAGCTAAAGTAGCCACCGTTTCTATTCTCTCTGTAACTATTACAATAGGAAACGATTAATGTATTGAATAACTATTAAGAATTTCTGTTTTTCGCTATGATGATCCAATAATTTGTCATAAGATTCTAATGTCTTTAATATGAAGATTATCTTGTCGTTAGAGATGATAGAAGAAATTACTCTAAAGAGCATATTCATAGCTTGTAATACCATACCTATGGACTCACATAATGATCATAGGGATATCCTGTACAAAAGCAATAGTATCTTTAATTCAATAAAAGGATTAGACACAGCATTACAGTCTGTGTATCGAAATTTGAATTTTTACTTCGAAATCTAAAATGTGTTTTACAAACACTTTAATCCACTATTTTGACGGCTAGTTATCTAAATAGAAAAGTTTTCTGAACTATCCGAAACCAGTTAGACATGTAGCCGATTGATAACAATTGATCAGTCTCCATCCAATTAGGTTTATAGATTGAAAGGTTATCGTATACTCTTTCAAAGAATTCGTTAGTTATTGTATTCCCATGCTCCATTTTTAATTTGGATTGAATTTTCTTCTTAATCTAAATCAGAGTTTAAATTATTTCTAGTACATAAAGATGTGAAGATGAGATTAATGACGGTACCTTGTAGAAGAAAATTGTAATTTTCTCTTATTCTAGAGGTTCTTCCTGTCAAAATGATTTAATTTAATAAATTCGGTTATCATTTGAAATGTCCTTGTACTCTATATCAAAATTTTTATCAAATCTATAAAATTTGCGTATTCATTTTATCAAGAATATAGAATATTAGCCTGTGTAGCTAACATTTATCTACACTACATAATACGCCATCCTTCAAAGAATACTTATAGAGGTATTTGATAGTAATGACAATTACTTTATTTCTATTCTATACCCTCATATACGTGTATAATGGTTATCTTTCAACTATCTCTTTTTGATCTATTGATCTTGATAACATGATTGATAAAATTTAGATAAAATAACTCAACTTAATGGCTGGCATGCTCGTATCAGTTTCAATAGTCATTAATTTCATTATCTCAGGTTTGATGTAACCGATACCTTCAATTTAAAGTCATTCTAATTAAGTCTATTCATAGAATTTTACATCTGTTAGTTAATTGAGTATCTTCATCTGCTAAATATTGACTAATACACCACACCAGATTATAGAGTCTTTAGAGTCGGTAATAGTAGCTTGACTATATTGAACAAGAATATATTGTAAATGATCAATTAAGGAAATAATGTTATGATTATAATAACCCTCATATTATGTATTCCGTAAAACAGAAATAAGTACTTGATTTTTTAGCAGAATTTTTTCAAACTTAATGCATAATAATATAAATCTTACTTCAGAGAAGACATCCTATGGTAGACTAAATTCAGCAATATCATGGGCATCAATGATTGGATAATTTTAAAAAGCGTTAAGGAAATGTATTTGATCAGTTGTTAGGTCTTCACATACATGAAATAGGTGAAATATTTATTATTTATACACATATATTATCACATTTTTTATAGCAGTGAAATAAATTTGAAATTGTATTGATCTTAATTGCTCTAACTGAAAAGTAATATTAAATTTAATCTTTTTATTATAAATAGTTAAAGTTTATGAATATATCGCAGATTTGATATGCAATTGCACGTATACTGCGTAGATCCTATGGCTCTGAAGCTATGAGTTGAAGGGCTACATAGGTATATCAAGTATTTGTATTTCCTATGTTTATTTGGCATGAAAGCGATTTAAAATTGGTTCAAAAAGATTATTGCCTCCTGGTAAGAATAAAGCGCTGTTTGAGCTAGAAAATATAGGATACAATTTAGAGTAATCGCTCTTCTGCAAGCCATTACAATAGTAAAAAATTTAATTATAATTGGATTAATAGGTTCTTAAATGATTGTTAGTATTCTATATAAATAGCCGGATTTTACTGTAATAGCAGTGTTTATAAATTTGCTTTGCAACATCTATCGTTTTATATCTAGATATAATGGTTCAATTTAGAGGAAGGCGTAAACAATCCGTATTCAAGAAAGTAAACAGTTAATATTCTATCTTTTACAACCTACATAGCGAAATGATATACAACACTGTACTCTAGTACAGGATATATCATTTACTTATACTTTTAAATTGCTAAAGTAACAATACTAGACTATTAACCTAGCCATAACTGTAAATTTGTAGCCTATGTTAAAATTTACTATTGTACAGGATACAAAATAATAGATTCTACTAATTTGAATTTATAATACTCAGCGGATGAGTAATAGACTCTTACTTAGTTTATATCCCTAGATAATAAAAACATTAAAATAGTTAAAATAATATCGCTCAAGACCTATTATGGCTATGTAGAATATGTTAAAAGTCGTTAAAGAATGTTAATTATTTGGCTATACCAAAATCGAGTAATATACGCGTATATAATATGTTGATTCACAATATTCTGTTACGATAAAATAAAGCGTAAAAGATTAAAATTTCAAGCGGCATCCATAATATAATAGTTTCTTATAATTATGACTATATGAACTAGTAATTACTCTAGTCATCCTTAATAAATATGTCGTAAGCTAGGTCCTAAATTAAATAGGTATTTAGTTAAGGTTGAAGCTGTAAGATTGAACAGTAATTAAGATTAGTAATGATGAATCTCCAATAACTGAAGGAGGTTCTGAATATGGTTACATTATTTTAAAATCGGAATCGCTAAACTAGATATTTGAATATTATACGTTAAGGGAATATTTCAAAGTATTAAATAATAAAGCAATAATAATAGTACCATAGATAATAAAAAAGATTTTCCTATATAAATGACATCTGTATCTTAAATTGGAGTAGCAAAAAATGAAGATAATTAAAAGGTTATCAACAGTCTTGCTATAGTAGCTAGAAGTAGCTTTGATAAATAGGTTAAAAATATTTTAATCTGAAGGAGTAGAGTTATGAAAATAGAGCTAAACCATAGGCAGATTAATATTGTTCTAGTCTAGCTACGTTAGCGAGAGTTCCGTCGACCTATAAGTTGAATTCATCAAATGAAGTAGTTATATATTATTAATAACAACTAGTGATATTTTATAATCAGAGCGATCATAGAGAAGGAGTTCAATATCGATAATCCTCTACAGACTGGAATCGATCGATATCTCCCTGAGAACACCTACAATATACGCATGACATTATTTTAAGCATAATTACCGGTAGGAAAGATCTACGGGTATATTAGTGCTTTCCAATAGAAGATAAAGTAGAGCCTTTCAATTATATTCAACTAAGTTAAACTCATATTAGGAAAAATAGGCAATATTCTCTTATTAACTCGAATATAAATTTGTTTTCAATTATTAACTAATAGTAGAAGTGGGATGTGTCCCATGGACATAAAGCTGTGGCATCAGGATCTATCTATTGTAGCGATCATGACGAAGGTCTATATTTATAATCCACTTCAGATTAGAATCGATCAATATCTCCCGGAAAACACCTACTACACAATACACGCATGATATTAAGCTTAATTACCGGTAGAAAAGATCTATATGTATATTAGTATTTTTCAATAGAAGGTAAAGTAAAGCCTTTCAATTATATCCAACTAAGTTAAACTTACATCAGGAAAACAGACAATATTCTCTTGTTAGCTTGGATATAAATTAGTTTTTAATTGTTAAATACTAGCAGAAGTGGGATGTATCCCATGCATATAAAGCTATAACATTAGGATCTCTCTATTGTATTAATTAGAGATCAATTATAATACGAAATTGTTCATCAATGGTAACGCAAGTTGGATGTTTCTTATAAACGAAGGATCTTGGCCATTTAAATATAATCGTTTTGCTAATTAAATTAAATTATGCCAGAATACATTCTAGATACCTAGAACAATCATTTAAGGTTTACGTTAAATCCTTTTTTAAGACATAATTGAATAAATATAATTCAATATGATTATGCGACGTAATTATTTTCGGGCATGGTGCTAAAGAGAAATAATTTCTACATGAAAAATAGGGTGGAAATTTATAGCCAATATTAGTAATGATGCGAGGTATAGACGTACTGGTCACTAACGTTGATCTATTGCAAGTAGAACTTTTAAATTAGGCCACAAAGTGTTGTGGAGTTGTTTCTCATCGATGCACTATGGTCTAGAAATTGTTAACTGACAAGAGACAATGTCATATGTGGATATTGTTACGTAAGAAATTTCTCGTAAGAGCGATTTAGAAAAAGCAAAATGCGTTTTATTAATGATCACTGCTGTTAAACTTGTTATCATCCTTTTTGGGGGCTTCGCAAATATCATATTTACTTAGATTCATAAATTAATTATATCACATAATGTATTTCCGACAATATCGGATACGAATGTTGAAAGGATATGAAGTTTCAGGAAATTTCGGTGTATAAGATTATATAGAGGAAGACAAGTGATATCGTGAATGTGTTAATATTAGACTTGTTTCAGAAATCGATGATAGATGAGAATTTTTGAATGAGAAACTTTACATTTCAATGCCACTCCTTGAATAAAATAAAGCAAGACAGGATTTTGTCATGCCACGATAATTACGACGTAGGTTGGTTAGACTAACAACTCTAAATATGTAGTTTTGCAAATTTCTAGTAGACCAGCATTCAACTTTATTTCTTTAAGGGTGCAATACTGTCAGTGGAGAATTTAATATATGGAATTTGGTAATTTATACTTAAACCTTCTAGTGCATTTGTTCATTTAAGCCAACGAAAACGTATCAGCATTCTACTGTAGATACAAACTCTAAATTTACTCGCACTCTATTTAATATTGTAATTCTCTAACTTATGATGCATTTAATTTAAACGTGCAATCTTATACGATAATAAATGCTAGAGCAACAAATACTATTTATAAACCGCAATCCGCAAAAGTGCATTCGCTTCCAAACTCAATAAATAAAATTATATTGTAGGCATTATAATGAAACTACTTCCAATATTTATTTATTACGTATCATGTCAGAAATAAGTAGGTTATATTTTAAGGCAAACATGCATGAATAAATCTTCTACAGACGTTAAATTAATTCAAGTGATATTATCTAATAGATGAGTCCGTGGAATAATATTATGTACAAATAGACAAAAGCAATGTTGCAGTTAATTAGGTGATTACTTTCAGCCAAGATGGGCTGGAATAATATCGTTGAATATTTTAACTTAATAGTTATTACAGTTAGTAATAATATGTACTCGTATTAGATATATAAGAATTCTTTTAAAACAGACATCTATTGGTTAAGAAGGTATAAAAAAATAAAACATGTGCTTTCTATTTATAAAAGTTTAACTAGATTGCACCGATATTATATGATATTACCAAATTAGTAAGAATTCGTATAATTAACTACGTAAAAGCCTAGACTTTCCATATGCTATTGCTAGATCAACTAACAGATTCTTCGACTTTTAGTATGATTAAAAAAGATTTTACTACATTTTTCGATATGCTAGAAATATTCACGCTAATCTATTCATTACTGTACTATAATAGTTCCTTTCTGGCTACGATTAGAAAAATTATTATTTCGAGAGCAAATGTAATAAAAAGTGCCACGACTTTTAAATCTCAATAGAGCTCCAGGAAAAGAAGCAGGAGCGTTATTTAATAGATTATTCAGTTCAGCTTTAGATTCAACCGATTGGCTTTGACATTTTGCGTTTCTCATACATAAATAGTAACCTGCACTTGCCATAGTGACAGCGATATCTTCACTAGATGAAGAAGACGGTTGTCCTACACCAGACCATATTAACTCAGCATTCTTCCATAAAGTACTGTTTTCAAAGGGAACAGGGAAATTTTCCATTTTATCTCGAATTTGGGCAATATTATTCCTGTCCGTTCCTGAAATTGTTATGACAGGTTGAAAATTTGTGTCGGTTTATTTAGCATCAAACGAAAATAATAGAATAAATAGAATCACCATCATAATTATATAGTATAATAGGGCAAGTGCTATCAGAAGGTGATTTATAATATGATTACATAACTATAAAAAGTTTTGCACCAATACGTTTTCCTACCTCGTGTGCCTTCACCGGCATCGCCAGCTTGTCCGTCGCCCGCTGGATTGCCATTATTGTGGGTGTTAGAGCCTAAGATAATCAATAGAAGAGCAAGTATACATCATTTTAGGTAGTGTATTTTTGCTAAAGTAAAGTAGATGCATACTGACAAGCAAGATGAGGTAACTACAGGTCTCCTAATTACTTCTAATATACGACTTTCATATTTACTACACACCTACAGTATAGGAGATAAACTGATACAAGAGCACAAACATATAACGATAAATATGATGCGATCGGATACAAAGTCCTTCGTACAATTTACATCGCTTGAGTACAGTCTTACACAACATTTGTGCAAGTATACATTACACATACACTGAGCGCGCTAGCTTCCTCATTAGATAAGGATGTTATTCGGGAATGAAAATTACAATCTAAAACTGTATGTTAGTTATAGTTTCTGACACATTTGCGCAAGTTCCTCTATTATCCGTAAACTAAGCAAACATTTTGTAGGCAAGAATATCCGATTTTTTCATTCTTAAAATAATCATCAGATATCTTACCTGCCCATTGAAAATGGATTAAATCATTAGCTTTAATTTTTATATCGTTTGGTATAAAATCATATTCAACAGCTGGATATGTTTGCACGATATTACCACGCTTGCCGCGTACGTTGATGTTATGGATAGTTGAAGACTCGAGTCCAGCTGGACGGGGCATTAATTTTATAACGTGGGAACGATCTTGAAACGTACGGCCATATTGCGCTGTGTTAATCGCCAAGCGTAGGGGTGAGTTGCCGGCTCCAATGTCGATATTAGGGTTTTGTTGAACAGGCGATTGAATACCCAATACTCTATAATAAAGTCATTCACTTACTAGTCTTAAAATGGGGATTTTTAGATAAAATCGTCGTTCTAGCCTTCAATGAGATTTTGAATGAATCTAACTCTCTACTAGTTTATCTTACCTATTTTCATTATGGCTTGAATTTGTTTTGAAAGGATCATAATCGTCAGTGGAGATATTATATCGAATTCTTATGATACAATTATGTTCTTTTCCTGATGGAAAGTGAGGCAATGTCCATAAGTATCGAGAAGCTTGGCCTACACGTGTATTTCCGAGATGATTATCACGCGTCCATGGTGCTGTAACACAATCCGGAGCAGGTAAAGCAACAAGACATCGTGATTGCAATCGAGTTGCAAGGGCATCATGTGGAATACCCCAAATATATCGTGGACTAGCAGCATTGCCATTAGCGGCATTGCATGCAGTTTCGGTCGTCAATTGTGGTGCGTATTCAAGGTAATTAGTAAAGCCGATCCACTGTCCTCCATTAGATTGACAATCAGCTTCATTATTCCACCGTGATCGATGTCTTACATTGTTGCTGTTAGGATAATTTTCAATACACTCAAACTGCTTTTTAACGTTGAAACTTTCACTTTGATACCAATTACATAATGATGTATTAAAAGGCATGATAGCAATATCTTTCCAATCAGTTGGATGCCAATATGGATAGTAGTCACGTTCTTCTGGGCATTCATAACCGTAGCGGTTACCGTTTGGATTTTGTCTAGTATATATTGCAGCGCTATAGCCTAAGCCATTGTTTGTCCTTAATCTCTGATCAGCCGTAAATAACCCTAGAAGGAAAATGAAGACAGTCAATAGGACAGATTATCTTTTATTGGACGATCTGCTAAAATTATATTGTACTATATATCCATAAATAACTATTACAGTACTATACACACCAAATAATAATACATACCTTGATTTCGTTGTCGGATGCGACATTTATCATACCATTCCCATGATTCCTGCAATGCTCGATCAGATTTTACGTTTCCATTTTTCCTATTCTGCTTTTGCTGTTGAGTTTCTGTTCTTAGTTCCTGAAGTTATTAGACACATAAATTAGGAAGACAGAAATATGAATAATATGATTACTTGATTAAAAGATTGATAAAATAACGCTCAATTTGGAGCGCAACATCTAGTAGATTTACCCGAGCATTATTTAATGGTGAATAATCTTGTCGAAGTGTGTTAGCGCCATTGCGGAGTTTATCCCGGTCATCAGCAGGTCCTCCTTGTTGCGGTTGGCACATATACTGCATAACTAGATTACAATTGACCTTATGTGGATCAGTATCTTCATTACCACCACAGCCATGTTGATTAGTCCATTCCAATAATAGAGTGGATTTTCCGCGACCACTAGTGGGACCGCTCTGAAAATATCGCTAATATATTGAAGTAATAACAAGTCTTAATTTCCAATGGGAAAAATATTTCAAAGAGAGATAACAATCACACAAGTATAGTTATCGATATTAATTTTCCCATCGTGAAAAATACAACATTGATCATCAAGTTACTTGGTAGTGGGAAATCCGGAATTAAAACTGTGGATAGAAATACCGTTAAAAATTGATAATCACTAATTGAAAAGGATTTTAAGCGATCAAGTGCTTTTATGGATATACTATTGGGGTAGTTTTGAATTGACCATGATATGTTTGAGAATAGTCTCTATCTGATCGCTTTATAGTACTGTAGTAGGTGCTTGATGAACTAGAATATTATCAGAGATTGTTTACAGCTGTCCTTTGCGGATACTGTACAACGTACTATTGACCTTGTGTAGCAAAGATAGCTACAAATATGGATACCCTGATCATGACTAGGCAGTCATCAACTAGTAAATGGTAAGATGGTTTTATGAAAATCTCTTCCTTCCTTCAAGCACTTTCTACGTTATTTTAACATAGGACATTATCAGCACCATTGGATCTTATTTTCAAGTAATTATTTATCACTAGAATTTCTTTCATGCAGAAGGAACTGCTGTAAGATAAGGTAAAGTAATTTAAACTTTCTTACCATACGATGTTGTCCCGTCTCAGCAGTAAAGGCTTGATTAGTTTTGTCGCCAACGTTGTAACCTCCACGATTGTTGTTCTAAGATACGAAAGAAGATCAACAACAATATAGTTTATTAAGACGGCTCATTTAGGCAATGATTATCATTACGCATCTTGTTTTATTATCATGGTCAAGACGCAAAGTAACGCTTGCGAGATTTGTAACGATCATATCTGAGTCGACTGACAGTTTACGATTATTATTAGAAGCACATTCTTGGCAATATCATTGGGGTACTGATAAGAGAAGCTTGGATAACTACAAGAAGAAGCTCTTCTTCTTCTACTCATTGTTGGATAGAATTGCTGAGTTGAAAATTGACTCAGTACTTAATAAAGACACTAGCAACTAATATCGGTTTGTTTACAGTTGATACTGATGATGTCCTTGTAAAATGGGAAAGGGGTAAAGAGAAATGTAGAAGAAGGCACCAATGGAAAGATCGTTGTTGAATAGTTTAGATGAATTCATTTTGCTGGCAAGACTAAAAGCATAGCGACGAGAGTGTTGGAAAAGACACTATCCAATTATTTTGGCTTTGTCATGAAAGATTGTAGTTAAAGATAGAAATGGAGTGTAGGAACTCTAGGTTGTAAACTATTTCAATAGGTGAATAGTTTGGATAGAGTGGATCAACCTTGTTGTGTAGTATATTGTACGTAAGAGCGTGTGTCTTTTCCCTAGTTATCATTATCATTGTCGATGGTATAGATCCTACAGTAAGGTATGAAGGAAAGTGGAACATCATCTGGCCTTGAATCACTATTTGAAGAGAATATGTTTACTTACTTGAGAGTCAAAGCATCGATTTGCATTTCGTCGATTCGCTGATTTCTCATTGAGGCGATTATTACTACCACGGGGATTATGGAGATAGATATCAGCGAAACAATTTGAAGTTAAGGCAAGAAGCAATAACAAGGTGGTTGTAGGCATTTTGGCCATTGTTGACGGTTTAGCGTATGGTCGGTCGGTGACTAGGAGTTTGGTTAGGATTGAATCAAGGCGTATCGAAAATGGCAACAAACACTTTCAAGCTTGACATAGAAGAAGAATCAAGAGTGAAGAATACAATCAATACGTCGTCGGTATAATGAAGTGCAAAAGTAGAGCAAGGAAAGCAGCTATGGATGGAAGAAGAAGAATCGTTGTGATGGCCAAACCATCGAACCTATATAGCAGCAAGTCGTCCAGTACTGAAGCCTGAAGGTAATGGGAGAGGCAAGTTGCTCCTCATGATACCATGGTGACGTCATCGATGCAGTGCGCTTGGATTGAGCCGTCATACAGTCCAAGAGCTACTGGAACTCCACTATGGATTGGATACTACAGTAGAGTGGCGGAAATTTCTCCAGCCATTGCTATAGACTATTTCTGTCCAAGTCATTTGCATAAGCGTATTTATCCAATCCAAGAATCAATTTGGATTGGGTTCTCCATTCTATATTTGAGAATAGAGAATTAGGTCAATTAATGGCATTTTTGTCAACACAAATTCATGTGAAAGGGATAATAGAAGGCTTTCTTGTTGAATGTTAAGTCAATAGGCAAGCTCCACCCTTGATTTTCAAGTGAATGGTACGTGCAGCTTGGTGACTAGGAAAGAAAAATGGCCATTGGAAAAATGAAAAATCCCTTTTGTAATGAGCTATGGTTGACAATCGTGTGATGAACTTGTACGCCCAATGGAGTTTGTCTACTTGTGCCGAATCCATCGTTGTTATTCCAACTAGGATAGCAGGAGATGAATGATGTTATTGCTTGCCTTCTTGCCTGTAATTTGCAACTTGATCCATGCCATGACTTCATAGCTAATTTTAGACAAGCTTGCGATCAGAAGAGGAAAATGATTCCGAGATCGATTCATAGGCTCCAGTCTGGTACAAAATCATTGGAGCGGGAGTGGGACTGGGACCGGGTCAGAATGCGATCTGGTCTAGCACTGTACAGTACAGCACTCGGGCAGTCTCTAACCTCTACAGTACACTGAGTTTACAGTCTACAGTCTACAGTAAACTGTACTGTAGACTGTAATGTCGACTCACCTGCAAGTGATGGTGATGCGTCCTGAACCTTCGACAGGTGTAGCTGTAGCCAGTCGGTGTTGACGCTGACGATTACCTAATAAGGTTCAATTTAATCAAGCAACGTTGACGTGCACCGGTCACCCACCCAACGATCAATCATACTGTACATAATAAGGGAAGTATTGGCTTGAAGCCTTGAAAGCCTTGGCCAACCTTTAGAACTGTATGGCACTCGGGCAGTCTCTACAGTACAGTACACTGTACAGTGCTGTACTGTACACTGAGTTTACAGTCTACAGTAGACTGTACACTTGTACTGTACACTGTAATGTCTACAGTAGTGCAGTGTCGTGCTGGCAGTGATGATGATGCGTCCGGGATGTTGTAGCCAGTCGGTGTTGACGCTGATAAATTACCTTATAAGGTCAATTAAATCAAGCAACGTTGACGTGCACCGGTCACCCACCCAACGATCAATCATACTGTATATATTAAGGCAAGTATTGACTTGAAGGCTTCAAAGCCTTGGCCCAACCTTGACGCTCGCTTCCTTCTTGACTTGGTCTTCGCCTTTGGAAATCACCACTTTCGTCCATTGATTGACTTGGATTGCATTTCTTCCATCATTTACTCCATTCTTATTGCCGTTCACTGCTTTGCTTGATTGATTTGTCCATGTTGATTAGCACTAGTGACCCACCCAACGATTCATTATCAAGGAACTATTTACTTTAAGGGGCCAACATTTCCGCTTGCTTGCTGCTTCGGCTTTTGGATACCACCGCTTTCGTTGATTGATTGACTTGGATTGCATTTCTTCATCCTTCACTGCTTTACTTAATTGATTTGTTCAACGTTGATTTGCACCAGTGACCCACCCAACGATTGAATTATCAGGGAACTATTTTACTTTAAAACCAACATTTCCGCTTGCTTCCTGCTTCGGCTTGGTCTTGGCTTTTGGATACCACCGCTTTCGTTGATTGATTGACTTGGATTGCATTTCTTCATCATTCACTGCTTTACTTGATTGATTTGCTCAACGTTGATTTGCACCAGTGACCCACCCAACGATTCATTATCAGGGAACTATTTGCTTTAAAGCCAACATTTCCGCTTCGCTTTTGGAGATCACCGTTTTTCTCCAATAATAACAAAAATTACCTTTCATCGTCCATTATAATTTCTACATGATCATTTTGAATCCGTTCAATTCCATCTATAATTACCAAAGAGTTCAAGCATTATACAGCAAACTTCATTACAAAAACTAATCTTTCAATCTTGAATCAATATCAAGAAACAAGAGTGTCCAAAATTGAAAAAAAATCTTACACTCAGTGGAATTGGTGGAAATAGTTTTCGTTGGCCAACTACAGTACGCGTAAATAGAATACGGTGGGATTACTAAAGATGGTGAAATTCATAGCGATCTTGCTATTCATTCTTCATGCTATCCTTTTTGTCCATGGCGATGTATACCTCCATAATCCAAGGTAGAAAAGCAAACAATAACTTTAGACTAACATTCGACAATTTACCACTTGTTATCAAATACAGTAATCGATCGCCCATAAACAACAGTTACAATTTTTATTTTATCGGGGCAATAAGGAATTCTGTAGTACTTGCCACCTGCTCTATTAGTGTATTCGAATGATTGCCCTTAACTGTCCGTTATTGATCGACTCTATATCTACTAACTAATCTTATCATCACCAACGAGTAGAAATAATGTCGATCAATCATGATCAGTACCACTACTGGATATATCAATGTCATCGATAGGATCGTATTCGGTTGCCCTCAGCAACACTTTGTCTTCCACTTAGCCATAGGATACTGTACTGTAAGGAATAGATAAAGTAAGTGGAACAAGGACAAGTCCAATATCTACTTGACTTTATCTTATGATATCAAGTGGTACTACAGTACTAGAAGAAAATATCAACCAATCGTTACTTACTTACTTGCACTGTGATCGTATTCGATCGCCGTCAACAGCAGTATTATTCAATTTATCGAGATTAATTATACGAGTATACTTTATCTTATGACTGTAATACTGTCATGGACAACTAGAGCTTGAGTAATGGCCGTGAATTACCCTTACTTTATCCATTATCATTATATTTATCTACTGCTGATCTACTTTAGTTTAGAACCATAATAACGGTAGTACTATCATGGACGACTAGAGCTTGAATATCGATGGTATTGTCAACCTACTACAAGTCGCAACTATTAGCCTATGACTAATTTACCAATACTTGCTACTTCACATCTCTTCATTGTCGATATTATTACACTTTCAGTAATTACCCTTAGTCCCTAATTACACTCAACTTATCTAGGACGATAGTTACCAAATGACTATCAATCCACCGTTGCACTACTGTATTTTCACAACTGTATGATCAAGATGATAGTATCAATCGCCCTTAACAACGCTTTTAGCCTCAGTAGATTAATACTATAATGAATAAATGATTTGTCCTATGGGATTTTCTTGATCGATGATGTAGTCAATGCTGCAGTACTACCGATTAACTATATACTGTATGTATATAATTTTCGCACGATATTCAATGTAGAAAGAGAATCAGTCTTTATCACACAGGGCAAATACAGTACACAATATTGAAAAATACCAAGTGATATGATATCATTCCACTAGTATGTTAATAACTGTAAAAGAGTAATTATACTAATACACTTATCGTCTACATTACATGACCAGGCAATGGAGATATTTGCAATGATATTAAAAAGGTTAATAACAAAATACTCCAACCCATGCCAACTGAACGTGATACACATCACTTTCGCTGCAGTTGACTGACATTGATCTTTCTATACGAGTAAATACCCAGATTAACGTTATAAAATGTATTTTGGGGGGACTTTTCTCCTAAGCTAGATTCCCATTTTGGATCTCAATTTTGTACATAATTCAACGCTTAATTTCTAATTCTTGATGAATATATCCTTTTATTTAGAGGAAGTAATAATCGTCTGGACGAAGCTACTAGACCTCGTGCCAATGCCAACAGGTCAGTTTTAATGATACTCAATGGGTTAACTGCATACAGTGATGTGCGAAGAATCATTTAGAACTCGCTAGTAACGTAACTTTAATAAATCACAAGTCTATACTAATGCTTACAGTAGTGATGCGTCTTTGGCAATTGGTGACCATCAACGATACATTAATAGCGTGATTTCTGGCTGTGTTGTTATTAGATCGATTGAAATAGTATTATGATGATGGCGTCTTTTCGCTGCCAGAACATCAGATTAACTCGTGACAAATAAAAATACTACAGGCAATAGTGTAGAGTATAAAGTATGGCATTTCTTTACAATTGTTAGTATCTAGTTTCTACTACCCAATTACGTTTCTTAGTGCCGTAATACTATACTATGCGCAAGGTAAATTTTTCAACACTAACTGTACTTTTTGCAGTTTTAGCAGCGTACGATAGGATAGAAAGATTGTAGTATTAGCTATTCATGCTACTTGCAAATACTGTAATATCTATCGGTAGCTTGATGATATCGACGCCGTTGTTATTATCATCATTATTTTTTGGATGTACAGTAATTGGACGGCGATACTTAGTTAACCAAACATACAGTAAACCCGTAGTTCTGAATACATCCAATAAAACAAGTACAGTAGCATTTTGTTACGCTATCATTTTAATATAAAACATTAATCTCTCTCTCTTTAGGCTCTTTAATTCTGAAAACAATAATCGCGGTGGATACAATGTTGGAAACTTGTATTATTATGCTGGTACGGTCTTGAATATTGAATGGTAAGTTTGTACATACTGTTTTTACCTCAACATTTCAGTCAATCAATTAAATCTAATAGTCGTCATTGTTGATTCATTACTAGCTATCTATGCTATGCGCTATCTTGCATTCAACGCATTTTTTTATTAGGTTGTTAACATGTAACTATTTCGTTACCTATAACTAAATATCACATAGGACGAACCAACATTCGTGCAACAATCCTAATAACCACTGCAATTTGATCTTGCAGTACATGTGTCATGATTTAATCCGTGATGGTGTTACTACCAGGTATTAATAGGAAAAATTGATCGAATACTGCATAGCCATTGATGCCCTTCAGCCATCATTAAAATTGTAAATTGTGTCGGTAATTTAATAGGACCATTCCGAAATCACCAACAGGGTGTAGTAACTATGATTGCAATCGTGACATCAGGTAATCGACTAACTATGTAACTTGAGTAATTAGACGTAGTCCAATGTAGCATGCTAACCCATCTAAAAATTTTTGTTGATGTAGTACACTTTTTATTTCATACGTCCATATAACGATAGATTACGCTATATATAGTAGTATATGATTACTTTTAATACACAAAGGATCAGTGGGCCGCATAATACTTCGATTTTAGTCGAATTCATAAGTACGCTTCTAGAGTAGATAACACTTTATTTACGTACATTATTTCGTCCATGTAATACAGATATGGGATGCATGAAACTTACGACAGTTACAAACTCTGCGAACATCGAACTCGTAACAAAGGCTTATTTACTGCTGATCAGGTAATGAAAATCAAAAGAACAAAACGTAATTGTAACCATTGTGCAGATATTGTTAGCGATTTATATCATTGATCGTAGAGTATCATTAATCAATGTTAAAATCATTTCTCTTTAATAAATGACTTGTTACTGAAATTCTTTGTAAATTTCCTAATCAATTGAATTTATAGAAGTTAAAAGGCAACGGTGCAATCTATACTAGACAGAATCCTGCTGGTACTCGACGAGGCTATGAATGCCCTGAAGAAAGAGATTATTACCCTTACTGGCATCACACACAATGGAAGGTAATTTCATTTTGTATTTCAAGATTGCTGAATTTATTCCTGATATATTATTAAAGTTAGAATTGTTATTCTATTGGGATGGTGGATACCTCCTTTAGGATATTGCCATCCTTACTTCCGAGCCAACTAGATGCCCTTACTACAAAGCAGAAAGTCACAACGTTAAGTCACGGTGGCAGTGTGTTGTGCCAAATGCTTACTATCGCTTTCATATCATGCGAAATTCCAAAGATTTTATACCAAATAATAAGAAAGATTGTGAAGTAAGCCAAATAATTTAAGGAAATAAAAAAGGCATTTCGTTACTGACTAACAACTTGAACATATGATCTCCCTTAATATTTGTAGAACTTAGTCTATCCAAGCAATGATCCAAACGGTACGCGGGGTAAATGGTCGGAGTATCCATCTCATGGTATCCCAGCTCCAGACTGTCGTGAAGCTGATTGGAGTAGAGATAACCATTTGGGTAACACAAAAGGTGGCTATCCAATGATGTATAATTGGACCATTCCAAATGATTTTCATGAAAATTGCGTATTACGAATGAGGTAAAGCAAAAATATCTCTGCTGTGTATAATACGTTCTATAATAATGTAAAAGTAATCAAAGTTTCTTAACTTGGTTACCTGTAAAATATTAACTACCCTAGATATAACATTTCCACCAAAGAATTTGACGGCTGGAGTGGTGATATTAATTCTACCTTAAATAGCGTTAAAGTGAATGAGCCAACGTGGTTAGATGTTCACAGTAGATTTAACTTGAACCAGACAGAAGGAGAAAACCGAGGTTATGTTTATGAACAAAATCCTAACGTTCGAGTATTTAAAAAGATTGGCAATAGCGGCTTTAAATTGCAGTTAGCCATTAATACTAATCAGTTTGGACGAACTTTTCAAGATCGGTAAGTTAATATATTAGCTATTTCTTCACTACATTAGTATTATTTTCCATGATTAGCCAACATTGCTATAGATTGCATAATCTTATCTGTGTACCTTTTGTTAGTTCTCATCGATTTGCTATTCGCAAAAGACCGAAAGAATTGGAAGATAAGTTGATACATAATTTAAATGTTCGAGGAAAGCGTGGTAATATTGTTCAAGTTTATCCTGCTGTGGAGTATGATTTTGTGCCCAATACATTAATGGTGTCTAAGAATAGCTACGTTCATGTCCAGTAAGTTTGTGATAATAATTTTTTTAATTTTTACTATCAATAAAAGATTATGTTTAGGCTGTTAATGCCTAATATGTTAATATTGATATTGAATATAGATGGACTGGTTCCAATACTAATCCTAATAATAACGACGGTCAAGGAAGGGCTGGTACAGATAGGTCTAACATCGTCATGTTAAGGAATAAAAACTATCCAGAAGGTAGTACTAGATCTAGTCAATTTGGTCACTGGGGCAATAACTATCCCAGTATGTTAGCAAGGTCCAATTTCACAGGATTTTCAGCACAAGATTTGGTAAACTTAGCCCTCTTATCACCAAGTAAGTTTAGGCTCTAGTGTTTCATTGAGAAATGCATCAGTACTTTAATTCATGTTTCAGTTTTTATGTACTATGATTATAGTTGCAGTACTTAGTAACTCCGTTAAAATAGCAGTTCTAATTTCTACTGTTGATTCTAACGGTTTTTAAGTTATGATATTGAGCTTAATGCTTACACTTTACTCTCACTGCTAGATCAATTTGGTGGTGAAATGTCCGAATTGGATGATGCAGGCACTTATTTTGACTTAGGACCGCGAAAAGTTACATCTAATGGTGTGTACTACTACATGTCGACAAGAAATAATAATTTTTCTAATCGCAGCCAAAAGGGCCGGATTGTCGTGATAGATTATGTTATATCTGAAAAGAAAATTGGTTGGAACGGTGGGAATTTGACGGTTAGCGGAAGGTATGTTATACTGCAATTAACTTAAGGAAGAATAATAGCTCAATTACACTGATTTACACATATATTTACGAGTTATATATATTATATATATATATATGTGTATGACTTGAGAAGACGTAATAACATATATATGTATTTATGTACGTATGTCATTAAAGCAATCAACAAGGGTTATGGATCCAACAGGGTGCATTAGAGTCGCTTGTTAATATTCGACTTGAAATGTGGAATCGTAATGATGGAGAACAGCGTATAAAGCAAGCTCATGGTACAGTAAATGTTGGAGATGGCTACGCAAGCGATTTTTTGGTCGTTTATCCTTTCACCAATTTTTCATCAAAATCTTTTGATGTGACTTTGAAGCTTGATTCTCAGATTTCATCAGAGATTCATATCTATCACTCAAGTTATATTAATGCTCAATCATGGACAAGAGTACCCAATGTTACTATTGAGAATAATATTGCTAGATTTAGTCAACGCGAAGGTGGACTTTACGTAGCAAGGACCCAGCCAGCCACTGCAGCCATCGCCGGAATCGTTATTGCCATTGTAGCTGGACTTGTGGTTATTATTGGATCTATCATTTACTTCAGACGTCGCCCAGAGGCATGGGCTAACTTAGCTAATCGCGCGAGAAATATACATCGCTCACTTCAATCAAAAGTGTAAGGCCGCCACATAGAATCAAGTATGCAGCCATAATTGTTAGCTTATATCAAAATGATTAATCATTTCGTAGTAATTTGATAATCTGTTTAGTAATAATGTTTAGTATTAAGATTATGGTACTTTGTATTTGCTATAGAATATTAAGACACAAATATTTCTTTTATTATATTTATCCACTCTTTTGCTGTTATCTTTCCAAGAGTTCTAAACGCTTTATTGTATTCAAATTTATATTTCTAAGCCTTTAGATTTGTTTCACGATACTTATAAGTTGTAAATAAGATATATATATATGTCTTTTGTCTTTCATAACATATTTTTGTATTGAATAAACCATCGATGTAACGCTTAAGTATTCATTTGTTAGAAGTACGTATACGTATGCGAAATTTTTGAGCTTGTTATGATCTAGAGCTGCAACGTACAGTATAATATTATTCATGATTTGTAGAAAAGTAATAATGGTAGCTTTTACTTATCAGCGTAGAATGCATACAATAGAGTATACTTCACTGACGTTCTATGCGTATTGGCGACAAAAATTACTTACGTATAACAATAAACAATAATACACCATCATAAGCTCTATGAATGCTTCTTATTTGATTATGAAATTTGCGTTCGAATAAAACTAATATTGGATGCTAGCTAACGTTATAATCGTAAAATTGTTGCTGTTACTTCTACTAATATGATAATCATTATCGGCTAAAAGTAATTAAAATACTCTGTAATTGTCTATAAATCTATAGTATTACTTTATTTTACTATATTATAGCCACTAATTGACAATGCTTGGGTAGTTATCAGCTTATTTACGTTATCAAGCTGCACTAGCTTTCGTAAACAGGTTTAAACGAACTATTGCTAATATAATACATTTTCTAGCTGATACATTCAGTCATGCACCATTATCCATTAAAAACTTTATTCAAAATATCAATTTTCAAATATGTAGCCTTCTATAGTAATTACAATCTTATAGGAAGTAGAATTATTGAAATCAAATGCACAGATAATACATCATCTTTTTGTTAAATTAATTCAGCATATACTGTATAAAGCATCCTCATAAATATGAATATGAGAAAGGCAATACAAAATTTATTTGAAATCACTGTCTTTGTAAATTAATATTGATAATTAGCAATATAGATATCAATATAACTTTTAAGATATTTAATTATAGTCTTTACTGCTAGTCAAAGATCTGGTAAGATAAGATTTACGTTGTCGCATTTGAAACATTTAAGCTACTTTCAAGCAACGCCCCTACATCTGGAGGGCTTTCAATAGTTTTGCCAGTTTTGCTTTCCGTTTTCTTTTTCACTGCCGATGATAAACTTCTAACTCTCGCACTCTGTAATTCAAGATGGAAGTATTGCAAGTATTTTAGTTGAAAATCTGAGTTCAAAGAATTTCTATAAAATTAGACTATTCTACTAACAGCAGGTCTTTCTCTATGCGTATCTACAGCTTGTATGTTTAACGAAAAACATTCCTGCTTACATCCTAAAGAGTTTAAGGATAAAAATAATCCTTTGTTACGGTCTCAGTCAATAATCTTATATTATGCCAAATACTGCAAGATATCTCATCTCGACTTACATAAATGACGAATCGATTTCTGAAATTTATTATTAAACCTAAACCTACCGTAAGCAACGGGCGTAAGTTTCATTACATGGTGTAATGGTATCTTCAAATAAGGTAGCTCACCTAATAGAATAAGAAAAGAATACGAATAACGAAATTTGTTCAGAGATATATTACTTGTGCCAAATAATCTACATACGGGGTGACTTCTCCAGATAGTATGAAAGTAAACATCTCATAACACCCTAATAACACAGTATCAAGACCACATCGATTAATAATAGAAATTCATCACTATCAAAAAATTGTTTATATTCACGATAAAAGAAAGGAATAACAAGAAACTCACTTGATGACAAACAACAAGAACATTGTTTGCCCTTTCTAATTCCTAGAGGGTTATTCAAAAGAGAATTATAGGATTAAGCTGAATCAAATTGATTTACATACTTTATATCACTTCAGGCTTAGCCGTGATTTAAAAACAGCCTAGCATACCATGATAACTGGTTCTAGACGGTTGACCAAATCCTCGTAAGACTGTAAATAGCATAGTTCAATATGGAAGCGCAATGAATCAGTTTGTTATTATAACATCGCTAATTCCATTGAAAATTGATATGAGTACTTACCTCACCACGAGGGTACCTATAGTGATATTTATCTTCATCACGCAATGCAAAATCACGTGGGTACCGTTCCTCAATTTCTTTATATGTCAATCCATCACAAACTCCCTAGAAATAAAAGAAGTAATAATCTTGTTTTAAACTACGTTCAATTTTCAATTCGTATACCATATTTATATTTACAGCATCAATTTCATTTAATGCTTTCCATTTTTCTACTGTAGCTTCTTCTATATATGTAGCTGTTTGGTAAGTTCGCTTTAGTTGACTAGTCCAAATCTATTCATGAGATCGGTATGTAAAATATATGTCAATAACTGCGAATATAAAGCATGATTCAATAAAATTAATGCTGCAGTGAAACCTGAAGACCCGATACATTTTGATTCTTCATAAATTCTCCCAACTTTTCAGCATACTAGAGGATAGATAAAACAATTCAGAGATAACTTGTTATGTGATATGTATTTTATGAGTAAATTACTGAAAATCAAGAAGTTAAAATATGTCAGTAATGATTTGCGTAAAACAGAGTCATAATATTATACGTACTAAAAGGCCACGTTCAGATAGATCCGCATCACCACCAATTTTTCCTTCTAAATTGTACATGCTCTCGCCATGCTGCGAAAAAGAGTTTAATCATAGAATTAGAAGTACTATTGCAATTACTGCATTGATGCAATGATGATGGCAGTTCTACTGTGTTACCCGGGTTAAATATATTTCCCTATGGCCCATGTGAGTATTCATTAGAAAATATACAGAACGACTTTGAATATGACCTAGAAATAGACGATCAGGTTAGTTACAACCTTCTGGAGTTGAAATTTTTCAATCTAGATTATATACTAGTCGGTTAAAAAATACCAGATATCTTATGAACCAGAAATTTTTTGCTCAAGTTGAACACTTTTATATAGGATAAGCATCTACAAGTTGAAGTTATACGAAATATGAATATAGTATATTATGTATATATACAATAAGTAAATAGATAATTACAGTTGTTAATGCCATTACTTATCATTTTCGCCATTTAAGGTAGCATAGGTTTTCTTATAATTTTCTATTCTTTTATAAAAGTCGTCTAAAAATTGTTCGCTATCCATTCCAACATAATCAGGAGAATCCGACTTCACTTCCTAAATATTGTGAATACAGTTATGGTTATATCGGACAAACTTAAAACTTGCTGATTCATTTTTACTATGTGTAACATAGAGTACAAAACGGTTACATAGACACTTTAGTGTCTAACAACAATGATGATAAACGGCTTATACCTTGATATAATGACGCTCAACTTCAGGATCATCAACAATTGATTCAATCCAAAAAACCTAAATTTATAAATTATACATGGTTTCGATGTGTAAGTTGAATCCATATGCTACAGTAACGTTTTTGGTATAACAGCGGTAGGAAATGTGTATACGTTATGGTATAGTGCACCCAATTTGAACATACTTTAAAGAACTGGTGTTGGCATGAATCCAGAATCATTTTTCGCTGACCCATAGTTGTATTGCAGCCATCCAGTACCTAATTATTGTTGTATAACAGTGATAAGATAATTACATCATTGCGATATTATTGCAGCCATAAGATACAAGAGTAATAGTATTAAGTATGTAACTCATGATGAAGGTTGGACCATCATTTATAGTAATCAATATTGGCAAGAATGGATGTATCAAGCGCAAACTTACTGCCACTTCGCCATCTTTAGTTAAAAATTCAACTATATCATCGAGAGCAACTTTTAGACAACATCTAAGCGAATAGATTAAGAGGATTATTTTGAAATTATTATCATTCGGAGTTAATTATCTAGTGATGACTATAAATAATTTATCTATTCAATACAAATTTTCGTTTTACGCGTCCATCAGAATTAGTATTATCTGATAATAATTAACTATAGCATAGGATATTAGTAGAGTTTTGTAAAGTAAAAGGTTATCATAGTGATTCTATAATATCCATGCTTTATTGATCATTTTATAAAGTAATCATTTACAACTTACTGCTTCTATGAAAACTTATATTAGAACTATACAAGTATTGTATACAATTGACGTCAAGATCGCCAGTCACAAATAAATGATAAGTTAAGGGTTGTCGATATATTGTTTAATCAAACGGTTGAACAAGCAACTGTTTGAATTGCTCAATAAACCAGAGGAATAATTATTGAATACCTACTTTAGTTGTTGTTTTGCTTCCTTATTTCTAGGATCATAATAATCGAAACGTTTGCCAGGGCCATACTGTTGGCGTCTATACTCACCAATGCAAAAGACTTTGAAAAACGAATTAAAAAAAAAAAGAAGAATTTTAGTAAAGTAGTGCAGTAATAACCGGCTATGATAGTTGTTGTGTTGATCTCTTTCCAATACCATTTCTCCTAGTGGGCGAGCATGTATGTTTACTAGCAGTTGTATATTAACGGTCATTGAGGATAATCAAGCAGTCAACTAGATCGAAAGCGTTAACAGGAAGTAGTTACTGCAATTTCGTCACTTTTGGCGGCAAGATAGCAATTCAATTACTATCGTTACTGTATCTACGTAGAATACTATAGCAATGGAGAATTACTAATATTTTACTGAATAGTTGGATCGAAAGCGTTCACAGGAAGTACAGTAGTTAGTGTAATTTCGCTACTTTTCGCTGTAAGATAGCAGTTCAAGTACCATCGTCACCGTATGTAGGATACTATAGCAATTACTAATGTTTTACTGAATAGTTTGCAGAGATTGACTATATATTGTAGTTGTGCATTCAATATTGCCATCGAGAGAGGCTATCTTAACAATCTGAAATCGACAGTAAAACACTAACTCAATATTATAGTATTCTGTATAGTAATTTAGAAAGCTCGCTACCCACGTCTAGTATAAAAATGTCAATATTGATTGAAATGGCATTCACTAGTAATACAGTAATATGAAGACTTTATGAGGAAGAAAGTTGTACGACGCTAACTTACCTTTGGTAGAAATATTGATCCAATTAAAGTAACGTGCTAATTTTCGTGCGAGGTAAGTTTTGCCGCGAGCAGGAAGACCCATCATGACGATAACAGTCGGCTTATTACATAAGCTTGGACATGTTGCTAATAACACGGCGTTGGAAATTACCGCCCCAAAAAATTGATTTAATCGTCAATTAGTATTCATTTTTAAAATCAAAACGAATTAGGAGCTAATGATTGTAATAATTGCGGTAAATAATGTAATTGATTTTATAGCGGATATTCAATCAATTTAAGATTCAATACTGTAGTACTTGATTGGATTTTTGTCATGATGGAAGTACTCATTCAGGGGGGTATCTCAAACTTTAGACTCGTATAAAGGAATACGCGTTTCCAGCTTGTTTTTGAAGTTAGTGGCTTTTAAAATGCGATGAACTAAGCTCATTTCAAAGTGACAAAACTATTGCTGTATACAATCTACAATCCACAAACTACGCTACTACAACGGTACTTTGTATTAGAAATGATGAAATTGAGGGGAAGCGAAATAGACATGAACACTAGAAGATGCCAATAAAAAGAGCGATATAGTCGTACAGTATATGATGAATTCAATAAACTCTAATTGAAAAAAATCCTTTTACAAAATAAAAAAAAGTTGATATCGAAAACAAGTACTACCGTCTATCCTGATATCTAGTAATGTAATGAAATGGTTGTACGCCCATTGAGGAAAAAAAAAAAATGTCATCCTTTGCGCAAAATGATGGATAGCGACGTTTTTCATTCATAATGATCAATTTTAAAAGGGCATTTTCTTCAACTACGTTGTCTATATATACACATTGCCTTCAAAAGAATGAGATGGAAATTTACCCATGACTGTCGATCAATCAAATATTAATCTTATTGTACTGTTGGAGTGCAGATATTGGGCCGGCAAAAGCAGTTGTTGTAATGGAGTAATCACGCTCATGATGAAAGAATTTTCAGGATGTTAATTAGTTCATATTTATAGCTTAATATCTATCAGTGAACTAACGTGGAAATTGATTTGCCATTATTTATTGTCCTGTAAAGAACGCTGCAGTATGTAGGCAGCAGCTAATTTCACAAGTCGTCGTTGGTGATAATGAATATTTTGACAGATTGGTTTAGTCCTTGCTCGATGAGTAGTAACACTTTCTTGCTACAGAGGGCAGTGGCAATCGTGGAGTGATATCGTCGAGGGAGGCAAATAAAGACGCTTTTCTCAAGATTCAATTCTAAATTAACGAATGACAGTTTGACTATCGGCTGGTCGTCATATAGTCATCATTACTAACTCTAAAAACAGAGTTGATTGAATTTTCTAAGCAGCAATACAAAGTCCATGATCCGATGGAAGACTACGAAAAGAAGCAATCTGTAAGGTCGAACGGTATAGTCAAGATACAACAGTAAAGAATTGTTTTTCAAGTTAGTATTTCCATTTCAATTCTATCCCAAGTCGTTTTATTATAATAACTCTTCATATTATTGATAATCAATGACGATTATGAGTCGACTATCTTGACACAAGAGAATAAAACAGTATAGTATTGGTTCAAGGCTGGCGATTACATGAGTAGAATATCCTAGAGGTAGATTGTTGAAAAGTCTTTTCAAATGACGTCGCCATTTCCATAGTGTTGTATTGTCATGGGACTTGTTGAATTCAATAGCAGTAGCTTATGCTTTCCATAAACTCTACTCCATTATTGGATATTGAATAGACCAAACAGTAAAGCATCTCGTCGCTGCAGTATAGCCTTGACAGAGAATGCATCGAGCTCAAACTGTCTACAGGCTAAATGCGATAGCAATCGATGGTAAGATGGTCGTTGATGTCCTTTGACTTATTTAATTATTAATGATCGATCCATGCAAATGAAATATGGAGAAAAGCAAACAACCATTTGGAAATGCTGACGTCAATTTATTGATTTTACTGAATCATCGTCTGCTGTTGTTGGACGAGGTCGTTCTTGTTTATTGAACCTTTTTTAGGGTATGCAATGAGTCCTTCGAAAGGGAGTATGCATTACGCTTGGAGAGATGAGAAAGAAGTCTTTCTCCATCGATCTATTGGCAACTTTGCAAGAATTAGTTACATCTAGCTTATGGCGGCTCTTTGTGACCCATCGTTCTTTTTCAACTGTACAGTAGTTAATTCCTATTGCTAGGTTTGTAACCTTTAGGGTTTGCAAGGAGTCCTTCGAAAGAGAGTATACATTACGCTTGGAGACATGAGAAAGAAGTCTTTCTCCATCGATCTATTGGCAACTTTGCAAGAATTAGTTACATCTAGCTTATGACGGCTCTTTGTGACCCATCGTTCTTCTTCAACTGTAGTTTATTCCTATTGCTAGGTTTGTAACCTTTAGGGTTTGCAAGGAGTCCTTCGAAAGGGAGTATGCATTAAGCTTGGAGAGATGAGAAAGAAGTCTTTCTCCATCGATCTATTGGCAACTTTGCAAGAATTAGATTATACTTGACAACTCCTTGTGGCACATCGTTCTTCTTCTTCAACTGTAGTTTATTCCTATCGTATGTGTAGCTCTTGACAAGAGACAAAGATACGACTCGTACCCTGTATAACCCATCAACTGAAAGGGTATGCTGGTCTATTGCAAATTGTTGCATTGGATTGGAATAGTTTATTGATGCACAGTCTACTGGTCTAATACGTTGAAAATGGATAAATTAAGATGAAGTTTTGCACTTGTTGTTGTGTGAAGATGAAAGTAGGATGAAAATTAGAGCAACAAAAACATCATCGTGGATCAATCTATCCCTGCTTTCTACGCATCGTGTTCATTTCTTTCACTTACGATCGAAATAATCATTTTCATCCAAGATGATGGTAGGATTGCTCTCTGAAGATGGAAGAGAAGCATCCTCTTGATTACTTGTATCATCTTGCTGCTTGATATCCATCTTGGATCAATCAACAACAACTGGATTGCAGGCAAGATTGCAAAAGAGTTCAACGGAGTCAAGCGTCAATACAATTGACTTTGTTGCAAGTTGTTTGCAAATGGTTTTCAATCTTGACTGATAGTGATGAATTAATGTTCATCAGCGTTTCAAGGGCTGCCTTAATCCAATTGGATCGTCCAACTCCTATCAATGGTGAGAAATGGTGAGAAATGGCCAGAAATAGCCAGAAATAGCCAGAAATGGCGAGAAGGTGGAATGGAAAGACTGCCAGGGCAATGGCTGCCAACAACGATGCGAGTGGCCCAGGCTAGAACGGGTCCTTGAACTGACGTGTGGGGCCAGCGCTGACGTACCAGTACCGTACCGTAACGGTCATTCATTACTATTTCAGTGTGATGCGCTGTTGCACCACGTAACGTAACAGCCTGTCACCCCAGTGACTCCAGTCGGACAGACTACTGGAAATGACAAGAGTCCATTAGTCCACGGTTGTACCCCATGGACTACTCAACTCACTATACTATACGTAGGTCTCGGACTCTCTACACGATACACTGGACAGTAGTTGTACCGCTCCGTTACCACTATCGACGAGGAAGAGTACAGTGTACAGTACATAGTTGAGCAATTCCGGATAGGAGACTGTACACTGTACACTCTGTGTAAAAGAGAGTAAGCGGCCAGACCAGGCTTCCATCAAGTCGATGGCTGCTCCAGTCTCTAGACGTGAAGTAGATAGAGGGATTCGACATCAACTAGAGTTTCTATATAGTAAAATGACCAATAACAAATGTCGGGACTCTCATTTTGGCCAACGAACGGTTGTTTTCCCCTTTCCTCTCCAACAAGGGTACAGCGGCCTAGGGATTGCACCCGGGTTTCCAAACTCGGGTAAAATATTCGGGTACCCGGGTAGCCATGTCGATGTATTGATGAGTATACAAATCGGGTACCCGGGTAGCCATGTCGATCTTGATGGTACGAAACCGGGTACCCGGTACGACCGCCCTACTCTCTCTTCAACAATACTACAGTAGACGGAATAAAAGTGCCACCGTACCCGCTGGGTGTTCGATGCCGTGCAAATCAAATGTCATCTCTTGACCTCCGTCTCTCTTTCATACTATCATCCACAATCCGATTGCTAAGACGAGTCAAAATACATTCAATTCTAGGGTCACGACTTGAGCTACGACCACGCTCTATACGACAATCTTTTTGCACACATTGAACCGACGGTATAGGAGTTAGTCACTCACGGCCAGGATGGGTCCACTTGGTTCCGCTGCTGGCTCAAAACGCAATATTATTAAGTAAACAACAACGACCTAAAAGCGAGTTAGGCGTTGAATCCTTTTCCTGCTAAGCTTGGAATTCTTCCATCGACAATCTTCTATTAATTCATTCTTGAACGATCGAACTGGCTAGCCTGGTACTGCCTAAGCTAACAACATTCTCATTGCAGTTAAGTTCAATCTTGTGTCTTAAGTGTAAAACCATGACTGCAGTTCATCAAATAGACGAGTAGTAAATTAATTGACTTATCGTAAACAGTCGATGATGCACGATATTAGTAAATAATCAATATACACCGACTACCAAGCCTGATGGAATGGATCTTCCAATCGAGCCATCCTTGTAGAGGATTAGCTCAATCGATAGAGTAGATTCTACTGGGTACATTTTCCACGGTATTGTAAAAAGTACAACGAGTTGGATCTCAAGACATTTCCATCTTTACAAAGGGATAACCAACGACCTGGATGATCAAGATTGGTGTGGACTATTGGACGCCTAGTGTCGGGTATTCCAATCGATCAGTGGATAATCATGTCTTGTAGTCGAAACCTAGTTGTCAATACTTTAAAATCGTACATTGACTATCCAAATATCCATACTGTACAGTAGGCATCAGCGATTCCATAGTATAACCAACAACAACCGTTCATTTTGACTGTGAACTTTTTTTTCATCCCCTTATTTATTCATGCTACGTTTCTGCTAAATAGTGAGGTTAAAGATAAAACAAGAATCATTATCCATCATAAGCTTACCAGTTATACCAATGTACAAGACAGTGATGCTGATAGACTAAGAACTTAACATAACTTCAATGATTTGTAATCATCTAATTGTAGAGAGGAGTAGATTAACTTCATACACAATGAAATTCAACTTTGACGACTTTGATCAACACTATTTAGATCGTCAATATCCTTGCTGACATTTGGAGTCCCCTTTCAAGTATCCTTTTTATCCACGTATATACAATCCTAATTTCAATCAACGATAGGTATTGATATCATAATTATTCAATGCGATAGATTGTACACAGAGGGGTGTATTCATAGTGTCTGATAGCATGGCTAATTAATAAAGTATCTTGTACATACATATCATTTAACTATTTGTCCTATGTATGGTTAGATCATGTCGTCACTATTCGATGATTCGGCTACACCTCAGGAAGAATCTGAAGAATTTTCCCATACACGTAAGAGAATTGAATGATAGAACCTTTTTATATACATAATGGCTTAATCTGTTATCCTGCTACCTGTAGTAAAATTGTTGATATACTGTGCCCTTTGATCGTAGTACTGCCGAATAGTATGGGATTATCCTTTAACTATGTCGGACAATATAGTGCTGATTGTTGACATTGATGACGAAATGTGTTAGTATAATTCGATGGAGTTTTCAGTCAAACAACAGTCATTACTTTTGTAGAAGAATCATCAATACCCGACGAGATACTGCAATATGGACAAAGTCCCTAATTACTTTAACAGTCAAGATAGCGATACCACTTATACGAGTATGCAGTATATTAAAATAGATTCAGTATGTCATCTTGAAAATGTCAAGATGCTATTTGTTGTTATATCATTTTATCCTACTTATTTCTCAATACAGCTCGTTAAGATTAACTGTTGGAATTTCAATTTCTAAAAATTAAAGTAACTGATGTCCAGTATTTTCATTTTGATATTGATACTGTGTATATATATATTCGTATACATACAGTACACTAATTGGATTCATAACATAGAACCTTGGAATTACTCCACACTATTAAAATATTCATGCTTGTGAAAGTTTCTCAGGTCACATGTGTCCAATCATACTACAAAATATTGTAATGGAAAATCTTGCTTGCAAGTTGATACTTGATCTACTATAGCACTGCATGTAATTCCATTTTGCCAAATTACTATCGATGGAATCGGAGAAGGAGAAATAAGAACAGTTATGCTGCAGAAACTTTGCAGAGTAAGCTTTTCGTTCTCGGCCATTCTACGCCATCAACTCATAAATCCTGTGATCTTGGTATCCTTAAAGCAGAATGTTAATCATATACAGCGGTATGCTGCAGAAATTTTGCAGAGTAAGCTTTTCGTTGTCGGCCATTCTACGCCATCAACTCATAAATCCTGTGATCTTGGTATCCTTAAAGCAGAATGTTAATCATTTACAGCGGTATGCTGCAGAAATTTTGCAGAGTAAGTTTTTCGTTGTCGGCCATCTACGCCATCAACTCATGAATCCTGTGATGTTGGTATCCTTAAAGTGGCTTCAGTACATGCTACCAAATAAATATATACCGCTGTAAATGATTAGCATTCTTTAGGATGTACTACTTCTATGCTGAGTCCCTGCAAAGAGTTGGCTGCCCTCCTTAGGCATGATACAGCTGCTGTTTAAGTTTTTGCATACCGTGTCGTACCGTGTATACCACTTCATAATTATTTAATGAGAACTGCCAAAATCATCACGTAGCTTAGTTTGCTTACAATTCTTTTATGCCTTGGTTGAAGCTGTTTTACCGATCGCCAAATAAATTTCCCAATTTTTCCTTGTAGGTACGTCGGCCATATCCGTAGTCTCCCTTACTACACATACTGTATACACAGCACGCAAAGTACATTAAAGATTGATAGACTTTTAGATAGCTCCAGCAAGGATGAAAAGTAGGCATCATAAATAAAATATATTTACTCAATCCAGCCGATGGTACTGGAGCGCTTACAGTATAGGTCGATCAATTATCTTACTAGATCTTACTCCATCATCGGATCATTCAAACTTCAATTTAATGAACATACTCTCGTCCATTCCTTATTGACATAGAAATAAGACTCTACTTTCTACTTTTCTATCACGACAACACGGTAGAGATCAAATTGAAATAGGCTGTAGTTGAAAGGGATTCCCTTTAACATTCTTCCTATGCTCTATTGGATTGCCCCCCCCCCAAATTTTATCCCAAACACTCGACGTCATTGCTATATCTATCTTTTCATCGTTATTGCAAGTGTTTTTATTTATTTATTTGTATTCAAGAGAAAGTTTGCATATTGTACAATATTCCGATTCTGCATACGAATCTGTTGTAAACCTGAATAGAATCAATACACTGTTGCCAGCTTGAAGCTTACGATGCAAACACATTAGAATGGTAGGCCAAAGTAGAGATCGATCCATCCAAAAATAAAATAGTAATAATGACATTCTACATGACTTCGACTAGGTATATGCTGCGTAGACAGATGTATATACAATCATGGATTTATTCTACTTGGAACAATAACATCCATGGGAAGATTCTTGCCTATCGACTGTAATTTTGGATCTCTCTTATTTCTCCTCCCTCTTTATTATATTAAGAACTTCCGATAATAATTCATTATTTATTTAAGGCGCGAGCTGACAACGTGATAGCAAGCAACAATCGGGCGGATTTCACGCTCTTTGCACAGTATTTTTAGCCATCAGTATTGTTAAATTGTATCACATGTCATTAATGTATGCCCTTTGCCAGTCTATCCAACATTGCTTACTGCTCTGCTACCAAAATAACAACTCCCCAATCTGCATTCCCATATAACCACGTAGGACAACTTCACTACCATCATTTATGCCTAAAGTAATCATCCAAGATAGCAATCTGCAATTTACTTATGCTCATTCATGACAGATTATCAAATCGATGGTGGAGTTGCTTGAATGATACTAGTATTTTGTCCATTCTTTTCTTTTCCTTTTCCTCCTCTTCTATCCTTGTATCATAAAGTTGTTGCCAACTTTGACATACTAGAAAGACAATTTATTCATACAATATGCGATCAAGTCAATCTGTAAATTCATCCATTTCCGCTAATGGATACATTAATGATGAAATTACATTTTTAGCTCCTTGTCCAAAGCTATGTAACGTTCCCACTGTTATTGTTATGGTGGGGCTGCCAGCCCGTGGGAAAACTTTTATTGCTCGAAAATTAACACATTATCTAAACTGGATTGGCTATAAAACCAAAGGTAACATTACTTGTAAAGCAATCATTTACTGTGATGATGAAATACTTGTACAGTAGAGTAATGTTACTACTTTTTTTTTCCTTTTTTGATTTCCTATTTTATCACTTGCCACAAGCTAGTCGAATGTTACAGTAAAATCAGCCGAGAAAAAAAAAAAAAAATTGATTACATTATAGTTAGTAGCCCATGCTGTCATGGCAGTAATATCATTTTAGTTCAAGAAGAGAGACATGACTACTAAACTACCGTTCTACTATCTCACTATATTTCGTTCTTATTCCTTTGATTATGTATCTATTTATATACACCAGAAGTAAACATCTACATTAGGGTTCGATGCCCATTTTTGTCTTTACCAGTATCAACGCACAATACTTACAGCAGATGGATCGTAATGATGAAGCATACCGTATGTTGCTCTTAAAACGAGTCCATCGTAGCATATCGGCACTGCACTAAGCCTGATGACCATCAATAGATGCTAAAGAAGTGTTCCAATGGTAGAATACAATTAGCCTTGAAGAAGAATCTGTTCTAAATTTTACCTTTATAATTATGCAATTAATAATTCAATTATTCAAATATCTGAAAATAATGTATATCTCGGAAGTACGTATCATTGCAGTAGCAGTCTTTTTCACGATCCATGCATACAAAATTAATAGTCGGTCGAAATCGGGCCCTAGTAAAGTGATACAAGATGAGTTGTCTACAGGAATAAAAAATATAGCATCTGTCTTGCAATTATTTTACTCAGTCGCATAGAATATTCTATTCTAAGCGATAACCCAATTGTGCCATGTGGTATAAACTAGTAATTAGAGAGGCGTTGTCATCAACGATGAGATAGCCTACTCTTCTCTTGACCCATAATAAGTATTGGTTTCTTTTTATGCTGTAGCCATGATAAACTCCTTACGATAAAAATTGTTTTTGTTAGCAACTATCATCATCATTCAAGTCGGCCATATGTATTCCTAGCTAATTGATAGTTATTTACAGTATCATGATGTGCTATACACGTAAGTTATAATATTCAAACCTTTTCATGCCATTTAGTTTTCAACCTGGGTGAATATCGAAGAAAAAATTTTGGTGCCACTAAGCCACCTTCGTTCTATCATCCTGACAACAAGGAAGCTGTTGCCTCCCGCCTGTAAATAATAAGCCAGCTATGATACAAATAGAATAGTAATAATTATAGTTTTGAACTTGTTTTGTTGTCTACTTTTGTTGGAGCTATTCCCTATCTATCGATAGTGCTGATAACACTTTGCAGCCCTTTCCCCATTCTTACGCTCTAAATTATGTTCTATACTAGCAAATGCTGTGCATTGGCTTTAGAAGACATGACGGAATTTTTAAAGTCGGGCTCTGGTGAAGTAGCTGTACGTATTTGCATCATAGTTTTTATCCAATTTACACAATTGCATTGTAATTCGTTGTATGATTTACTATATCCTATAATAACGATTATTCAATTATCACAACGTGTCAATTGAAATCATAAAAAATCGATGAAAGTCGATCTGCTAACGATCGCCAGAAATACTTATGGATTTGATCTTTCTGAAGGTTTTTGATGCAACCAATACAACAAGAGCTCGGCGTAAATTCATTTATGATCATTGTGACAAAAACGGACACAAGGTAGAAATGTTGTTACGCGTAGCTATGAAAATAGCAATATCTGTTAGATGATCGTATTACAGCATTTTGTATGCATTTTTACTATTTGCAGGTATTCTTTATTGAAAGTTGCCTTGAAAATCCTGAGATAGAAATGCAGAATATAACGGTAATCATCTAATGCTTTTTCGAAGAACAAGATTATAAACAGCTTTTAGTACACGTGATTAGTAATTTGGCTAGCATGTACAATATCGTGAATTATTTCCGCAAATTTTTTTAAACCGTGATGATCTTGCAGTAAAGTTTTAATTGAGACTGTACTACTGGATACATCCATTCAATGGTGGTACAACTTCATTTTATTTCACCTTATTTTACAGGAGGTTAAAGTTGGATGCCCTGACTATAAAGATATGAACGCTGAAGACGCTATCAAAGATTTTAAAGCACGTATCGAGAATTACCGCTTGGCTTATCAACCATTAAGTGTGGATTATGATCGGTAGAAATTTTAAGGAATATTGTCTCAATATAATATGCTATTTTTTCCAATCATTAAATTCTTTTTTTTCTCTATAAATAAGTAAATTATCCTTCATAAAGATCATGAACGTCGGAGAGCAATACCAGATCAATAAAGTTGAAGGTTTATTAAACTTTATCTAGTCACTACGTTATATCTATAATCTAATATTTCCGAATATATATCACGATAACACAAAATCTGGAATTGATAGGTTTCGTCCAGAGTAAATCAGTGTACTATTTAATGAACATGAACATTATTCCCAGAACGATATACCTTGTCAGGGTACATTAACATTTTTCTCACATAGAACATTATAAATACGAATATGAAGAGTCTATCACTTCTACTTTGATCGAAATATCTCAAATACTATTTTTAACAGCATGGGGAAACCGAATATAATCAAGAAAATAGAATTGGTGGTGACCCGCAACTATCTGATCGTGGAGTTCAAGTATTATATAATTTTCATTTTGTGTTACATCATTCTAAAGCATACCTCCTACTAGCAAATACATAAATTCTAAATAAATTTTACCTTGGTTTTTATTCAGTTTGCTGAAAAATTGGCTGAATTCATGAGCGGTGAAAATATTCCAGAATTAAAGGTTCTTTTAAATGAAAATGATCTATATATCATCATTACTGAGAAAATTTTAACCAATAATGTGACACAAAAACTAGGTCTGGACTAGTCAGTTAAGGAGAACAGTTCAATCAGCAGAGTATGTGAGTGCTGCTGTTTCTAATGTAGTCACAGAAAAATGGAAGGCATTAAATGAAATCGATGCGGTAGGCCTAATTTTAATAAAGTGAGCCGTAGCTTTATAGTCTATTAACATATATAACCACTTTCTTTTTAAGGGCATATGTGATGAATTGACATACAATGAAATAAAAGAGAAATTTCCTGAAGAGTATAAAGCTAGATCTGAGAGTAAATTCTATTATCGATATCCTCGTGGAGAAGTAATGAATTTCTACTATTCTAATTGATTAATGCATAATGGTATGCTACCTTGATTAAAATACGTTTTTAACTTTTTTATATATTACTTATTTTATATTTAGTCGTATGAAGACCTAGTTAATCGTTTGGAGCCAGTAATAATGGTAACTATAAGACAAATTTTATTATACTTCAATTTTATCTTGAAATCGCTTAAATTAATTTTTAAAATATGCTAGGAATTGGAAAGAAAACGCGACATATTAGTAATTTGTCATCAAGTGAGTAACTATTAAAATTTAGGCTCGTATGATATAAACGATAACAACTGGCTTGTAATTTCTTCATACCTCCCTTAATTCAGTTAATCGAATCCGATACCAAATTTAGCTTATTTCCGAACTTTTTGACTTATAACATAAATACATTAATTTGTAATGATTGTTACTATTTAATAGGGTGTTATGAGATGTCTGTTGGCATACTTCTTGGATCACGAACTAAGTATGATATCAAATAATCTAAATAGCTTAGTGAAATAATTGTGCAGTAATGATGTAGTATTGACGACTTAACTATCTTTTATGATTTAACACTGTAAATATCAGCTGCACTTCCGTGGCTAGAAGTACCTTTGCATACCGTTTTCAAGCTATCTCCAACTGCTTACGGTAGGCAAGACCTCACGCTTTGTTTGAATAGCTGCGCTTCAACAACTTTTATAAATAAAATAGCCCGGTAACTTATTGAGTTATTATTGCTTATCTATACTATTGTTTTCGTCTATTGAATTTTGATATAGGCTGTAAGGAAGAGAAATTTACTTTCGGCGTTGATGCTGTAAGTACACACCATATTCCGTCAATAGAGTCCAGTGAGAACTTGCAAACTGATTTGGACTAGAAATTAATGTAACAGCAATTGTTGTTGATGTTTGGTGAATATTTCTTATTGTGCTTTAAGCGCAGTCATTAATCAATACCTGCATATGTGAATCTGTGATGTGCTGCTGATTTATATGAAATGATTACATACTAGTAGTTATTGGCATTCTGAATGCATTTATGTCGTTCCTGTAATTGAGTTCCTGAAAAATTGTAACTTCAGTAAATTTCAAGATCATTTTCTGCGTTATCATAATACTATTATAACATGATTGTTACGACATATCATAAATTTCTGATTACTCATTGAAATCCCTAGTAAATCTTTTTAATATTTAATAATAATTATGCCTTTATTAAGTAATTCATTATAAATTCTTTAAGTACATAGTTACATTGATAGCAGCAAGTGAGCCTTGTAGCTACCTTCTTTAACTTGTATTTACGGTATTGTGTATTATTATTGTATTTAAAAAATTGTTGTCTTTAAGAAGAAGTGCTGTCGTACAATACTGTACGATGTCTTTAATTACTATGTATATCATATTCTAATATCGATTGTGACTTATAAATGTTCACACAGCAATAAAGCTTACTTAACTTATAATGATAAAAGTAGTTCACTTGATGGTGAAAATTGAATGGTTAGTAAAAATATTTGCATTGAATATGATTTTAAGTAAAGTCATGAAGTTTTTAGTTGCTATTAATATTATTAATTATGAAGTTTGTCTGCTACATCTTGATATTTAGTCATATTTCTTTTCAAAATTTCCATGCATGGACCTAATAAGCGTTCAAAAGCTCCAACTTCGAGGGCTAATTCAAGTAATGTGAAACGAATCATTAATTGCACCATTTCATCATGTCAAGACTGTAAATTATATCAGTCTCAGATCTATCGGTTAACAAAGACTTACCTGCGATACTAGTGTCTCCTACTGCGTAAACAGAAGCTGCTCTTTTACTATGCGTTACAAGTGCTAATTCTACAATAAGGAAAAATATATATAAGCTTATAAATAAACCTTAGGATTCCATTTTCAAAAACTTTTGTACCTCCAAAATAATCGCCTTTCCCTAGTCGTGCTACTTCCTTTTCCTCGCTACCTTTCTAAAATTTTTGAGTTTAAATAAAAGATTAGTTTTATCTATTCGGTACACCAAACAGTAGAGTGAGCGCAATCAAGCCATCTAGAAAAATACTTTAAATTAGTCAATCTTACCTGGATAATAACTCGACACTGGCCCTTCTCAACAAAGTAAAATGCATCAGCATCGTCTCCCTATAAGTTAAATTAAATATCGTCGTTGTAATTTCTTCACATCTATAAATTCTACTACCTTTAACAGTTTGTTACCTTACCTGTTTAATAATAACATCGTTATCTTTAAATTTCTTCGATTCTAAAGCATCTGCTAAATTCGTTCTCTCATAAGCTTCCAATTCAGACAGCATCTCGACCGAACCGATCAATTCCTCATACATTTTACGCTAAAATAAGTAAAATATATACAAAATGAATCCTAGACAGGTACCATGAAATCTCTCATAATTTCTTTACAAAAAATCTAAAATACTCTATCTTTAGATATGCCTTATTCTACCTTTACTTTACGCTAAGGCAAGCAATGTGTAATTAAAATAGTTTTAGACAGGTGAAAGGCTGAGTTAATTATTCCTATTTTTTGCGCAATACTGTAGATGTAAATTATTTCATTTTGGAGTATGGTATATCTTGCTTTAGCACAAATAATTAACGTTAAGCCAAACAATGCATATTTAAGATAATTTAGATAGGCCAAAGCCTCATCAAATCATGCTGAGTTCTTTATTTTAAGAGCAAGTCTTGTTCCGATATTTCATGAATAGTATACCTTTTTAGATGAAGCGGATAATAAAATTCTTCTGAATGTTTTTCGATCCTGTTTGAAGAAACACATACAAGTTAGCCTTGGAAGAATTATTTGTCGTAACTACTAGCTATCCCAGTGCAGATAGCTAAATGAATTCCATATGCGCAATAGACCCTAACACCTTTCAGATTCATGGTTTTGGGTAGCTTAGTAATTAAAAAATAATGCTACAGAAATAAAAGTACGCGTAGAGCTTTACTATCAGACTTACCAAAGCCCAAAGTACTCCTTCAGTTCTTGCTGTAATCGTAGCGGCTCTAAAAGTGAAAAGATATTCATTAATTATTAGTATTATTCAAAGTATCTTATAGATTATAAAACTTTAAATTTATAAGATTTATTCACTATATATATACTTAAAAAGAATCAGTACAATTCAAAATTTGATATGATAGTTAGAAAAATGCCGTAAATTGTAAGTAGCTATTTCAGCTGCTTCATATAGCTTAATCGTTACCTAGGAGTATTGTACATCAAAGCTAATTCACCAAAACTTCCTGAATCAGTATATGTTGCTACCTATTATGTTCATCAACAGGGTTATAAATATCTCAATAAACGCTTTAATAGCAAAAATTGATGCCAAGTAAATAAATTTTAAGAATGAAAGTATGCTTAGACGCTGATCATATAAGCAACTGAGTCTCTTATAACTAATAAAGACTTTAGCACTAATAACAAATGCTTAACTGCATGAATTTCAAGAATAAGATATAGATAAACTCTAATTAATTACACGGTTCCTTGAGTGCTATAATAAGAGTACTAATAGCAAAAATTGGCCTTCAATTGTATGCATGGATTTAAAGTATAAGCCCGATTACTCAAATACTGATTAACAAATCACTTGTACCGCATCAAAAAATATACCTAAATATGTTCATAAATCTTAAAGGTCAGTTAATAACGTATTTTAAGCTTTACCACAGTAGCAGAAATTAACACTAATAAATAGCAAAATAGATGCTTTGGCAACAGACTCTGATGTTCATTTACATAATTCGAGGTATGAAAATATTTAAGTATTTTCAATCGCAACCTAACAAGACAGTTCTTGTACTTTAATACTTAAAATTAGCTCTAATGCAAGCATGCACTATACAGATACTTTAATAATAGAAATTAGTGTATAATTTTATAGATTTATGTATAAAAAATATTTAAATATACTCAATTACAAATTTAGCACTGTAGGCCAGTTATAAGCATAATAAATGTCGAGATAGAGTAAACGTTAGGATTCACTACACGAATTTTAAAGTAAAAATACGACTAATGGTGGTTTGATAAAGTCAAAGTATCAAAATAAATGCTTTGGTAGCGATATCGATGGTTATAAAGCAAGTTTAACGAATAATGCATAGTTATACACATCCTTAAATGCTATTGTAAAATCTGAATCCAATCAATTAGTTATGAAGAAATCGAAATTATTATTCCATTAGTCATAATACACTCAAAAGGATTATCTTTTACCGTTTTGGGAGTTCCATTAATATCGACGATGATATCGTAAGTGCCCCTAGAAACAAGAAAGTTAGTACGGATGATGAGTGTTTTGTATTTTTAAAAGCAAGTGATAGTAAAAGACTCTTGCCAAGTAGTTTTTGATACTAATATACAGCATTCATTTAAGTAGAAAACTTACTGGTCAATTACATAAAAGTTATCGCCATCATCTCCTTGAACAATAACATCTTCATTTACTTTCACCTATCAAAGCAATGATTAGATCGATTTTAATTGACTTTACCCGCCGATTATATTTATATTAATATTAGTGATGTGAGATAGCTTAACTAAAGAGACGATATAAGTTAACAGCATATATGTAAACTATCATCACTTATTGCGATAATCAACCAGAATCGTCAAAATTTATTGCCTACTTTAGTCTAGGGAAGATATTTAACTACTCTAGTATTATGTTTGATATTCTACTAAAGACTATACTAATCTAAATCAACATTACATTCTCTAACTATTTAGAAATATTCTCATATTATTTTAATTATGAAAATACTTTTAAATTGTTATGCCAAAATAATTGCATTACTCTTGAAGCTATTTGTGCTGTATTAAGGCTTTTCAAAAATATGACTATGCTATAAACAAATAGAAAAGGGACGTATATCGATGACTATTCATTTTTTACAAATTTAAAATACATTCATCAAGTTAATTGGGCTATTCGAGAAGAAAGAATACGTAGCACTGAAGGGAAATGAAGAATAATTTCTATTCAATTCTATATACACAAATTATCAGTAATCTACTATTATTCGTCACTGACTAATAATGTTATTTAGATAGTTTTAGCTTTCACTATTACCTTTCGTTCAAACATTGCGTCCAACACTTCTATAGTTTGATCCTAGAAAGTTCATTATTGTTGATGATCATTTACGTAAATATAATTAATACGGCTATAAATTGCTAATAAGGATAGATAACTGCGGCTCTATTGAAGTCAAGAATGACTACTATAGAGCTATCAATAACAAAATTCTTAGATACAACTAGTCTCGAAAATTGTAGCTTATTTGCGATGATACTATAGTAAAATGCAATTGCTCAGTGCCAGCTATATCCCGAAGTTTTTAATTTCTTCGCGATGGCACTATAGCGGAATAGGACTGCACGACGCAAAACTAGATTATGTCTAATATTACTATCCACTTCTATAAGATTTTTGTCAGCAATGTAACTTTTATGGAGCCAGTCTGGAATTTTTTAACTCATTTGCGATGATACTTGAGCAAAATGTGCTACTACTCAATCTTAACCAGTCCATCATTAAGCACTAATTCTGTCTACTTCCATAAGATCTTATCAATAGCTCCACTCTTGTGTAAGAAACAAGTCTGTGAATTTTAGCTAATGTATTTTGCGATAATATTGAAGCAGAATACGATTATAATTATTCGATATTAGCTGGGTTATGATTAATAACACTTTGATTATCTACTTCTTTAAGGTCTCTAGGCTAATTTATTTCAATAGCGTGTAGTATTAACCAAATTGAGTTCATACTAATGAAGAGGTTAGCAATGGAAATCTTTGAAAAGATGATATTCAAAAACATTTGATCACAGTATAGATTTAAAAGTGAGTCATTACCACTATCATTTATATCAAAATCCAATGTGCATAACTAGTTAAAAACTGACCTCATCCAGTGCTTTAAATAAGAAAGAGCTCTTGACAGATGCTTCCAATCGTTTACGTTGTTCTTCGGTTTTAGGAAGTACAATCTATTCAGAAGGAAGAATAAATCAAATATAAATTCATTTTTCTTCAAGTATTACAGTCTATTCTATATAGAAATGAATGTAATGGCTAACCTTTTCTGCGTTTTCTCCTTCTTCATCCTCTTCAGGTTGATATGATTCAGCACAAACTAGGTAGCGTAAATAGAATCGAAATTAGTATCTCGTATATTCTCTATTCCGCATTAAAATCAAAATGAGATTATATTAGACTAAGAAAGACTAAATCAAGCGTCACAACTGCAAATTAGTGGCATAAGATATATTTTAAGTACAGGTTTAAAACTTTGGTACCATAAGGTAGTTGAACAACTTGAAATTTTACTTACCGGATTGGCGCTTGGCATATCGTAATTTTGCGATTTCTTCATCTACAATTGTTAAATAATAGAGGCAATAAAAATATGAAAATTATCTCTGAGACTACTTTCTAGCTATATAGATTTAATACCGTGAAATAGAAGATAGTTTAAACGATTTCTGGCTATTTAGTAAAATTATAGGAGACGAGTTAAAGGTTGACTTTCCTTAAAGTCTCTTATAAAATATTACTTGGCTTTCTAGCTTAACTACAGTCTATTCCGTTCAAAAATGTATGGGATCCCTTGATATTTAGCCTTCAAGCATCAATTGCACGGAATAAAATGAATCGATTTGACATTATTTACCGTTCAATCTCATTTTTATCTTCTATAGCGCTACTGCTTGTAAATTATTCACGATCAAACACATACAAGAAGAATTATCCATTTCCCGAGTAAAAATGGTACTAGGCTAGCATATAGCATTAACATTCCCAACATACAATAGCATAATAACTTTATATTACTCTAGAAGTTTCTCTAAACCGTTAATATCGCTAAAATATTCAGTAGCTATCATTTCAGTGAGATCATCGCAGTACATTATGGTTAAAGTTATAAGGTTTAAAAGCCCTGAAAACTATCAGTGCCTTTGGAAATTTACTTGCCTTCTCCATCAATAGCAAATTATAATTAAAAAATCAACAAAAATATCATCACCGAATGAATATGCTATTGGAATATGCTATATTGCTATGCTATACGTAAACTAATTAATGAATTGGATAGTCCTACACTAGTGCTAATAGAACGCTATTACGAATATGATACGAATAAGGCAAACTAATGGATAGAAGAAACTAAGAAATCTATATAGTAATTATGAACTACTGGTTAATCAATAGATCGATAATTTACTTTCATTTAAGACTGACTTTAGCTCGCTGGTAGCGTCTGAGTACCGTAGTTAATCTTCTAGCATGGAAGAAAAGAGGCCTATTGCTTTTAACTTAAGATCCCCGTGATATTATTAATTTATCTACGCTATTTATCCCCGACTGAGAAAGAAAAATAGCTCAAAGTGAAGTGGATCTATTGGCTAATATTTTACAAAAATAATAACAAAGTCTATCGCCAATAGTGGCGATTTGAGTGTTTTTATCCAGGAAAAATTAGAACCTATCATCCACCGAATATATTTAGTGAAATCTAACGTTTAAAGACGATACAAAGATTACAGGGAGAAGACTAGACCCTAAACTTCATTTCCAGTTACAACAACCTATCCATGCTGATATAATTCTTTACGGTTGGGTAGGATAACAGTAAGAAAAAGAACAAGCAATCCTCCGCTTACTGTATTCCAGTCAAGCAAGTAGCATGGATATCATCCCAAATGGCCTTACCTTCATCATAGTCGCCTTCATCATTCAGCAAACGTTCCTTTTCTTTCAATAATCTAGTAAAATAACTTGCTGCATAATCGTATATGTTGTTTGGCCTCTCTTTAATTAAACTGACAGTGAATTCCTGTAATGCCATTGTTAACCCTTTGGGAATTTCAAAATCGTTAGCGGTCATCTTGAATTGAAGTAAATGTTGCTTTCAATGATCAAAAGTTTAGTTAATAGTTTAATGGAATCGTCAATTTCTTATCTATTAACTGGCTAAACTGATTTGAAGAAGAAAGTCTTCAAAGGACTCCTTGTTTTATAGCGACACTTGATATTGTCTATAGATGAGCGCACATAAATTTTCTTGGGCTAGGATACTTTTTTCCCGAATTTGTATTTCTGATTGGATGGAAATAGAGGAAGTAAAACCAAGATAATAAAGTAGTGGTCAATTTAGTGGATGTAAAATAGATCGGAAAGAAATAAAAGTCGTCGACTAACTTGTGTCGTCTTATGCCAAGGAATTGATTGCCAATATTCACTTTCTGAACCGAACGTGAAATAATGGGTTGTCGTGGAGATTCGAAAGGTAAAACGAAGACGATAAAGTAATAATCAATTTAATACATGAAAGCTGGATCGAAAAGAAAATAAAAGTCGTCGTCTTATGTCAAGGAATTGTTTGCCAATATTCACTTTCTGAGCCGAACGTGAAATGTTTTGTTGCCGTGGAGATTTGAAAGCGAATTAGACCAAGCAAGCCAATCCTCTATCACTTGCTATAAATGCTCTTCTACAATGTAATAACACCAGTATTTCCAGTGGATAACAACTATCAATGGGGCTAATAGCACGCGATCAGCCTTAAAAAATGGATGAAAATATTGAATGTCTGGTGAAAGTGGACGTTGCTGTTGTTATGATTACTCTCGGTAACGACTAGTCAAAATGGAAATGGTCATCCAGGAAACTAGGCGGTCCGTTGTCAAAGAAACGGAGGATCTAAACACTACACTATTTCTTTAAATCGACTGTTTGTCATTGAATGTCTAGTAGATCAATTTTGGCTAGTTCTTCTTTCAATGATGAAGTTGAAAGTGTAGAAAATCGGACAATATTCAAATTTAAAACGGATCGAGTCTTTCTTGTTATTAAAAAAGTCAACGGTGCTGTCGTTCTCGGATCGTCTTGATGGCGTAATAATCGAATGGTTAATTTCTCCGGCCAAATTAATATTCAAAACATGATGAGTTAGATGGCTTTATTTTACTATAGGTAAACTTGCATTCAAGATATCAAATGAAGTAGAAATCAAGCAGTAAGATTACCTTGATAAGATAATTATTCTAAAAGAAGAAAAAGGAGTCTTGTAAACTTCTAATTGGAAGCAAAAAAATGGTTTCCAAACTATTTATAACAGACGGATTCACGTCACGTAGATGAAATTGTGGACGAATAGATAAAAGCAATGGAGAAAAAAAGAGATCGATATTGCAGCAACTAGAAGGAATAGCCAAAGGGAAGAAAAAAAAGAGTTGATGAATACCTTCTTAAGACAATATAGACTGATATTGTTTAACCGGTATTTGAGTCAATTAAAATTTGAATAGTTATAGTCTTGAAAGTGAAAGACTTTCTTCAAATGGACAATAGCAAAACTATTTATGGCATCTTTTCATCGTCATCAATTCTACTAAGCCAATCAATAAAAGAAATAGTTCTTTTTGCTATTTAATCCTTCTTTAAATTGTTTATTGCCTGTGTCATCATGATAATATCTATCGTGATAGGGTAGAATTACTCTATTTTTGAATGATTGCCATTCGATAGGATTGCGTATAGTTAAAACTATGTTATTCATTAGTAGCATAGTCTAATTTCCCTATACATAAATGACTTCTATCCGTTCTAGAAGATTGCAGTTTCTACAAGACCTAGTTATTCCTTTTTCAATTTATTCTACTCAGTTTCTTAAACTTGCATAAGTAGAAAAAAAATTCATTGACTTTCTAAATGAATAATCATAGATTAGCCTATCATATCATCATGGTTATTGGACCATAAACGATATGAACAAAAATGAAATGAAGCCAATAGGACGCGTACATATTGTTATTTTTCTTACTCCATAGAGAGACCGAAATATTAGGTTAGCCATTTTAGCAAACTCATGTTAATGTTCTATATTGATAAATTGATGAGATAGTTACATAGACATGATACGTGCTAATGTGATATATCAATATCCTTTTAATGGACATGATTAAGAACAATTCCCTTTGCTATCATCGTGTAGTTTTACAGTATTTGAAGAATTTTTGATCATGGATAACGATCTTAAGGTACTTAAAATGCTATTTAAGTAAAATAAAGTGTATAAATAAGAATGGAAGTGCCATAGAGTAAAATAATATCATGCCAACCTTAGGAGAAATAGATACCTAAAGAATACAAGTTATTTCTTGAAATGGCTTTTCATCGAACTAGAATTGGATGGTGTTTTTAAATAGTACAGTATATATCTGTGTAATCTGTACATAAAGGATTATTAACCCAAATCACCATCAAAGATGATATAACTTAGTTATCAGTAATAAGAATAAGATTAATTAAGGATAAGCCGGCAACGTATTAATCCTGATAATACTGCAAATTAATCAAGCTGTAAAATTAAGACCACTCAGTTTTTCCCCTGTCCAAAAGGTATTTAGATAACTCGGTATTTAGACTAAAATTGATTTAGTCCATAGCCTTAAATGACGGATAGTCCTACAGGTAGAAGTTCGCATGCGACGAAATAAGAAATGAAATAATTTCAACTATCTTCACTTTGATAGTGGGCAGATTCGCGAGAAGGTTCTATCGCTTTCCTTTTAGACGTCATTACTCTACTATTTCTAAACTAGATTATACAAAATATTAGTCAGAATATCGTCAAAGATATCGAATGTAGTGATACAGTAAGGTATCTTGGAGTATAAACCATCAAGCTCTAATATCAATATTTATCAAATCTTATCTAATGACTCAATGTATATGTTACATACATTAAGATACCAGAAAATAAATATCCTCTAATAAATATGTAGTTGAAATTATGATTATTATTTCTATATCGCCACATAGCTATTAAGTCTTTTCATACGTACTATGGATGCTTTTATCGTTTAATGCTATAGCATCGATTTCATATGGCTTTAAATAAATGTTTGCGTAATTGTTCATCAAAACATGCATATTGCCATCAAATAGATAATATCGAATTAAAGAGCCTACAGTATTCTATCCAATTTATAATAATTGCAAAATAACTTAAGATACTGTATTGTCTTCTACGAACTAAACAGAGTTCTATCCTAAAGATGATCTCTGGTCAGAAGAGATTTATCAATCCGCTAAGTTGTTTATCGGAATTGATGGTCCAGAAGTTGAATAGTATTAAAAAATGATTGCTGTAAGATCAGTAATCAAATCTTTATATCCTGGTATTTTATGAATAAATTATACTTGCTACCATATCCCTTATTCACTCATACTTCATATCAGATTTTTTCCGTTAAGAAATTCGTATTCAATAATTCCATATTTTATTTCTCTAGATACGTTATTTTTAAATCATTTTAAATAGTGGAACATGATAACTCTCTCTGCGCAAATTATCATTTCATTTCATGCGTAGCTTCTCATTAAGGATGCTAGTATATATGACTTTCCGTTAGGAATTTACTTTACCCGATTAATTCATGGACTATTCATCAAATTCTAATATCCCCGAAATTGTTATTAGAATTACGCATTACAAATTAATCGAAAAGATTCAGCTAAGAACTTGAATACTACTATAATCGTATTTTTACGAAGAGAGATGTTGTTACTAGAAATACGTAGGACAAATTAATCTAAAAGATTCAAATAAAAGCTTGGATAATACTCTATCTTCACGGAAGTAAGATATTGCTATTAGAAATAGGCTTAGCACTACAAAATTAATTAAAAAATTTAACTAAGAGCTTGCATACTTATGTACTCATATTTTCACGGAAGTGAGATATTATTATCAGAAATATGCTCTACAATCAATCTAAAAGATTCAGCTAAAAACTTAAGTACTGCTAAACTCTTATTTTCATGAAAGTGGGATATTGCTTTGCGAAATACGCACTACAAATCAATCAAGAAATTGAACTAAGAACTTGAATACTACTATACTCGTATTTTTACGGAAGTAGGATATTGTTCTTAGAAGTATACAGTATAAATTAATCTAAAAGATTCAATTAAGAACTTGAATACTACTGCACTCGTGTGAAATTTTCCGCCACAGAAAGAAAGTCTTCAATTTTAATCTTATTATTTCACACATGTCTACTCTTAACAGGGTTCAACTGATGCGATGTTATATTGCCAAAGTATGCTAAAATGTTATTTCAGTTCTCCAACTTGACCCTTCTAATAAATTATTTTAACCATTCCATTATTTACCATACAAAATAAGATTTCGATATTACTTTGCTTCCTTTATTTTAAGAAACACGAATGTAATTTATGTATATATAACGTTACAAGCTTCATTTATTATACTTATGCTTTAAGTTATTCAGCTACTAACTAACAGTACAGCCTAGTGTTATCAGGAATAAATTGCTAGAGTGCGGTAGTTCACTTCGGATTACAAATATCTGTGAGGTTCTGTATTGATCTTCAGATAAAATATCTGAACGCAATCGAAACTGAAAAATTTCTTCTACCGGTCTTTAGGATTCGACTGTATTTCAGTATAGTTTTAAAGCTAAATAGTCTGAGGAACATACATAAGCAACTTAAAGTTTAGAAATAATGCTATTCCATGGTAGATTATAGTATTAGCATTTAAAAGCTTATGGTACATACATATATATATATATATATCAAACCCCATCGACTAGCATAAGCATAACAAATCGTGTTAATCAAACTAAAGTATTAATTACGATGCATTGATGATATCAAGTATGGTAATTATGTCATGTATTTTGTTTATATAAGTGTATGTACATATTCGCCATTTATTCTATAAGTTGTATAAAAAATTCGATTGATAGTTGAGCTATGTTGTGGAATAAACACTTCCTGATTCTTTGGAAGCACTTGAATTTTCATCCTTGTCCAATTCTAGGTAAAATGAATTCAAAATGTTTGTTCTTTAGG